CTTCAGCAAGCACAAGTATACATCAGTCAAGGAAGGTACCAACTGCAAGGAAGGCAATATACAATGACATTCTAAATGTGGGGAAACCAGAATGTTGTTGTCAGCACTGTGGAGCAATGTTTTGGTACCAAGAACGATTGGATCGCAATCGAAAAACAATGAATCCTGTTTACAGTTTATGCTGCCAAAAAGGAAGGGTCAATCTCCCTCTTCTCAAACAACCACCACCACTCCTTGCTCAGTTGCTGGATCTCAATGGTGGCGCGTTGTCCAAACATTTTAGGGAGCACATCAGGCCATACAATGGAGCTTTATGTTTTACATCCTTTGGAGCAAAGCTAGATCCTCGGTCCTTATCAAGTAGAGGGCCATATTCTATGGTGATATGCGGGGAAAACTATCACAGGATTGGTTCTCTCCTACCTATCGATGGAGAGAAACCCAAATTTGCTCAATTATACATCTTTGAGCCTGAGAACGAGATCGACAACAGATTATCAAATTTTGCTTCTCGAGATTCTGTCTTGCTGCCTGAACTTCTCACTTCTTTGCTTAGGATGCTTGATGAGACTAACGAATTGGTCCAGACTTTTAGGAGAATACGACAGGAGCTGCAGCAGAGCACCACAGCAAACTTACGACTTCGGATTTTTGGAATTGAGAGCAGAAATCGTCAGTATGATCTCCCAACAAGCACCGACATTGCTGCTTTGATTCCCGGAGACTTTGTACCTGACATCAAAGATAGGGACATCATTGTCAATCACAGGGATCAGGGACTTAAACGCATCTCAAGTCTTAATCCTAAATTTGAGGCTCTACATTTTCCATTGTTGTTCCCATACGGGGAGGACGGGTATCACCCCTTGATCCCTTATAACAGTTTATGTTGTCCACCAACAATGCGCAGGAAGTTTGTTACACAAAGAGAATACTATGCATACAGACTTCAGTATCGATCAAATGAGGGTTACACATTGGTTAAGGCTGGAAAAGCACTTCAGCATTACTGTGTCGATGCATTCTCAACGATTGAACTCAACCGACTAGCCTTTTTAAGGACTCATCAAAAAGAACTAAGGTCTGAAGTATATCAAGGTTTGGAAGATGCATTTGCTAGAGGAGACATGGATGGGGATAAAATTGGACGTATTATAATACCTTCTTCATACACCGGAGGTCCTAGGTATATGCAACAATTATATCATGATGCAATGGCAACGTGTCAATACTATGGTAATCCCGACTTATTCATTACCTTTACCTGCAATGCTTTATGGGAAGAGATAACAGAAGCCTTTGCTGATATTGTTGGCCCAAATAGTGAATTCAAGCCTATGATTGTTTGTCGTGTTTTCCATATGAAACTTGCAATACTCATCGAAGAGATACGACGGGAATCCTATTTCGGCAAAACAATTGCAAGTATGTTATTTATTGATTCAGTGTTTGGAAAATCAGAATTCAAAATATTAATATTCATGCATGGGTTCATTTATTTTGATCTTCATCCCCTAACTCAGTTCCATGTTACTCAACTGTAGTCATATACACTGTGGAATTCCAAAAGAGAGGTCTACCTCATGTCCACATGTTGATATGGCTTGCTGAGGAAGATAAGCCCAAGACTGTTAGTGATATTGATGAGGTAATTTCTGCAGAAATCCCTGACCCTGATGTTGATCCAGTTGGCTATGAAACAGTAATCAAATTCATGCTTCACGGACCATGTGGAGAAGCCAACCCAAACGCACCTTGCATGAAAGATGGAAAATGTTCAAAGTTTTACCCAAAAGAGTTCAACTCAGAAACAACTTTTGACAGATTTGGAAATGTAATATATCGACGTCGAAATTCTGGAATTCAAGTTCAGAAAGGCAGCACAGTCTTAGACAACCGACATGTGGTTCCATACAACAGGAACTTCTTGGTCAGAGCTCAGGCACATATTAATATTGAGATATGTCACAAAGGAGGACTGGTCAAATATTTGTTTAAATACATAACAAAGGGACCAGACAGATCCATGATTATCGCTGAGGAAACAGCAACTTCGTCACAAGTTCCAACTGAAGGTTCCAAAAAAAACAAAGATGAGATACAAGAATTTATTGATTGCAGGTCATTATCTTCCTATGAAGCTATATGGAGGATTAATGAATATCCAATACACCATAGGGAACCAGCAGTTGTGAGATTAGATGTGCATCTACCAGCTCAGCAAAAGGTTCCATATAGGAAGCAATCCAATATCCAGAAGGTGCTGCAAAATCCAAAGGCCGGTAAAACTCACCTTACATCTTGGTTCTTACTTAATCAAAAAGATCCCGAAGCAAGAAATCTTACTTATGCTCAAATACCCAATGCATATACATGGAATGAAGAGTACAACGAATGGACTCCGAGAAAAAGAGGTTTTGCTATTGGAAGAATCGCATACGTACCTCCCGGCAGCAATGATGTCTTCTTCTTGAGGCTGATGTTGACAAAAGTACGGGGTGCTGTGAGTTACTTGGCTTTGAGAACTGTTCGGGGAGAAGTGTGTGCCAGTTATGAGAAAGCATGTGAAAAGTTGGGGCTGCTGTCGGATTCTTCAGAGTGGATTCAAGTACTCCAGGAGATTTCAGCATCTAGCATGCCCAGCTTAATCAGAACCACTTTTGTGTCGATGTTAATGTTTTGCGAAATCCCAAATCCCACTTCTTTATTCGAGGCTTCGTGGAAACTTATGAGCGAGGATCGTGTGTACTCCCTTCGCAAGCAACTGCAATCAACAAATTTCCAGCCATCAGATGAAACATTGCGTAATTGGGTGCTAAATCAGATTGAGACTTTATTGGGAACATATTCTTCATCGTTGGAACACTTCAACCTCCCAAAACCAACAGATTCAACAACAGATGATGGATCAAACCCCCTAATAAATGAGTATATGAGTTTTGACACTGTCCAGCAGCAAAAAATATCAGAAACGATGCTTGAGGATCTTAATCAGGAGCAGCTGGGGGCGTTTTCTGCAGTCATGTTGTCGGTTAATAATAATCTGGGCAAATCTTTCTTCTTATATGGACATGGAGGTACAGGTAAGACATTCCTATACAATGCAATCATTGCTAAGCTAAGGAGTGAATCAAAAATTGCAATCGTTGTTGCTTCGTCTGGAATTGCAGCAACTCTTTTACCCAACGGTACAACAGCACATTCAAGGTTCAAAATACCACTCCATGTCGACACAACATCAACATGCTCAATCAAGAAAGGCACACATCTAGCAGAGTTGATAAAAAAGGCATCATTGATTGTTTGGGATGAAGCACCAATGACGCATCGTAATGCATTCGAAGCAATCAGCAGAACTCTATGTGATATAATGAATGTTCCTATAGCTGGACCAGGATACAAATTATTTGGAGGAAAAACGGTTCTCTTTGGTGGAGATTTTAGACAAACACTGCCTGTGATTTCGGATTCAGGGCGGGAACAAACAGTTGATGGTTCTCTGACAAGATCGATGATGTGGTCGTCTTTTACAATACTTAAACTATCAAGGAATATGAGGTTGAATGAATCAGTGGCCAACAAAGTTGTGATAGACTGTGGTTACACATTTGGACAGTGGGTTCTTAATCTTGGGGATGGGAAGCTTCCAACAAAATCTTTCAAACAAAACACACCATCAGATTGGATTAAAATACCAGAGATGTTCTTGGTAGCCCCGCTGCAAAATCCTATACAGTCTATTACTTGCGACATATATGAATCATTTGCTGAACAATACAAAAATACAGCATACCTCACAAGCTCATTCAGTGAAAACTATCCCACTGAATTTCTCAACACACTTGCATTCAATGGAGTACCGGATCACGAAATAAAGCTCAAGGTTCATGCTCCAGTAATGTTACTCAGAAATTTGAGTCCATCGAAGGGGCTATGCAATGGTACAAGACTAATGATTACATATCTTGGAGAAAATGTAATCAAAGGAACAATTATGGGTGGACCGCTAGACACAAAACTGGTGGCAATACCAAGAATTGTTCTTAATATAGAAGAAAAAAATGGCCATTCATTCTAAAGAGACGACAGTTTCCGGTTCGCCTTTGCTATGGTATGACGATAAACAAAAGTCAGGGGCAAACACTCGACAAGGTAGGAGTGTATCTGCCCGATCCAGTATTCAGCCATGGACAATTATATGTGGCAGTATCAAGGGTCAAATCGGCTGATGGTCTACGCTTTCTGATCACAAACACAGATGAAATTCCAGATAACTACACAAGGAACATTGTGTACACAGAAGCTTTCGAAGATATCAGCACAGATCAAAACTCAACGCAACCCAATATGTAGGTAAACTTCTAATCTAATAAAGCACAAAGTTGAAATTTCATTGTTCAAAAGGCTATTAAACTAATTCAACAGTTACTGCAGTTTTGCATAACCAAATAAACGAAGAGCACATGAAAGCTTACATATTGCCTCATCACCGGAGACTTCCCAGCGCTCATTTTGTCTCATCGCTGAAGACTTCCAGCTCGGATTTGTACTCTACCTGCTCTGGACTCCAAGCGGAACTGTTCTTGCTGTTCTTAATTGATCCTTCACTTATGTTTTTAAATTTTAGCAGTTGATCGAAAAGCTTGGACAAAAAGGGGCAATAGGTGTTTCTACAGAAAACGACTGAGTTTTAGCATTTCAATTAAATTAGGGCCGGAATAGATTAAATCAAAGGCCCAAGTAGATGGGCTTTACATCCAAAAGCAGTGCTGTGGCTTTATCTCCATCATAATTTCACACAAATAGTCCACGGCCACACACAAGAGCTTTTGATTATTAATATGATTGCACTTAAAAAGAAACACGTACACAACCACATCTGAACACTAAAACCTCTTTGTTATTCAAAATCAACATACTTTCCAACGCTAATCATGGAATGGATCTTTAAATATAAAAATCTCCCATATTATAAACAACATTGTTATAGTTGTAAAGTATAATAATAACAAATAAAAGGTCATAAACATACACCAAAGAACACAAGCAGTATGCAATAGCAATATTTTAAAATACATGTCTCAAATCCCGTCGCGGAGCGCGGGCACCGAAAACTAGTCATCATTATATTCTTTGCATTACATCAGCCTCACTCAAAAGAGATCATGATTTGACGTTGCCGCCAAAAGTATTTTAAATTTTTTTCATCTTCAAATCTAAGTCCTGCCATCTTATTGTATTTTCATTTCTTAGGCTTTGACCATAGATTTCTAGTGTTTACTTATTGCACTCTTCGATCCTCTTTAGGTTGGTGGTCTATAAGTCCCATCTGGTTGACGCTTGGTAAGGGGAAGTTACCTTTTGTAAGCTATAACTAATGTTGATCATAAGATTGGTGTTATCTCATCCAAAGGCGGTAGTTGGTTTCATTATGTGCCAAAAATCTTATGATTGTGCACAGGATTAGTTATAATTCCTTAGATAATAAGTTATGGGACAAGGTTAATTTTTCATTCAGCCGCATATCAAAATAATTATATGGATTAAGGAGTAAAAATAAATTGGCATGTGAAAAGAAGAAGTTATTAGGCTAATAATGGGGATAGATTAGTGGGATGTTTTCCTCCTCTACCATTTTTTTTTCTCCCATGACGGAGATCCATTCATCATTAGTTTTCTATAACAATTTTGCACTACGTATCTAGAAGTGTCTCTTTCTCATTCTGTCCCCCTTTCTCTTTCTTTATCACCAAACAAAAAGAAAAGAGAAAAGAAGGAAGAAATTTCAATTCAAAATAGGTTGCAACAACAATGATGTTCATCTTCTCAACATAGTTGGACTTCCTTGTTGTTTTTCGGATCCCACAATTTTATTTTATCATTTAGTGGGGGCTTTAAACTTCCTATTAAGGTAAATAATGTAAGGAATTGAATAATTTCTCGTTGACATTTTGATATGCTTTTTGTCTTAATTTGACGACATATGCTTGTTGCAGATTTAAGTTTTCTACTAGTTTGAATGGTTCTCTGTGGCATACCAACTGGAGATGCTGAGATCGGAGATTTTTATCCGATTAGGCCTGAATGCCAAGCTGATGTTCCCAAGACCCGTTTTAGGCCTCGCGTATGTCTATCTTGTTCCGCCCTTCCCTACACCACCTCTTGTTCTTATTCTTGGGGATAATAATAACAACAAGTCTTCAACCATGCCTCCCTCTTTTGTTTCCTGGGTTTCTTGTTATGGGTGATGATGTGTTGGATGTGAAAATTATATGTTCTCCATCCTCTTTGCTAAATGGATTCTGGATGATGGGTTGGATCCTTCGTCTCTTTTTCTGTTTTCTAAATGCAGGCTGGGAAAACCCTTAGCGCAAGAAGATGGCATGCTGCGTTTTCTGAAGATGGTCATCTGGATATTGCCAAGGTCCTTAGAAGGATACAACGAGGGGTATGGTTCTTTTCTCCCTTTTGTTGTCCATGCCACCCATTTGCAAAGAAAGCCTGTTATGCAATTGATGCTGTTAAATTAAATGGGTGTTCTTCAGTTTATGCCCAACTCCTTTACAAAGAAATTTTTTGTGATTTTACTAAAATTTGTGTTTTAATGTTAGGGTGTTCATCCTGCTATCAAAGGGTTAGTGTGGGAATTTTTGTTGGGATGCTTTGATCCTAACAGCACATTTGAGGATCGAAATGAAATTAGGCAACGCAGAAGGTAGCACCATGATATTTTGTATATTTTTCTCATCAAAGTGACACCATATATTTCTACAATGATTTTGTTAAATATGTCCTTATGTCTTGAAAATGAATGAATATAGTTAATGCAAATATTGTCATCTTTTATCGTACTATTTATGATGCCGAGTTTAATTGTGTCAAACTTGTTGGGAGTGATTACCTAAGAATAGGAAAATGTGTCATTTAGGTTATTGACTTTTTGAAACAGAATTATATGAGCATGCGTAAACTATTACGGTAGTCTACTGATGCAATTTTCCATGGCCTCTCCTGTGTTTGACCAACAAGTTGTTATGATGTCATTTCCATTTTTAGATCATGCCAACTATGATATGCAATTTCACTTGTTTTATTATATGCTTCCAATTCGGAAGGCTCGTAGTTTCTAGTTTCACGTTTTAGGTGTATCTTAATTTATGACACTAACTTCTTAGGGAGCAATATAACAATTGGAAAGCAGAATGCAAAGAGATGTGTCCAATAATAGGTAGTGGAAGTTTTATCAAAACTCCGGTTATTGGGGACGATGGGCATCCAATAACTGACTCTGATGAGGGATGGCATGCAAGTGATGTTGTTATTGATAAGAAAGTTCTTCAATGGATGCTAACTTTGCATCAAATTGGTATGATATTGCTTCTAGATCTCCCTATTTTTTATTTGATTGATTCAATTTTTAAGGTTTCTTGTATTGCTTATATGACATTAAATATGATATTTGTTATGGTACAAAATTCAGAGCTACAAAATCTACAAAACTCGTGTCTTACCATATCTGATATGAATCATACTATCCCTTAATATGATTGTATTAGGGTGTAAGATTCGTTCTAGGGGTGGTAAGACGCAGAATTTGGAGGTTTTGCGGTTTTGGATTTTGTACCCTATCGTCTCCAGTTAAATATATAATTTTTTATTCGGAAGAATCTATCACTCAAAGAACTCCATGGGAAGAGAATCAAATAGGGTTTTCTAACGACAAATCTAAATGGATGAGCATTAACTCCTAAAATTTGTTCATGGATTCACAAAGCTGCTAGAAGACAGTTTATAACCGGCTATGATTTTACAACAATATTTTGACTTTAATAATCTATTATATTATGATAATCAAGAGGATGGTATTTAGCTCATTTTGATTTGCTTCTTTTGATACTTATAGTAATTTATTTATGTGAGATTGAATTAAAATTCACATTCAAATAGCTAGAAATTCTAATTGGGACGCAATTGCCAGAACTCAATAAAAAACATATGAAATAAGACTTTAAAGAAAAAATACATGAGAATAGAAATTGATAAAGAAGCATAGTATAATCTAATGAGAATTGTTGGTTCTTGATGGCACACATATTTTCTAGTTTAATTTAGTATTTCATTAGGCTTGATCTAGTAATTTGCTTCCCTTTTGCGAATAACATCCTCTCTTCTCATTTTGACTTCATGCTCATGTTGGTCATTCTAATTTTTAAGCAATTATGTGGTCACTTCACGATTTTCAGGGCAAATGATATATTTTGTGAAATTGTAGGTTTGGATGTTGTTCGCACAGATCAATCACTTGAGTTTTATCAGAATGAAGTTAATTCTGCCAAGCTTTGGGATATACTAGCAGTGTATTCTTGGGTTGATATGGACATTGGTTACATGCAAGGTGAGTAGACTTACGATAAACCTATAAAGTTGGTATAGTTTTTCTTTTAATTTTTTGTGGTCATTTGAAGTCGTTTCTTGAGCAGGTATGAATGATATTTGCTCTCCAATGGTAATTCTTCTTGAAAATGATGCGGATGCCTACTGGTGTTTTGAGCATGCAATGCGAAGATTGGTATGCGCTTCTATCAAAAAATTTATTGACAAACTATAACCTCAAATATTAATTTATGAATTATTAACTCATATTTATAATAATGTATTTGTATTTTCTTTTGCCACAGAGGGAAAACTTTAGGACGAGCACTACTTCCATTGGAGTACAAACTCAGTTAAGTACACTCTCTCAAGTAATCAAAACCGTTGATCCAAAGCTTCACCAACACCTAGGTATTTCTTCTTTCCCCTTACCATGTCAATTATCTTACGTCTTTTGTTGTATCGTGATTATCAACTTATTTTTTTGTCACATATACCCCAAGTTAAATATCCTATATAGTGAAGATAATATATTCTGTTACTACAATAGGCATAAATAGTGGCTTGACACCCACATGAATGGATGAATGTTGTGATTGACACAACAATATTTTTCCTACAACATTAACACACAAACTGGACGTGAGATCTTATTATCATAGTAAATCTTTTTTCTGATTGGATATTTGCAGAAGATTTAGATGGAGGTGAATATTTGTTTGCGTTTCGAATGCTGATGGTGCTCTTCAGGAGGGAATTTTCCTTCGTAGACTCGTTGTATCTTTGGGAGGTAAGAAAAGCCCTGAATTTTGTGTTGCATCATCCTATGAAGTTCAAATTTTAAATAATACATAAAATCATATGACCAAGATAGAATGGGTGTTCAAGATGATGTGGGATATTCATATTTATGGATAGATTGGGTGTTCAAAAGTCTATTCACCTAGTCAAGCTGATTTATGGATAGATTGGTTTCAGCTGATGTGGGCTATGGAGTACAACCCAAATATCTTTACCATGTATGAAGAGTCCAAAGAGGCTGATGAAGAAGAGGAGAAAGAGGTAGCAGCACCTGCATCAAATAACAAGCAACAACTACAACAATATGGCAAGTTTGAAAGGAAGTATGTGCAGACTGGCATTACAGACCAACATAGCGCACTTTCTATCTTCCTAGTGGCAAGCATTCTCGAGGCTAAGAACAAGAAGATCTTGAAAGAAGCTAAAGGGTTGGATGATGTTGTCCAGGTTATCCTTTTTGCCTCCATCTCTCTTTAAATGTCTTAGTTGATGCCCACCTTGTCAGCCAAAATAAAAAGAAGGAAAAGTGAGGAGTAGAAAAGCATATGCATTTGTGTAGATGCATCTTCATTCTTTAATTTTTTTTTGTAGATATTGGGCGATGCTACAGGAAATTTGGATGCTAAGAAGGTATGTCAAGAGGCCTTGAAGATACACAAAAAGTACTTGAGCCAGGTATGCCATCAAATGCTTTTAGTTATCTTATTTTTCATGATGCTTGTCTAAGTGATTCCATATAGCCCTTCAAGTCGTACATATTATGAGATTTTGATAGAAGATCATTCTAGATTTGGTAGGCCAAACAAACCACTAGTCTTAAGTCGGACACACATTATTCTATTCACTCACTTGCAAGTACAGATAAAATAGTTAAACTAGAATTGGTACTTATATTTGATAGGCCAAGAAGTGATAAAAGATGGAATATTACTGCAGAGCACTAGCTAAAACTTTGGAAGGCAAGGAAGTGAAGATTGGGTACTCCACCAAACGTTACAAATGGTATCATGGTGTTTGCTTTGGATTTGGAGGATTCCTCATATAAAGCTTTTAGGTATAAGGGGGAGTGTCATTTTCCATCTATTGGATGGAGCTATTACATTTTATTTCCACTCAACTATGTTGCACTTTTTTTAGTATATATGTCATTTTCCCTGTTGTTGTAACCTAAACAAAGTAAATACATGTTGTATCAAATTAGAACAAAAAATCTTGACAAATTTGCAGCTCTATTCCTAATTCTTTGGGGTGGTCAAAACTAAGGGCTCAACCAATGTTAGGTATCGTTATCAAGGCAATAGTAGCCTCTTGGAATTCCTCTAGAATTTGGCCAACTCTTAACCACTAACTATTATCTCTTTTGTGACGTATACATAATACTCGTAGTTTCTTGTTAAAAATAATCATGTTGCTTGACCCAATGGAGCACGAACAAGGCGTGTATGAAATTCAATCACACTATTAAACCAAATATACGACTCAAATCCATGTCTAGCCTCCTAGACAAAACTTTCTTGAAACTCATGCTTCGGCCCATGTCATGTCTATAGCAATCTTGAAGCTCTTGTATCATCTTCGCATGTTGTCATCATGTGTGAACCTTTTAGTGCTCTCGCTTGATATTGCGTTTTCCTTACACTTTCAATCAACATTTTGTGATTGCCTTAAGATTAAAGACAAGCTCATTGGACTATTCAAGATTTGGGCAAATCAAAAAATAAACCCCTGTGGGACATGACATAATAAGAATTCTATAAACGTGCATAAAAAATAAAAATGGTTGAACAAAAGGAATATGAGGTAGCTGAAAAAAGCACATGATAATAATTTTACATGGTTCCCTCATTTGATTATGAATGAGAGTACTCCACAGAAAGTTTGAAGCTCTCATACTCTTTTCTTATATATTATTGTGGCAAAATTGATGTGTTGATTGAGAAGTGGTAGAACACCCACCTCAATCAACATCATAGTACACCATAAGCTTGAAAAAACTATAAGTAGCACATAACAAACCACACATGGGGTCTGTATAAGATACAGTAAAATTTGATGAGTTGCATCCAATTGCGCCTACGTGGATGCATAAACTACCTAACTAATTAAGTTGATAGAGTAATTGATGTAGGGACTTGTGACTGTGAGATATAACAAAAGACCCACTAAATAGTAGAATGCTGAAGGATATTCAACACGAGGAGAATGTAAACAACCAAGTTGATGATTCTGCGTAACTCGGGTGGAGCAGGGGCAAGTACCTTGAAACCTAGAGTCAATAAAAATGTCTAAGACATACTTGTGTTGATTGAGAACTAGACCATTGGGTGACTGAGCGACGTCAATTTCCAAGAGATATTTGAGTGACCACAGATCCTTGATGGTGAAGCGCTTATGTAGGAAAACTTTAAAACTCTGAATGAAAGGAAGGTTGCTGCTTGCTAACACAACGTCATCAGCATAAATTAAGGAGGCAGAAAAAGAGGATCCAAAATTGTAAATGAACAAAGAATGATCCGCTCAATTATAACATACCACAAATACAACAAGATATGGGAGAATCTTATATACTAGTTGGGACAAGCCTATTTGAGCCCATAAATCGACTTATGAAGAGGGCAAATACAAGTATCACCTTTCTACAAAAAAACCTTCCATAATCTTCATGTAATTTTTTTATGTAAGTCACAATGAAAAAAGCATTATTGACATCAATTTGATGTAATAACCACTCACAAGTGTCAGCAAGATTGCAACTAAAAGGAGGCATCCAATAGTAACTAACTTTGTAAGAGGATCAAAAGTACTGTGATGATCAGTGCCTTTTATATGAGGATATATTTGATCTTATAAACCCACACAAAATCACTCTTACATTTGTCAAGTGGAAAATCAACTAAACTCCACGAATCATTAGCTTCCAAGACTGAGATATGAGTTTTTATAGTGTCCTTCCATGGTTTATACCAAACTTAATGACGCAAGATAAGTGACATGCTTTTCAAGTGGATGTTGACGGGGAAATGATCTAGGTAGAGTGACATTGCAAGGGAGATTACCTTGTAAATCACTTTCACAAAGAGGAAGAAATGAAGGATTTACAGTGATAGATCTATCAGAGCCATCTTGTGCAACTGAGTTGGACAGGGACTAGTATGATAACATAGGTGCTAAAGAAGTGGCCCCTACTAGTGAATCATAGGAAGCTGGTGAGAAATCACTATTGCCCGGTGTGATGTCATACTATGAGACTGGTGAAGGAGAAAGGTTGTTATCCATGATGTCACTTAGATATTAGAAATGAATAAATGAAGAATATTATACTCCATGTTGAACCATGAAGTGGATTATGATTGTGGTACATGTTTAGAGAGTAGAGCTCGAAACGATAAACAATCCAAGAATGTAACATCGCATGATGTGTTATGTGTATATGACTTCGTTGGTAAGGTCATGAATCCAATTGGCATGTTGCATGGCATGATACCCCATAAACATACCTGCACAACCTTGCACTTCAAATTTCTGCAAATTGTGATGGTTATCCTTGGCATAAACAAGGCACCAGAATTAGTGGCGCACCCAAAAATATCACCAAGGTCATTCAATGAAAAATAAAAATAAACCTATAAATAATAAAATTTCCCTCATAAAGTATACATATTGATTGTTTCACAGTAAACTACGACATGTTTTCAAATTCTAAGAAGTTTTTAAAGTATATTCGTCACTTATGTTACAACTCAAACCTTTTTAATTGAATGTTACCAAGCAATCATTCATAAATTGGTATCACATATGATTTCTATAATCGTTTTTTATGAGTTTAATTGTTGAAATGGACCTCTCAACAATGTGACTGTTGGTGAGAGAAGAAGCCGAGGAAGGAAGTATTGCACACATAAATTGAGATGTTTTCACTCTTGATAAACTGTAACAGGATTTTGGGGGGTTAGTCGAAGAGGTTTTATGCTCCAAAGTGCAAAAGAAGAACTGATTAAGATGTTTGGATTCAGAAAAATTAATATGGCTTAGAAATTACTTCAGGTGCTTTAATTGATTTGCTTTTATAAATGTAAAGTTTAGTTTGAAATTGCAAGCGTTTTCAAATGGGCGAGACTTTAATTACGACAAACAATAATATGAATTTTAACACACTAATTGGGTGCCAATTTTTAATTAAGCCCCCTGACAAGAATTCGTGAAGATGAGAGTATGGAGGCAACTTTCCCAATAATATTTTACATGTAGTCTGTTTCTTCAATGAAGTAATAGGCATGCACTCAATGAGATAGGAAACATTTAAAACTACATTCTGCGAGAAAATGAGAGGGAAGTCCAACGTGAAATATGAGTGTTCTAGCTGTATTGAGCAGTTCTCTATGTTTTCTTTCAACTACTCCATTTTGATGGGGAGTATAAGTGCAACATGTTTGGAGAATCACTCCGCTCTTTGCATAATAATCTCATAGTACAGTATTATTGAACTTTGGTCCACTGTTGGCTCGAATTTTTAAAACCTTGAGATTATTATTGTGTGGAAACTTATTTGCAAACTTGAAGAAAGAGGCATTCGACTTATATTTTAATAGGATAACCCAAATATACCTACTACTAGCTTTTTATCCGGCCCGTTGGCCGGAGAGATTTATTTTATAATTTATATGTTGAAATTATTTTGGATATTCTAAATATTTTGTAACAGAGTTTGTAGTATATCTATATTAAAATTTCCAATATTTAGCACACTCACTTGTGATGCTTCGGTTTTCGAATCATAAATTATGTCGCAGTCACGTCCCATATAGAACTTATGTCAAAATTTGTCAACCAAAACACTAATATTTAGCGTACGCCAATCTAAACCACACACACATATATATAGTTCAAGCTAGCGTGCGCCAGGAGTACGTTATACTCTTGCGTTCATACTACCATATGACCATTGAGTTTTACTATTTAGACCCGAATTAACCGGATTTTTTTGGGGCATTATACTATATCCTAACCTCTCATAGGTAAACTCTAGTCCCTAATTCTGTAATCTCGAATTTATGCACATACTTCGTAATACCTATCTTCTATCGTATCTTGAGTTAAATAAAAAAGTATAGTATACCTTGATATTACATATACATGTATATATATATATGTGTATGTATATTAGACTCAAAATTATCTAGAGATCTCGCTTTTACCCCCATAACGCCAGAGAACCATTGGGGTTGTCTATTGTTCGATATATAATATATAAAGAGGCAAATACTAAGATTCTACTACTTATTTCTTATCCTCTCCCGCCGACCGCTTTATGGAGAATAAAAAGGTAGGGATGACAGGATCATAACTCGATATGGTTTTATTATGTTCATCTTATCGGAGGTTATGTTCTTTTTTGCTTTTTTGGCTTCTTTTTCATTCTACTTTAGAACCTATGGTTGTGATCAGAGGTACTTAGCCCTCGAAAGGGATTGGGATTTTAGGTCCTTTGGAAATCCAATACACATTCATGATCCTCGAGTTTGGACGAACTCTCGACCAATGTTGTAAAAATTGCGACTTTTTAGTGAGAAATTCTTAGTAAAGATACTTCATTATTGGATTTATTCATCCATATTGAAACTTGACACACACTGTATCCCTCATGATGACTAAATTCTCTAATCTCGACTCATTTCCATTTTGGATGTTTGTTTTTTATCCAGACACTTAAATTTAGTATATTATATAATATATATCAATTGTTAAATTTTTGAAGTTTATACTAAACTTCAACCGGTGGTCATTGTTTATATGTTGACTTAGAATCTCAATCTAAGGCACTCACACACACTATCGAGGATTTTTTGTCTTAACATGGTCGTTGAATGTGTAATTTTCAAAGATTTTATCGCTTATATATTAATAATGGATAAAGAGTGTCTCCAATACAAACATATTTTAAGTGCATTTAAAATGTCTTATCATTTGAACAATATCAGTGTATTTCATTTGATTATTTGCATTAACTTATTATCTTATACAACATATATTAATTCGTTTTTCTCGAGTCCAGACGAACTGAAAACCAATTTTGAGAGTTGAGATTATTGGATAAAGATACTTGATTGTTGGATAAATATGTTTATCCCAATTGACGATCTTACTAAAAATTGCCAACCTTTATTTGGTAAATGCCTATGTTAGTAGTTGATGAAACGTGATGTTTATCGTAGATTCTGAACAAAGATTTTTCTAACCTTCACATCTATTATTTTTCAAGGAATCTTGTGTCTCATCATAGGGTATGAAGTCAAAGTTCGTCAACAATCATACTTAAGTCATTTTGAAAATTTTGATTTATAATCGTCGAAGATAACTCCAAGTCTGAAAGAAAATTTCTTAGCATACGACTTAGAACCTCAATAGAGCTTGCTCAATCAACATGATATAGAGCAAATATTATTAATGTGAACTTAGGTCACATTATCAAATTATTGCACATGCGATTCCTCTTCATTTGAGGAATTTAAGGTAGAACATGATTTGAATGAATAAGAATTTTTTTAAATAAATAACTGTAACTACTCGATCAAGATTATACTCTGACATTTTGCTAAATAATACTGTTTTATTTTATAAATATATATTGTACGAATAAGAGAGTGTTTCATTGCAACAAAATATAAAGTAATATAGTATATTTTTCAAATGTAATTGAATGTCAAATGTTTATTTCTCTCTTTTCATATATATTTTGGTTTAATCGATTAAAACATAATTGTTTATGTGTATGTTTGTTTATTTTTTTCATCAAAATGTAACTTATCATTGAATTTTAGTAAAAATGAGTAGAAAATTTATTTCATAAGGTTTAATAAGATATTTTTTATTTAAATAAATGTGATATATGTCACTCTCTTTTTTCTTATTTATATTTTGTTTATTTAAAAAAATTATTATTTATGTGTGTTTGGTTAAGTTTATCAACATGTGACTTATTATTAAAGACAAAAAAAAATAAATGGATAAATGACAAAGAATAATTGGATAAAAGAAATGAAAATATTAAAGAAGAGAGAGGTAGCTCCATAAATACATTAATAACTAATTTTTTGTTTGTAAAAAAGTTGTCCAACTTGGCAAATTGTGTATCCTCCAAGTGCTTATGTGGCAAGAATTTTTTTTGAATTGCCATAATATATAGTATAGAAGATAGATAGATAGATATAGATAGATAGATATAGATATAGAAGATAGATAGATAATCATCCACAATGGTGGGAAAATATTTTTCACACTAAATGAAGCTTATCTATAACTTCCCTAAATATCAACATGAATCAACTCAAAACAAGAAGTGGTTCGAATGTAACCGACATAAAAAGTATCTAGTTTTGTTTGCTCGAGGACAATAATCACAATGATCTTTGTTTTGAACAATAATATTGTTAAGGAAGGGTGCTAAAATGAAAAAATTCTCAAAAGATTGATGACCAAGTCATGGATGTCATATTATTGTATGTTGATATGCTTAAACTAGTGGATGATGCTCATTACATAATCGCAAATGTTAAAGATGATCAAAACAAATTCATGTCCCAATCAGCCTCATGAAGTGTAAGTCACTAATGACATATAAATCATTGGTAAAGATTCATATTACAGGAGAATAACTATAAGATGACTAACAAATTATGAGTTGCACTTGAAATTTGAGACGTGCAACACACAAGTGAGAACCATCATATTACCCAATAAAGGTCGATTGTGGTTGGATCTAGACAGGTTTGTGGGTTTAACTACTCAATGATTACCCCCAAACTTCAACAAAGAGGGAGGTCGAGTGGAACTATAGTTTATATTTTATAAAAGTAAAATAAAAAAGGAGCTAATAAGAAGGGGGGGAAATGTGAAGCACAAAAGCAGTATATGATTTACCTAAAAGAAAAAGAAAAAAAAAATTAATTTCATAGGGTGGAATGGAAAGGGTTTAAACTAACCCGGTACAAGTTTATTGATTTTGAGCTTAGTTTTCAGTAAGCTAACCACCACCACATGCACCATTATTTCAACAAATAGAGATTGATTGTATTATTTTTGTTTTGGTGAAGTACATAGTGTTGGGTATCGGTTGACTCAGTCCATTACTAGAATGGACCATTACGTAGTACATTTGTAGTACACATAGTGTTTGCTATCAGTCGACTCAGCCTAGAATCAGATCAAATTAGGATAGGATTGAAATAAAAAAAAAATGGGAAATGAGGATTAGAATTGAATAAAAAGCATTCGTGGTTCATTGGTTTGATTCGGTCCATTCCAAATTTGACTTCAGACCACTTTTCCTTAATATTTAAAATAATTTATAGGATTGAAATATAATCAAAATACATTTTATCCAAATATCTATTTGGTGCAATATGGACTGAATCCTTGCCCACCTCTGACCCAACTATAACTTGAGGTGTTAATTCGCATGCCGTAGTCTTGATCTTAAGTCTTTGATAACTGAAAATTATGGAGATGGTTTATTAAACTAAAATGAAAATTTGGTGCCACAATTAAGTAAGATTAAAAGATAACTTCATGAAAATTATAATTATAATTCCCCAAAATGTAAAACCATAAATCCAATGAAATTTATAGATTTTGCCCCTTTCTCTCCATCCAATCACATAGTGTCTATAACGTGTTAATCCCCAAATGAATCCCTATAATTTCCCCTTTTTTGCTTCCCTTCTTCTCCAGGTATTAATTCCTTTTTCGAATCATTTTTCTCTTCGCATCAGTAGTTCTCCATTATGTACAGATACTGATCGATACATGCCGCATTTGATTTAGGAATTCTTCCATCCATTTCTCTTTTAAATTATTCATGTCATTCTTATAATTACCAATAATATTTTTCACGATCATTGCTTTAAAACCCTATTTAATTATCTGTATCCTCAGATTATATTATACGTTGTTTCAAATGCTCAGGAACTTCCACCTAATTCTTTGGGCTAGATTGACTGATTCACTAATCATGCTCAAAGGACTTGCAGGAATGAGCGAGTAAGTTTTTTCTTGTCACTAAAATTATGTAACCTTGTTTATAAAAAAGAAGTTATGTATCTCTAATCTCTTGTTAATACATTTTATAATTCGAGAAACAGATAATAGGGTTTTTCTTTCGGAATTGAAATAATTGTTTGAATTTTTTATATGTGACGAACTAATAGAGAAAAATTAAACAATTTTTTTTTTTCTAACTATGAGATTACATTATTGTTGCTTCTATAGTACTACTCCCGGGATAGAAGGAAGTGTGGATCATGAAACTGCATTTACACCCATTCTGGAAGCAATGAAGCAGGTTAGGTCTCAACAGGGAGAAATTCTCACCAAGCCTTTCTTGGACTTGTGCAAAATGATTCTTCCCGTCCTAGGTAACAATCAAATGTTGTTCCTAAAAAAAGAACTCTCAGCTATTCAAGTCTTTTTGTCTATCTCTTTCACTTTTAAACCATAATGTATTTCTCCAGTAACAATATGAGAGTAATAACATATTTCCACCTATACCCAAACTTTGCGGTCACCAATCATCATTATTTAATGATTTTTTTCATAGAGACTAGTAACTCTTTTCGAGGTTATAGTTTGGTACAAGTAAAACTTCAACACTTCACATTATAATTAGCGAAATATATATTATAATGTTAAAAATAATCATCTCGAAGATGGGAAGAAACAACAAACCATCGAAAATACGAAGTAGAAGAGAATGAGTAACACTACTTTTAGTTCATTCTCTCATATACAAGAAATACAATAGATACCTAGAAGAGAAAATCAGCCTGTTATATATATCCCTCATTCCATAGGCGGCCTTTTATAGACAAGAGTTCATGTTGTGGACCTAATTTTCATCATCAATAGAGAGTTGGGAAGTCGTTGGCAGAAGAAATCATAATTAACAGATGAATGCGTATGGAATATTATAATACAAGTCTAAGACATGACAAACTCTATGTGATGTTTCCACACACAATTTGAAAAGAGGAAATTGGTAGCATGCAGACTTCAATTAAATTGAACTACCTTTCTTGTTTTGTCTATTATTGAAGGAAAACAATCAATAGATCTAAATTAAATGGAAGAATTTATGCTCATAAAGGAAACCAAATGCCATTCATTCTGTTATATGTGTCATTGATAGAAAAAATAGTTGATGTAATTAGGCATAATCCATATGAATGAAAAATCATGTGAGCTGAACATATACATGATCAATCATCGAGCTACATGGCTTCATTTCTCATGTGAAACGAAGTTAAAAAAACATGTAATCGTGTATCTACACATGATTTCAGAAAAGATATAATAGAACATGTTTGGTCTCTTAAAAGGGTTTAAGTATGGGAGAATTAAGTATTTCAAAGTTTTTTTAGTGATATATCTTCCGTGTTTGTCCATCTTTTACTTCTTTAAGACATTGAAAGAAACTAAACATTGAGTCAAAATTGTCAATGTAATCTACTAGTTAAGTAGTCATGCCTTCATAATAGATGTCAAGTAATCATTTCCCCATTCAAGCACCCATATTAGAAAATTTGGTTGTTCAAATTAGTGGTTATAAAATGGAGAAGTTGGATAAATAAGTTTTTTATGAGTTACATTGTTTTCGTTATGATCCATTATTGTTTATGATCTCGTTCTTCTCTTCACTTCTTCATTTTACAGACAAGTTTGGAACATCGTTATCTCCAGTAAAATCCGATGTGGGCGGAAATATAAATGTAAGTGCTGGAGATGAATGTCATCTTTTATTGTTTATCTACGCACATAGACATAGATAATTTATGCACTTTTTGGTGATATAATGACACAAATAATTAACGCTAAATTTGTTCTCAACTATTTTTTTAATGGTTTACTGATCCAGAGGTTGAGTATTGTGTATGAGTCCAACCCAACCAAGTTCAACTTCCTCCATAGTGTTGTACAGCCGGAGATTGAAGCCAAAACAGCAAAATCTTCCTCGAGTTGTACTAACGCTCTACTTTGGTTGACAAGGTAAACATATGATATTTACTACTAATCGACGTCACATACGCATTAATTTTTTGAAGTACGTCCAATCAAATCTAGTGAAAGATTGCTTGTCACAGGGAAAAAATAATTCGTGTATCTAACTAGTGAGACATAATATATATTTTATTCATGTAAAAAGCTCAATGATCTTTATCTATGAATTTTTTTTTGGATGCATACTTTCTTATAGGGCAATGGACTTCTTAATAGCAGTGTTTCAAAATATGTTGGATCATCCTGAATGGGGAATGTCACAAGTTTGCTCCTCTGCATATTCAAAGACCTTAAAGAAATGGCATAACTGGCTTGCTAGTTCAAGTTTCATGGTAAAGAAAAATTTAAAACTTATGTCTTCATTTATACAATTACATTCACTTACATATATTAAGCATGTTATCTTGGTTTTGCCTATATTTGTACAGGTAGTCATGAAGCTAGCTCCAGATAGGAAAAAATTTGTGGAGGTAATAGGAAGAGGGAATGAGGATCTTAATATACAAATGAAGGAGTTCTGCACAAGATTTTCACCTTTTCTTAGAGAAAATCACAAGTTCTTGGTAAGAAAGTAAACCGTCATATAAAATTAGTGAATTTCTATCATAACCATTGTATAGATTAAAACAAAAGCTTTCCGAACTAAAATTCTTTTACGCTTCTATTAATTTCCCAACTTTGTCTTGTAGGTGAGAGTTGGAATGGATAATCTGTGAGCTGCTGGCTAATTAGGATGTCAACAAAATAAAGAATAGTGATATATTTCTCTTCTTTTTCTATCTTCTTTTTCTTTCCAATTAATTAACACACAATTCATCAAAAATATTAACAACAAACATGTTTTTGACCAAATAGAAGCATACAAAGACAAAGGGATGGAGGCGATAAAACACATACATTTTAGTTATTGTAAGTGCAACATTCAATTGACTAAGTTAGTTACAAAATCTTCTTAAATATAAGTCAACACGTTATGCATTGTATTACTTCTGCTTCTTTCTACAAAACACTACTCTTGTCCTCTTATATTTTTTATAAAATAGTTGTACTATTATGATTGAATTCCCCCCAAACATAAATGCTTTTATTGCATAAAAATGTCAAAGTAACATTTATACTTGGGATGGTAGTATAAATATAATAATAATTATTTTTAGTTTTGGTAAGGTTGGGCGGCAGAGTGGCGTCGAGTAGGAATTAGGGTTAATATTAGGATTTCGGGTCTAGTTTCTATAAATATGGACGCGAGAATTCCTTTACGATTATTAAAAAAGAACAATATTGAAACCCTAATTCCCTATCTCTTCTTCTCTCTATTCTTTCCCAATTCTTCTTCAATCCTCAATCCATAACCCTAATTTCTCCTCTCAATCCCACTCAATCCTCCCCAATTATCTTGATTTATTATAGTGGTATCAGAGTCTGGTTGTGAGAATGAGGTAATTGAAACTCTCAACTAGGGAATGAGCTCAACTCTCACTCTAAGGAATTGGCTCGCATGTTTCAAGCTGAGATCAACATAATATGGGGCAAGGAACCACTTGCAGAAGTCACAACAGCTACTTGCGGCAATCCAACAACTCAAACACCTCGAGGCCCCATTCCTTGTTGCGCGCTCACCACTAGCTGTCCCTGTCGTTCCACCTCTATGCCATCCTTGGCAGCCACACTGTTTGCCAACCCACAGCCTCCTGACTGTTTTTGTTACTGAGGTAGCCCTAGGAAAATAGATGTCCATCGTCACTAATGAATAACCACAAAACTCAACTTTTGCGACTTTCTAAGACTTTGTTGTTGTGCATGTTGCTGTCTCCCAACCAAGGGATGACGCCGAGATATTCACAATGTCAAAGAAGACCCCTATGTCTCAACCACTTTTGGCCACTACAACAACATACACCATGCCCATACCGAAGTCGCCATCTTCCTCAAGCTGATTCAACGAACGAAAACAGTTATTGGAAATTACTGACACCATTGTCTCTAGAGGAACGAAGTCTAGATGCGGTGATGGTGAAACCAAAGCAGTCAAAATGTGGATTTTACATAAAAATCGAAAATGGGGGTAAAATCGTAATTGTAAAATTGAATCGTAAAATCGTAGGATTTTAAGGTTCATATAAAAATAAAGACGAAATAATATTAAGAAAGAAAATCACAACTAACAAAAAAACACATAACACTTAAAATGATAATTTGTCAAGGTTAATATTAAGAGGTGGTGAATCGATGATGATCAATACTTTGATGTGAATTGATGATGGTCGATGGTGGTTAGAGTGAGAGAGCTAGATGATGTTGGTGGACGAGAAGGAAAAGAGGCATAATTTTACAAATTCTGGAGGAAATAAGTAAAATTGACTAAAAGATTCGAATCGTAAAATTGTAAGATTTAAATTGTGAATAGTGTAGAATTTTAAGGTCCATAGATTTTAAAGTGAAATCAGAATCAGAATAGGCAAGAAATATCATAAAATCATAGGTTTTTAGGATTTAAAATTGAAATTTTGACTACTTTGGGTGCAGCCACCTGTTAACACCAAATTCCTTCTTGATCTCAGTAATTCTATCTTGGTTTATGAGGAACCTTAAAAAATGTGGACCATTATGGAGGAGGAAGGTTGAAGGTGGGGAAAAGAGAGTAACTTGTGGTCACATTACAAATTGGCAATTCCGCAAGAAGTAGATTGAGTTAGATGATATGGAAGAGTGTGAAACCACCATGAGCAAAAAAACACTTGTCTTGCCGCACCCCGCCGTCGACAAACATAGAGCTTTGTATACTGGAGTCTGGGAGGCAGGTTCATGTACGTATTTAAACATGGGTATTGGTTTGACTTGATTGTCTTTGATTCTTTGAAAGAAATGAAAAGTGGTTGAATAGGAAAGATGAAAAAGGAGCCGCTTTCGCAGTGGTGATGATAACTTGTGGGATTTTGACTAGGATTACATGGTCTTCTTTTACTCTACTATTCAATGAAACGTTGGAAAGGTGCCATAGTAGAGCTCGATCGCTTTTGGTGTACATTGATAAATTCCAACATTCTGTTTAAATATGGAAATGCGGGCATATGCACAAGTTGTCAAAACTTTCCCAAGTAACTTGAAAGTTCTAATGGTAGCTGTGACGTGAAGTTGTACTCCAAGTATGGTCAACCCGGGTGAAGTGTGAGTATTTTAGAGTTTAATCTCTGGGATCATCCATCAAAGCTAATTTTTGCGTTACTATAGCCAATGCAGTTAAAAGCGCGATTCTACCTAGAAGCGGAAAATGGGTAAAATCGTAAAACGTAGAATCAGAACGTAAAATCGTAAGTTTAAGCGATTTTATCGATTTTACCCATATTTTTACCAGTTTTTGTGACTAAGCGACTTTAGGTAGAAACTGAAACGTTTTGGTGGCCTGGATACGTAAAAACGTAAGTTTTTATGTTTTAATACGCGATTTTGACTGCACTAACTATAGCTATGTTTGCTGCCAAACCAATGGAAACAAAGAACCATGGTAGTGCTCTCAAGCATATGGAGCATCACAACGAAATTACTATCTTGGGATTTGAGAAGGAAATGCCTTCTCCCTTAAGAATTAAGGCATTAATTTTCCACTCCCATATTGTTGATATAAAAGAACTGGAGTATGTCTTTTATAATATGCAAATGGAGAATGATGCGGGTTAGCTGGAATTGAAGATTGAAGTTGCTTATACTTTTAGATGTCTAGTCCATTTTCACTATGCATTAAAGTATTATTGCAGGTTGGATGTAAATGGTGAACTTGACAAGAAAGAAGATATCATTTTAACCTATGCACATTTTACTAGCTTAGTTCAGGGTTGCTTGGCCCACAAGTAACTCCTATGAAATCTAGCACGACTTGATGGATGTGGCCCTACCACCATCATAAGGCCGCTATGGGTTTAAACTAATATTTATCAAGTGGACTCCTCTTGGGCTTTTATGACAACTTCATTAAGGCTTCCCCTTTATTTGGCCTTGTTTAATGGGCTAACCACCTTGATCTTCCTCAAAAATTATCCCTCATGATAATCTAATTTGATCCATTCGTTGATCCAAGTCATCCTAGAAAGTGTTTGACCTTGAAAATAACAAAAGAACACAAAAAAGTCATAAAATGATATTAAAAAAACATCCCAGGTCTATTAAAAGCACATTGATCACGTAGTTTCTACATACAACATATATGCCAAAATGTACTAAAATTTCATTGATATAAGGGGAAAATGTATGAAATATGACAGTGATAAACACTATAGTTTGAGAGTGAGCAGCGTTTTTGAAAATGTGAGATTAGTTCTTTAAGCTCGTATGTGCTTTATGGAGGGAAGAACTCTTCTATGAATGATTGGGAAAGGTTTTCCCAGGTTTATGAATGTGTTGGGATGATTTCAATCTAGCCATGCCATTTCCTTTCCATATAGGAAGAAGGGGAAAACGTGTAGCCTGATTGCATCCTTATTTCGATCTTGACCCTTGATTGCATCACAGATCTATAAGAATATCCTCACATGTTGCGCATGATTATCATCTTTCCTTCTGAAGAATCTCATGTCTCGTTGTATCATTTTGATTTGAGATGTGCACAACTTGATGGTGGATGGACGTGAAATGATGCTTGAGGTGATGTTGGAGGCCTTGAATCAAATGTATTTAGAGATGTAGGTGTGCCCATGCCATTCTCGAAGATGGTATCTCAATGATCCCATGCGAGATGGTAGATTTCTAACTTGGAAGGGGTGTGGAAAATCCTTCTTCTTGAACCTTCCAACTCGAGGTATATTGAAGGGACTTGAACTGGTGGTTTTAGCTTGAACATAGGTGATCTTAAGTCACCAAGTTCTCCTTTGTTGTGCGTAGCGAGTTTCTGTATTATCTTCTAGATCTTTTTCTCTTTTAATAGTAAGAACTTGGATCATCAACTTGCGTCTTAAAAAACCACCTAGTGAAGTGACTCGCTATGACACAACACCAAACTGCAACTAAATATAACCGAAGAATGGAAATGCAGAATAGTTTGTAAGTTTAATTTTGGTTTAATACACTTATATATCCAAAACTTTCACGGTTGTGCCAATAATATCCAAATTTTCCGAAATACCACTTATATCCATGTTTTAAAGTTGTTCTTTGCCAAATCTATCCATTTTCCAATATATTTTTGGTTAAATACACTTGTATATCCAAAAACACCGTTAAAGAATGTGAAGGAATTGGATATAAGTGGTATTTTGGGAAATTTGGATATTATTGGCACAACCGTGAAAGTTTTGGATATACAAGTGTATTTAACCTTTAATTTATCAACCCGAGGTCTAGTTTGTAAGTTTAATTTGTCTAACGAGACTGGTTGAGTGAAATGTGAATTTAAACTAAAGTAGAAAGAAAGCAGTAAATTGTCCGGTTTTCTAAAGCAAGAGAAGAGTCACTCGGGAATGAGTCCCCCTAGCTCCTTAGTTAGGTTCAAGTTGTAATTCCCTTTTGGTTGATTACTGTTAATTAGACTGCGAAAGATTCGAAAATAGCTTGGAATCTCTTAAGCTGACCAAGTCCTCTTAGACAGAACACCCGACAGGCGACTAGCCTTCACCGGAATAGACTGCTAAGGCAATTCACACAAAACTAACTAGTGGAAATGAATTCCAATACAAAGCAGTGAATTGAATGACTCTCGTACAATCAATTCACTCCTATCGATAGAAGAAGATCTAAAAACCTATTCGGATTCTATCTATCACAGGTTGAAACAGAAATAAAAAAAGTTGATCGGGATTCAATTGACTCAATAAACACATTTCTATCGATTAAAATCAATTAGCCTATCATCCCAAAAGTCATTACAATCAAGATCCCTAACACATGGAACTAGGGTTCTTCATACCCAAGTGAGAGAGAGGTTTACTCTATAGAGAGAGAAAAAGAGAGGAAAACAGAAATCAAAGCATTCATACTCATAAAGATGGGAATAATCTGCTATGGGATGCCAATCTTCACTCTTGGAGACGCAATTTGGGCTTCAATGGTGAGAAACCATTCCAAATAGCTCCTATGATTTGTTCTTTGTCACTTTCTCTCTTTGGAACTCTGGTTTTTGCTCCAAAAGTCGATTCCCCTTCGTTTGCCTCGAATATGCCTATTTAACCCGATTCTGGGTGAAATATGGGCAGGAATACGGTCGTAATTCTTCTCTGTCAATATTTTGCCCAAAGTGCGCGTTTTGCTTAGTTTGATGCAGAGAAGTCCACGATCACGTCTGGGAGAAATACTGGCAGTATTTGGCAAAGCACTGTCATATTTTTGTCCCATCACAGGCTCGCCACGGCATAAAAAACACGGGCAGCTCACTGGAGAATTACGGTCCTATTTTAGGAAGTCTGACCATATTCTCCACCTGATCCATCACCAGGCTCGGCCTAAAAAAACACCGGCATGCACCCCATTAATTACAGTCGTATATGGTGCAAGGGACGCCAGTATTTTGTTTCCAAAATCACCAAATGGTCTCCAAACGACCCGAAACTTGCGCCTAAGCCTTCCTCTACCTGCTAGGACCTGAAAGGTGACAAAATAGCACAAACTAGCGTAAAATGGGCCAAGAAAGCACAAATTCGAACTAAAACATTTAAGAAGCAAAGGTGCAAACATGTGCAAATACGACGCTATCATGAAGGCATGGTTATGGTCTTATGGAGAAGAAGAAAGTTGTAGGATGGTAGGTAGAAACACACAGCCATGAAAAAATTAAATGAATTAAGTTAATGTCTAGGATTGCATTCCATAGGGTTCTAATAATGTCTCTACTTTAGACCTACTACTAGTGTTTTAAGTAATTAAGTGGGGTTGAGATACCCCTAATCTTGCTTGTACTAAAAAAATAAAAAAGAGCAAAGGAGATTAGAGGTACAAGCACTAAAGTAAAGTGCATAAAAGTGAAAGCCAGTAAGAAAAACAAGTAAAGGGCATATGATATGAACGCATAAAGGCCATCGCGTAGGATAGTTTCATCTATAATTACTAAGTAAGGTTATGACTTAAGATATATATATATATGGTGGCTACTTCGGTGCACTCACTTTTTTGGGTGCATTCAGTGCACTCACCTCTAAAAGTGGTCATAATACATCAAATTTTGAAATTTAATGTGTAGCATTAGTCTCATATGATGATATAACACAGAATCACAACTAATCAACCCACTACCCTAACCTATTAACATTCAATTTTGAATCTAAACCCGAAATCCCAAATTGTGAACCCTAACCCTAACCCTAAATTCCTAAACCCTGAATCATTCAAATTAAGGTGAATCTTGAATGATTTTTGTACAAATTCATGTGGTTCTTGTTCATCATACTACAAGGGATGATTGACATCGTTTTCACATGAATCGTCTGCTCAGAATGACAATTATGAGGCGGGTGCATTGAATGCACCCAAAAAAGTGAGTGCACCGAAGACATAACCATATATATATATATATATATAGTACCCAAGGTGAAATCCGGGGTACCGAGTAAGAAAACGCTATTTATTACTTGAATTTACTGATGTTTCGGACATGATACTATACTCTTACCCTTAAAGATCAAAATCTAGGTCTTAATTCTCTAAATATTATACCCCAAGATCAATTTAATTAGAAACAATAATCGACGGTTATGATTCGTCCAAATATAGGCAAAAAAATAATTCACCATCTTAGGGCTTATAGTTTATGATTTAGATAATTAGGACCTAGGGTTCACTCGTTAAGGGTTAGGGTATAGTATCATGCCAAAAAATCCTGCTAATTCGAGGTCCATATAGTGTTTTCATACTCAAGGTATGCGGTATCCCGGATTTCACACGGGGTACCGTAGAAGGCACCATATATAGTGGCATCTTCGGTACACTCACTTTTTTGGGTGCATTCAGTGAACTCGCTTCATAGCCATCATTTTAAACATGCGATTTATGTCAAAATGATGTCAATCATCACTTATGATGTGACGAACAATAACACATATGAATTTGCACAAAAACCATTAAAGATTTACTTTAATTTGAAGGATTTAGAGTTTAGAGATTTAGGGTTAGGGTTAGGGTTTACAATTTGGGGTTTAGGGATAGAACTCAAAATTGGAGGTCTAGGGCTTAGGGTAATCCGCTAATTAGTTGTTAGCATATGTTATATCATCATTTACACTAATTATATAAATTAAAATTCAAAATCCGACACCTTAATACTAGATTTTGAGCCGAGTGCATTGAATGCACTCATTTCTGTGAGTGCACCGAAGCAATCACTATATATATATAGTTAAGATTACTTGTCTTGGATCTACCCTACTTCAATTGTCCGGGAACATACTCTTATCAACTAGGTCTCATAGGATATAAGGGCAATTGAACTAAATTGTGTGTGTAGTCTCCTACAGCCACCGAGATCACAGCGATTTCGCCCATGGTGAGATCCCTCCCTCGTTATCCACCCCTACAGCCACCGCGATCCTCTCTTCCTCATCTTCTTCTGTTTTCCCCGCAACTGCCCCTGCCCCGCCTCCTCCGTAAGCTACATTCGACACGCTTCTTCCACCCCCACCTCTGCCGACAGAGTATCAAGGAACTCCGCTGCAGTGGGCCGCGCATATGCCCGAGATTAAGCAACCGGCGGGGTCGACTATAATTGAGGACGAGGAGATGGAATTCGAGCCGCCGGAGGTGGAGAAATTGGTGAGGAAGCTGAAGTGCGGAGACAACGACGTGGATTGGCGCCGGCTCCTGCGCCAAATAAAGAAGAAACATGGGGGTGGAAGGGATGAAGAAGATAATTAAGATCTGGATGGAATAAGGCGGAGAAGGATTTGATTTTTTGTTTTAGATTTAATTGTACATTGTTAATTTCTCTTTACCCCTAATGTTACTATGACAATATCCATGGTGTTGTTATAGTATTCATACCCATTTTAAACTAGCATTACTCGGTAAATAAGTATGGAATTAGGTCAAATTCCTTTCCTTTGTTGGTCCTTGATTTTTAAAAGAAAAATCTTATCCTAATAAAAAACCTACTGGCAGTGATTGAGGACTACAATCCCAGTTATGTTTTTGGATTTTGGAGAAGCATTATGACATCAAAGAAGTTGTTTGCATCAGGTTTAAGATGGAACATGAGAAATGAGTAAAAAATAGCAGTGGGAATATAAAATGATACTGGGGAGGAGAATTCTATGTTAGAGCTAGGTGATTAACCATATCAGTCTCGAAATTAATATAAAATCAATCCTGAAAAGGTGGAATTTGTACATTCTACAAACACACTACAATCCACAAGACAAAAGGAGCATCATAAAGATTCTGATTCCACGAAAACCAACTGAAGATAAAGACTGTTTTTCTCCAAAAGATGCTCAACAAGACACAACTTATATGGAGCTTGGTGATGTTTGCAAAGAGATTTGGGTTGATGCCCACCAGTAAAGACTAAATTGAATGGAGCTATGAGTGGCAATTTTAATATTTCTTGCACCAGCCAGCAAAGTCGCTAAGTTGGAAAGGATAGAAGGAATTCATCTGGTCAAGGGTGAGTCAAGGGAGGAAGATCCATCTAATGGCTTGGGAAACTTGCAAGGCACCAAAAAGACCCGAAATACAGCTTTGGTGGCTAAATGGTTGTGGAGATTTGCCCGTGAGAGAGATGAATGGTGGAGGGAGTTGATAAGCCTCAAATACCCTCACAAAGCCTCAGAGTGGAGATTTGCATACCATAACAAGATTCTAACTCAGGATAATTTGAAGAAACGTGGCTGGGCGCTTCCAAATCGTTGTGTGATGTGTTGCAAGGAAGAGGAAAGTGTGGATCATCTGTCCTGACCTGCAGGTTTTCACAAATAGTGTGGTAGATCAGGTGTTGCAGTGCAGCAGTGAAGCATTAGGGAATCTTGATAAATTTGAGGTCGGTTGCAAGAGGGTCTTGCTCAGTTGTTGTACTGATGTCGCTTTTGACTTTGAGTGGTGCTTAACTCTCCTTGAGCTTGGTGTCTGTTAGATTTTATAATTGTTTGAATTTGTTTTGCGCTTTTGTGGGAACTGCTCGCTGGGCAGTTTGTATGTTGGTGACCGTTCAGTTGGCTTCCCCTTTGCTGTAGTTAGTGTGTTTGTTTGACTTTTGCTCTGTTTTTTTTTTTCCGAAACTTAATAAACTATTTCACCATTATAAAATAAAGAAAAATTTAAATAGACGGGCTCACCTCTTGACCCACAAATTGTAATTGGGAAGGGAAGATGATATTTGAATAGAAAGGCCACCATGTTTATCTCACATTTAAGAAAAGATGATAAATTCATTATCACCACCAGTTGAATAAAATGATCTTGGTCTTCTATAAAAAAAAAAAAGAGAGAAGAAAGATAGTGTACGTGTTGGTGTTGCTATTCTTAGAATAAGAGATACGTATTAACAGCAATCTAGCGCACAAGTTAGCTACAATATAGTGAAAGGAACAAAAAAGGATGTTTCCATATAACATGCAAAGCTGAGCTTTGTGAACGTCTTCAAGGGAATCTATTGTCGCGCTCTTCTCATACTATTGAATTCGATATATGACTCTGTTTCTCCGACAACACCTCGCTCTTAAAGCCGTCAACGACATTATGACCATCTCCGATCCCCGACGTTGTTGCTTTCGACTTGGATTTGGAACTCGCCCCAACCAATTCTTTTGATTTCTTTCGCCGCCCTGATTTCTTATGAGCATCTTCGACTTTGTTAACATCTCCATCCTTGGAACTGCTTCTTGATGTTGATTTGGAAGCACCATCAGCCTGATTCTGGACCTCCCTATTTGTGTTTCTGGAAGCCTTCCTCGTTTGTTTGTGTTGCTTGTTCTCTACTTCACCGTTGCCTGATGATCGTCGTCTTGATGACTTTGTTTGCTGCTCCGACGGTGGCACGGTGCCATTCCTTCTTGGAGAAGTTGTAGCACTCTTATGCTCTGTTGGATCATTTACCCAATGACCATATCATAATATCGTATCATTGATACAAAGACACATCTTATCATATCATTGTTCCAAATAGTTTCTTATTTCAAACTATTTTGACAATTCTAATGGTGATTTACCGAATTCTATTAGTTTTAGAATATAATTTTGGAGGAAGAAGTTTTAAAGACGTACTCACAGTCAGGTTTTTCATAGCGACTATTATAGATGTATGTCTATATATTCGTTACTTACAAATCAATTGCTAAGACTTGCAAAGTTACTAAATATTATAAATATTAGTGGTATAGGACATGTAAAAATGACAATAGTAGTGGTATAGATGAATAAATATGTGGAAAAATGTTTGAGGTGAGGATACCTTCAGGGATAGACTGCAAGGATGATGAACTATTATTCAAGTCTCGATTCCCATTGGGAGAACTAGATCCTGACTGTCCTTTAAATTCAGTCATCTGTATATATAACCAACATATACAATAAAAAATTACTTTTTAATTTAGTAACTATGTATGTGTGCTTAAATATAAAAAAAACCATTGATCTATCTATTGAAACATAATGGGTTAAAATATATTTTCATTGTAGTATCATATAAATTTATAGTTTGAAACGGTTACAACACCTATATTATAGCTAGAATATGAAATAATTCAGAGCTAGAACATATTCAATTAGAATCTAATAATTGGTAGAACTTTGCAAATTTATGTAATAGATGCATTGGGAAGTACCCAAGTGGGAGGACTATCATTGTTGCCATCCCAACCAATATGGGCAACATGTTTAACATCTGTAGGGTTACCAATCTGCATTTCCGCTTCCTTTTCTTCATCTGCCCGCCAAATGAGATTAATTAATACAAAATAAACATACAGAAAACAGAAATAAACAATCTGTTGCTTATTTATTAAAGAAATGAAAAAATATTAAGTTGTCAAATTAACTGATAAACATTTTCACGTACATACCAAATATCTGAGAAATGTATCGTAGGCCCTTTAAGAGACCCTTCATCGATTTCGGGTCTTTGTTCTTGTTGTGTGGGATTGACATATTGTATCTGGATCTTAATCACCCACCAATATTTTCTTATGTAATTCTTCAATAATCTAGAAATGCAAAACCCAAGAAAATATAAAATGAAAAAATAAATGATTCAAAATAATTCTAACGAAGAACACATACCTTCTACAGATGTGTAAGCTGTCTATTTGCAAAAACCCAATTAAAGTTTAAGGTTGGAAAAGATGAATGGAGCAAGAACAAGAGAAATAATTTAGAGGGCTTTGTTTCTTCTCTCCCTTTCGCGTCCTCTTTTACTGCTTAAAGTGGGTAAGAGTTCCACAAATGTTAATGGCCATTAATTAAAAAAACCTAATTGTATTCTGGGAGTTGTATTGTGGACAATGCAAATGGAAGAGCGGTGTGGAAGCATCTAACTAAAATATAATTAGTTATAACAAAATGTCAAAATTTAGAAAATGTGTAAGCAGTATTAAGGAATGACTGGCAAGAAGGATAATTTTTTTTTTGTCATAAGCTCATTGTATTACCAAGATCAACTACATAGTAGTCTTTACATAACAGGCCTAAACCAATCATGATAATCAAACACATCCAACAATGCATGGCACAAAGAAATGACTTTTTTAGCCACCAAATAGGCTATGATCATATTGCAATCCCTATCTATAAAGCGGAACTCAAAACCCGAGCAAGCCTTTATCAACTCTACCACTTCCTGAAGTATGGTTCCACCTCCGACGATCCCGCGTTTCAGTGCCATGAATTTTCTCAATCACAACTTTGGCATCACCTTGAATCAACATATCACCAAAACCTATCTGACTACACCAATGACACGCATCCTGTATAGCCAACAACTCTGCCAGAAAAGGGTCTTGGATCCCCAGATATTGAAGCCTAGTAGCCATAGCCAACTCCCCCGTAGCATTGAACAACACTAAACCCACCGCAGTGTGTGAGACAGCGGCAATCGCCCCATCCACCGCGCAAACCAAGCCACGGCGATCCATCCTCTCTCCATTTCCTTTAGCTCCCTGAACTGCCATACCACCATGTACCCTTGCAGCACGAGCCTCCCTAGCCGGCAACGCCGACCATTTCTTCACTTGAATAGTATATTGAAGAGACAAATGAGCAAAGGTAACCGGCTTCTCCTCATGCACCACCCAGTTTCTGTTGTAAGCAAGCCAACCATGAGTCACAAAACAATGGAAGGAAATCGTGGTCTTGATGAATCAGCATTTGGAAAGAATCATTGGTGCAAGGAAAGAAGATCTGTGTGAAGCGGAAGAATTTATTAGGCGAGCAATTCAGGAAAGATTTCAAAGGGAAAGACTTACCCTTCCTGAGTTGCAACGGCTAGTCACTGAGGAGTATAAAAAGCACGCTCAGAATCAAGTAGAGACACTTTTCGAGAGATCATTCATACAAGGAGAGCTAAGATCGTAGCTAGTGTGATTGATATGAAAAGAGAGACTAATTCATATTCTGGAGAGAATTTGGGTTAGGGGTGTGTTGGTTAAAACACAGTAGCTGGATAGCTGAGTGAGATTAGGGTTTAGACGAAACAATCGACTTGCAGGATTGGGACGATTGATTTCGTTGGTGTACAATTGTAAAACTTCAAGGAGCTTCGTGCTTAGTGGAACGTTGGAAATCACCTCATCGTGATCATCCGACCGTGGAATAGTCAGAGTTGAGGTTCATCTTTACCCAGCTCTGGAAACCACGTAAAAAGTGACTGTGTTCATTTTTCGTTTACTGCATTTAACCTGTGTATGTTACTTACTCTGTTTCTGCAAGGTTCAGTGTGTTAATCTGCAAACAGGGGACGTGACTCTCAGAAACAAGAAGAAGGAGTTGGGTCTGGAATTTCGAAACACACATCTTTAGGTAATAAATAATCAACTGTGCTTTACTATAGGGCCACAACGGACATATGACTGGGCCTTAGGAAACAAGCCCATTCTCATTAAAAGAAAGACTCAAATCATACTTATCCTTCTTCTATTTTCAATTCGAGCATTTCTTTTAGTTCCTCTTCATTCTGCACTTAATCTTGGTAAAAGTTGATTTAGGGTTTCAGGTGAACAAGAGAGGAAGAAGCCTATACGTGAAGCAGGCATCTCGCACTCGATGCCAGCAACACATGGTATTAGAGCACGGTCACCGATTGAGTAGGCTTGACAACCTTCGGTGAAATCCATGATGGCATCAGGATCAACTGTTGCTGCCTCGCTATACCTAGCTGATGGTTTTTCACAGAATCGACCTCCGCGCTTTGAAGGAGTCAATTATGGTTACTGGAAGAACAGTATGGAATTGTTTGTTGGATCAACTAATTCAAAGCTATGGGCAAGGGTAATCAAAGGGCCACACGAACTCAAAGCTGATCAAGAGAAATGGACTGATGAAGATTACGAAAAGTTTCAGCAAAATTGCAAGGCCACGAATCTAATGTATTGTGCCTTAGGACCAGAAGAGTATCACAAAGTTGCTGGTTGCAAGACGGCCATGGAGATATGGGAAAAACTTCAAGTAACTTATGAAGGTATATTACAAGGTAAAACTTCTCGGATCAATTCGCTGAAGCATCAATTTGAATTGTTTAAGATGGAGGAAGGTGAGTCCATTCGACAAATGTATGAGAGGTTCACGAATATAGTGAACAGCTTGGAAAATCTTGGGAAGACTTATGAGAGTGGTGATTTGATTAGAAAGATACTGTGGAGTCTTCCAGAAAAATGGGCTACAAAAGTGACAGCAATTGAGGAAGCCAAGGATTTGGAGAAACTTGTTGTATATGAACTCATAGGGTCACTGGCCACCCACGAAGATAAGCTAAACAAATCTGGGCAAGAGAAGGATATCAATGACAAAGGAAAACGGGGGATTGCCTTCAAAGCTACAAGTCAGATGGATGAACCTGAAGATTTAGACGACATGGAAGATGAAGAGCTCGCTCTCCTGAGTAAACAGATTAGTAGACTTCTCAGGATTCGAAAAGAGAAGAAGTCTGGAGGGTCTAAACTTAAAGAGTTCGAAAGAAATGAAGGAGGTACAAAATTTGGGCAATTAAGGACAACTGCACGAGGACGAAATGAAGGTATATAGAATTTCAAAGCAGTAAATACAACAGGGTGTTTCAAATGTGGGAGATCAGGACATATCAAAGCTGATTGTCCTCAACTGAAGAAAGAAAAGGCATATGCTGCGACTTGGAGTGGCAGTGAAGATGAAGGAGACGAGGATGAGGAAGTAACAGTGCACAGATCATTCATGGCGATTGCTGAAGAAAAGGAAGAAGAAGAAGAGGCCTCAAGGAGCTGTCCCTCGCAGGTAAGTATTTGTGAATCACAAATTGAGTATGAAAGTGACGATGACAAGTTGGTTGACACCATTAGGGAAATTCAACTAGAATTTGGAAATGTCAAATCAAAGTATTCACTCTTAAAGAAAGAAAATGAGTGCAATATCTTGAGAATTTATTAGCCTCCAGTGAACTAAGAGAAAAGAGTCTCGAGGCTAGCTTGTTAATTACGAAAAAGGAAAATGATAAGTATCATCTGGAATGTCAAAAACTTGAGAGTCAAATTCAAGGGTATCTAGATTAGTTGAAGAATTCTAACAGGGGTGAACACCATAAGGCAGTTGAATGCTATTATTGTCACAAGTTTGGTCATGTTATACGAGATTGTAAAAGGAGATTGAGATCAGAAAGTAGGAAAAGTAAAATCAATATGTTTGATTACTCTCAGAGAACATCTGATTGGCATAAGTTTCATTCAAGACAACCCAAGCAAGTCTGGGTTAGAAAAACAACATGACTTATGTGTGTGCAGAGTTGTCTTCAAGTGATCATGGAGACCTCTAAGTGGATCATGGACAGTGGTTTCTCACATCATATGACAGGTAACAAATTTTTATTTTCGAGTCTTGAGCTAGGAAGCTTTGGTAAGGTGTTTTTTGGTGATAATAATTCTGCTGAAATCATTGGGAAAGGTTAGGTGGGGTCATGCCCTTCTATAAAGAAAATGTAATGTTGGTTAGTGGTTTAAAACACAATCTAATGTCAATTAGTCATATGTGTGGTAAGGAGTGTAGAGTGATTTTTGAACCAAACTGCTGTTATGTTGAAAACATTAAGTCAAAACAAATCTTGTTCACTGGGAAACGAAATGGTAAGATATATACTATTGATCTTAATGATAAAGACAGCTTCAATGAAACCTGCCTAGTTAGTTTGAACAGAAATCCACAAGAAGACTGGCATAGACGTCTAGGGCATGTGAACGTTAGCACTTTATCCAAATTATCCCGTTTAGGGTTGGTTAAGGGTATGCCGAGAATGAATGAGAATCAGGAATTCTTTTGTGATGCATGTGCAAAAGGAAAACAAACTAGAACTAGCTTTAAAAGCAAACCAGTCATCTCTACATCTAGACCTTTGGAGCTTTTACATCTAGACCTATTTGGACCCACTAATGTAGTAAGTTATGGGGGTAAATCTTATGCCTTTGTGATAGTTGATGATTTCTCAAGATTTACATGGGTCCTATTTTTGGCCAAAAAGGATGAAGCTATTGCAAACTTTAAGATCCTACTTAAACGCATTGAGAATGAAACAATGTCCAAAGTGTACAGCATTCGAAGTGATCATGGAGGGGAATTTCTATTGATCTCTTTGAAGTGTTTTGCAATGAACTTGGAATATTTCACAACTTTTCTGCACCTCGAACCCCTCAACAAAATGGGGTAGTAGAAAGGAAAAATCGGACTTTGATTGACATTGCACGCACCATGCTTCATGACTATGGCATTCCAAAATATTTTTGGGCTGAAGCCATAAATACAACATGTTATGTAGTCAATAAAACTCCTTATGAGATCTGGAAAGGTAGAAGACCTAGTCTGGGATACTTTTGCACCTTTGGGTGTAAGTGTTTTGCTCTGAATACAAAGGATAATCTTGGGATTTGATGCAAAATCAGATGAAGCTGTGTTTTTAGGGTATTTGAATTCTAGCAAGGCTTATAGAATTTTTAATAAAAGGACCCTCAAGTTGAGGAGTCCATTAATGTGGTATTTGATGAAGCTACTATTGAGATTACAGATGTCATTGATGATGATGATTTTGGCCTTGGGAGGCCATTACCCTTTATCTTAGACAAGAACTCAGAGCACCAAGTTCAGGAGGATAAATCGACTGGAAATGCAGATCCAAACCTATTGGATCAGGAGCTGCAAAATAATGAGGTAAGGAGTAACTCATCCTTGTCTGGAAGTGGAGTAGGAGCAAGCTCAACTACTGTTGAGTCTCAACCTCCAACTTACATCACCAAACGACATCCTCCTGCCCAAATAATTGGCCCCATCGACAAAGGTATGCTCACTAGATTAAAAGCCTTCCCTTCTCATACTGCATTTGTGTCGATGATTGAACCAAAGTCTGTTCAAGAGCCCTTGTCTGATGAATTCTGGACTGCTGCTATGTTTGATGAAATGCATCAGTTTGAGAGAGCAAATGTTTGGGAACTTGTTCCAAAACCTGAAAATAGAGTTATTATCGGGACTAAAGGGATCTATAAAAATAAAACTGATGAAATTGGGGTAATAACTAGAAACAGGGCTAGATTGGTAGCTCAAGGATACAATCAAGAGGAGGGCATAGATTTTGATGAAACTTTTGCTCCTGTAGCTCGCCTTGAAGCTGTTAGGATGCTGTGTGCTTTTGCTAGTGATTCTAGAATTAAATTATACCAAATGGATGTCAAAAGTGCTTTCCTAAATGGGGATCTAAAAGAGGAAGTGTATGTTGCACAACCCCCTAGATTTGAAGATAAAAAATACCCTAATCATGTGTATAGATTAAAGAAAGCCCTGTATGGTTTAAAACAAGCTCCCAGAGCTTGGTATGATAAACTGAGCTCTATTCTGTTAGAAAACAGTTTTCATAGAGGGTCAGTTGATAAAACACTCTTTTCTAAACAAAAGTCAGGTCAGTTGCTGTTAGTCCAAGTATATGTCGATGACATTATATTTGGGGGAACGAGTAAGGAAATGTGTTTAGATTTTGAAAAACTTATGAAGAATAACTTTGAAATGAGCCTTATGGGGGAGCTCAATTATTTTATGGGTTTACAGATAAAACAGACTTCTAAGGGAATCTTCATCTGTCAATCTAAATACATTCAAAACATGCTAAAACGCTTTGAATTTGGCAATCTAAAATCTGCTATTACTCCCATGGCCTCTTCACTTAAAATAGATAAAGATGAATCTGGAAACTCTGTAAATGAAAAATTTTATAGGGGGTTAATTAGATCACTTTTGTACGTGACTGCTAGTAGACCCGACATCTTATTCAGTGTGTGTGTGTGTGTGTGTGTGTGTGTGTGTGTGTGTGTGTGTGTGTGTGTGTGTGTGTGTGTGTGTGTGCTCGTTTTCAAAGTGCACCTAAGGACAGTCATCTGTCTGCTGTCAAAAGGATCTTTAGATACTTGGCAGGAACTATCGATTTTGGGTTGTGGTACTCGTGTGAATCAAGTCTAGAGTTGGTAGGGTACTCTGATTCAGACTATGCACTATGCAGGGTGCATAGTTGATCGGAAGAGCACTTCTGGAACATGTCACTTTATGGGAACTTCTCTGGTGGCATGGTTCAGCAAGAAACAGAATTTTGTTGTCTTGTCAACTGCAGAAGCAGAATACATTGCAGCAGGGTGCTGTTGCACTCAGCTGTTGTGGATGAAATATCAATTGCTTGATTATGGCCTAGAATTTGGATCCCTACCTGTGGTGTGTGATAATACGAGTGCGATAAACATGTCCAAGAACCCTGTAAAATATTCTAAAACCAAGCACATAGAGATTCGTTTCCATTTCATTAGGGAGCTGGTTCAAGAGGATATAATTCACCTAGAGTTTGTTCCCACTGACTTTCAATTGGCTGATATTTTCACAAAGCCTTTGGGCTCTGAACCCTTCGTTCGCATTCGTCGAGAGCTAGGTTTATTCGACTTGAAGGACATAGTTGAATTGTCTGCTCAATCCTGATTTTTTCCCTTATTGCGAATCAGGGTTACCCTTCTTACTCAAATTCCCCATGATTCGTGGAACTTCTGTTCTTTCGGACCAAGTCTCTTCTTACCTTATTCATGTTCTATCTTTCCTTAGTTAAGCCCATGTTCCACTATAAAAGTCTTAGGGTCGAAACCTTCCCTTCATCAAACTAAAACTTCTTCTCTCTTCCAACTAATAATGGCTGCTCCCAATCAACATGGGGCGTCCCTGCGTTTGGCTCAAGCTGCAATTTTCAATGGCAAAGGGTTTGAGGATGCAGCTGGCTATGCTCGTTACCTTCTCCAGTTCCAAGATCGTCCACTACATCCTTCCATCACTCTCGATCTGTCCAGGTTCAACAGGTATGGGATGGTATCCCGCGCCTGATCAACACCATTGGCTGGGGTGACATCCTTCCAAATCGAAACTTCTGGTTTCGTCCTGAGGCTGTGCGCATGTTTTATGCGAACATGAAGCCATGCTTTCACATCTCTCCACCATGTTTCACAACGATAGTGTATAATTATCTTATAACTATTAATGTGGAGCTGTTGTCTCTTCTACTTGGCATTCCTATCTCTGGAGCTGAAGTCATGAATGAGTCTGACTTCCAATCTGTTGAGTTCAATGAGGGTGATGCTCTGCGTCTGTATACCCGTGATACAGGTCGCTACTATCCCTCTGAATTCCATTCTGGGAGACTCCCTAATGATCTCAAAGTACCGCACTTTTACATATCACGACTCTTCCTGTCTAGATCGTTGGGCTCAATACTATTTATCCTTCTGACTTATGGATTCTCGCTAGTGCCAAGGAGAACCGGGTTATAAGCTATCCTCACTTGATGTTCGACCATATGTTGAACTACCATGCTGATAACTATGATGCCGAGCTTCCATTTGCTCCACATATAACTCAGATTCTGCTGGCCTTAGGAATAGATTTGAGGTTTAAAGTGGCTCGTGTGGACATGATCAGTTCTCTTCGTGCTCAGTTCATTCTGCGCAAGGTAGATGCATATGTTGGCCGTCGTCGCCCTTGTCAATGCTCCAGGGGGATAAGCAGCTACCCATGCAATTCCCTCTCATGAGGATGGACTCCTCAGTCTTGCTGAGTTGGGTGGGGATGAAGCAGTGGAATAACTAGATATAGCAGAATTGGTTGGAGCGGTCAGAGAGAACAGCAAGCAACCTATGGTGGATCCTTTGGAGGCTGTTCAAGCCATGTTCAGGCAGGAGGAAGCAAGCACATCAGTAGGAATCTGATGATGGAGGTTGAAGATGCTATATCAGATTATGTGCCATCACCTAAGTTTTCGTTCTAGGGGGAGTATTGATCTTAGGGGGAGTTTGATAGTTGGTATTTCCTTAATAAGTATGTCTTAGAATCTGCAGTGTTGATGTTTAATAAAGCTCTTTCTGAGCGCGTGTCTGTGTGTCTTTTGAGACTGTGTCTCGATGTCTTAAGTATCGAATCTGATAGTTGAATAACATGTCCCTTGTTCAATTTTCACTCTGTGTGATTTATCACTGCCAAAACGTTTAGAGTAGTCTGCACGTAACCGTGTGTTAAATGTGTGCAGGAACTTCATAGGCAGTTGTGGGATCATTGACGGTCTTAGGGGGAGAATGCTATAAGCAAGCCAGCCATGAGTCGCAGAACAAAGGAAGGAAATCGTGGTCTTGATGAATCAGCATTTGGAAAGAATCATTAGTGCAAGGAAGGAAGATCTGTGTGGAGCGGAAGAATTTATTAGGCGAGCAATTCGGGAAAGATTTCAAAGGGAAAGACTTACCCTTCTTGAGCTGCAACGACTAGTCACTGAGGAGTATAAAAAGCACGCTCAGAATCAAGCAGTGTGATTGATACGAAAAGAGAGACTAATTCATATTCTGGAGAGAATTTGGGTTAGGGGTGTGTTGGTTAAAACACAGTAGCTGGATAGCTGGGTGAGATCAGGGTTTAGACGAAACAATCGACTTGCGGGATTGGGACGATTGATTTTGTTGGTGTAAAATTGTAAAACTTCAAGGAGCTTCGTGCTTAGTGGAATGTCGGAAATCACCTCATCGTGTCATCCGACCGTTAAATAGTCAGAGTTGGGGTTCATCTTTACCCAGATCTGGAAACCACGTAAAAAGTGACTGTGTTCATTTTTCGTTTACTGCATTTAACATGTGTATGTTACTTACTCTGTTTCAGCAAGGTTCAGTGTGTTAATCTGCAAACAGGGGACGTGACTCTCAGAAACAAGAAGAAGGAGTTGGGTCTGGAATTTCGAAACGCACAGCTTTAGGGAATAAATAATCAACTGTGCTTAACTATAGGGCCGCAACGGACATCTGACTGGGCCTTAGGAAACAAGCCCATTCTCATTAAAAGAAAGACCCAAATCATACTTATCCTTCTTCTATTTTCAATTCGAGCATTTCTTCTAGCTCCTCTTCATTCTGCACTTAATCTTGGCAAAAGTTGATTTAGGGTTTCAGGTGAACAAGAGAGGAAGAAGCCTATACGTGAAGCAGGCATCTCGCGCTCGATGCCACCAATAGTTTCTTGACTTCCATATCTGCCAAAATATGGCCACTCCTATTCCATCCATCGTAGGAAGAAAATCCTAAATGTTGTCCTATTCAATCCTATGGTATAATAATCAGAATTTTTTTCGATGAATTGATTATCGATATGATATAAGAGTCTTTGATTGGCAGGTTGTTGAGTTATAGTGACGTACAGGTACAGTTGAAGTAGTGGCTGAGCCAGAAATTTGAATGAGGGGGAAAAACTTGAATTGTGGTAATTGAGGAAGGGGATTGACTATTTTAATTTTTAAATATTTTTAAAATTTACCTATATTTCAAAGTTGAGGGGTGGGAACTACAACCCCTCCTGATTTCAACCTAGCTTCACTTTAGCTTCTTGGGCATACTGTGTATGTTAGTTACGAAGCTTTCTATAGGCCCATGTTCATGCACAAGGGGAATCGGTAGAATCCTAGCTCGTGAGTCTATATATTTGTAGTTTTGTACCTTGTAAATTGACAGAAATCCACAGAATAATATGATCCTAAACTTCTTTCATGGAATAGTCTAGCCTCGAATCATGATCCCCAAACGAATCATTAGTAAGAAAAGTTGTATGAATATCCTACAAATAGAGAAATTGCTTAGGTGTCTCTTTGGCTTTGTAGATTAATTGGTAATGTATCTTGTTGGTGAGGAAGGAATTTGTGTAAAAAGGGAGTAATCATGAATTCTTGATAAGATGTTTTATGAATATTATGAACCTATGATAGGATAGAAGGTTGTGTCTTTAAAGATATCTTTTGTATTAGCCTGTGTAGGAAGATGCTCATTTTTGCTAATCAGTGTAAAAGGAAACAAATTTTCTGAAAAATCCACATCCCTACTAATGGTTAGTATATTCTTACTATATTCTTACCATCATGATACATTTCCATACCACTGTAGTATAATAGTAGTATAATTTTATGTATTATCAAGCATTACCGTTATGGTATAGACTGATAATATATGTCTCAATTTTCTTTTGATCCAAAATATATAAAAGTGGATGTTATTTTCGAAGTTACAATTAATATGATTTTTTGTATAAAAAATTAAATTATGACTTAAGACAAAATATATATCACCTGTTAAAATTAACTGGGAGAAGAGCTGGTTGTCTTTTATAAATGGTAATTGAAATATATGGATGTTAATATATAAGTAATTTATGGAGGGATCCGCTCACAACGTCCATTCCTGGCTAAATTGCAAGTTTGGTCGAGGGATCCGCTCACAACGTCCATTCCTGCTTAAATTGCAAGTTTGGTCACTTGAATTACTAGTAAAGTTCACGTTAGCCACTAGAATTACTTTATTCCATCCATAGTCACTTAAATTAGGGTAACAGTCCAAGTTTGGTCGCTGGCCGTTAGTCTCCGTTAACTTTTGCTAATGTGGCGGTCAACTCTAATAGTTGACCGTTAAATAGGTGACGTGATAATTAAAAAATAAATAAAATTTAATCTATTAAAAATTCCACCTCATTATCATAATAATTAAAAAATAACTTTAAGTCAATTGATCGTTAAATCGTTGTCCCCTTTGATCGCCGGCGTCAGAGATCTGGCGAACGGGCCGGAGGCAGGCTGACTTGTCGTACGGTAAGGTGTATTCGACCCGCTTCGACTCTCGGTTATGTAAACGGGTCCCGACATCGTGGTGCGGAGAGCTCAAGCCCTGGCTCTATGAACATCATCTTCTTCTCCTTTCTTCTCTTCAAAGCCCTCGACTTTGCGATTGGTATGAGCCCATTTCAGCTTGAAGAAGACCAGCGCGTTCTTCCACCACCGGTTGTTGATCTTGGCCTTGTTGGACTGAATCTTTAATTTTCAGAGATTCGTCTCTAGAGAGGGGCTTCTGGAGCTTGAAGTGCAGAGTGTCGATGGATTTCGCTGTTGCGGTGGAGTTGAGCTTGTGCTTCTTCGCTTCTTCTAAGAAGTGGGGGAAAACAGAGTAATTGTTGGTTAAATAGATTCTCTGTGAGATAATCGAAGGTTTTCATAAATCGCCATGATTATGTATATCACTATGAATGCCACCTTAATTATGTAAAAGGTCTGTCGAGTACACTTCTACTCGCTATTGGAGAGTACAAGACTGTGTAAAAGGTCTGTCGGCTCGTTCTCCGTCGGCGATCGGCAGGTTCAGGAACAAGGTAGTTGCGGCCAGGCGCTGCGTGGTGGTCACGGATGACGGGCGGTGTTCGTGGATAGGGAGGAACGTTCTCCGGGGAGGGGGCAACGCGGTGGTGGCGGCGACTTTCTGTTTGGGAGTCGTCAGCTCGGCGTCGAGCGGGATTGGCGGCGGTGCATTCATGCTCGTCCGAATGGCCTTCGGCATGTGGGAGGTTGCTCCGATTAAAGCTTCCCATTAAGGCTCAAGAATTTGGGCTTCGATTTTTCAACAGTGGGATTAAGTAGGGATGGCAACTTTGCGCATACCCATTGGTTTTTTACTATCCAACCCAATTGGGTTGGGTATGAAATCCAAATAGATGGATATGGGTAGAGTTTGATGGGTTTGTACCCATACCCATTTACTTTGGGTTAAGTTGGGTTTATATCAAATGGATTTGTACCCATGCCCAAATACAAATTACAGTTTGGTACCCAAACTTAATAGATATGCATATTTAGTACCTAAATTTAATTTTTTTTGCATATAAGTCCTCAAAATATCGATGGAAAATTACGTTTTGGTATCTAAATTTTTTTGGTCTTACATTTTGGTACCTAAACTTTTCAAGTTTTGCAAATAGGTCCAATTTTTGCATGTGTAGTTAAAACACCCTCAAGTAAATGGATATCCATATCCAACCCATACCCATTTAGATTATGGAAGCCCCAAACCCAAACCCATCTATAAACCCCCAAATCCATATGCACTTCACCCATACCCAACCCATTATCAATGGGTCTACTTGGGTTTGGGTATAATTACCCATGGGTGGGTAATTTGTCATCCCTAGGATTAAGGTTATTTTTTAATTATTATGATATATTGAGGTGGAATTTTTATTAGATTAGTATTTTAATATTTATATTTTAATTATTACATCGCCTATTTAACGGTCAACTATAAGAGTTGACCGTTTAATCAGTAAAAGTTAACGGAGACTAATTGTCAGTGACCAAATTTGGACTGCTAGCCTAATTTAAGTGACTACGGATGAAATAAAGAAATTCCAGTGGCTAACGTGAACTTTACTAGTAATTCAAGTGACCAAACTTGCAATTTAGCAGTCCATTGCTCTTTATGGGGAACGGCTACGGTGCTAATTGTACAATAGTTAGCACCGTCTTAATCAAGGGAAAAACTACTACTAGTTTGAATTAGTAGTGATTTAGCTTAGATGTTGTATTGATTTTATAATAATTCGTAGTGATTTTTGCTAGTTATCACGGTGCTAATCCCTATAAAGGTTAGCACCTAATCCCATCCCCTCTTTATGTCAGTTGTGATTGAAAAAATATTAGTAGTAGCCTAAAATTGGGGAGCAGCAGTTAGAGAACGAATAGTGTGTATACTGTATACCTATGCATGCATAACCCTAAATTTACCATTTACAGAGGACGACTAATTTTTCCCCAATTAAGTTTAACGGGCTATATATTTTGTTTTAATTCATAATTTAATTTATTTGATATATATTGGGAAAAGAATTGGGATTTACATTACCAGTCCATAATATAGTGGTAATGTTTGTTAGTATACAAGATTGTACAACGATGATATGAAAGTGTACATGGTGGTATGAATATATCTAACTATCATTTAACACCAATAACCATCCTATATCATGGTGGTATATTTGGTCTTAAAAAATGTTCTTTTGAAATTTGTAGATCCAATAGATCATGATGAACTCTTTTCTCTTGTGCGTAATTTTTAAAATAAAGTGAAAAACGAAGGTGGCACATAGTAGTACCAACTTACCGGTATTGTAACAAGTGGCAAATGATGCAAATTTTATTGTTGAAATATATTGAAAATGAATATCTAAAATAAGAAGGAAACTAGAAATCCAAGCTAGACTGTGGCCGTCTGGAAACCGCGAATCTTCTTAAACTCCGATTTTCAAAAAGTCCACCTGCTTTCGGCATCTCAGATTCCTTCTCAGCTCCACCGCCACATAAAATCCGAAGACTCGAATCCGCCATCACTCTGCTTTCCCTCCCCGTTCGTTGCGCCTCCAAACGCGCCGCTGAATCTTCGGGAAGCTCAGACTATGGCAATGGCTGGACTGTACCGTCGGATCCTCCCATCTCCTCCCGCGATCGATTTTGCTTCTTCCGAAGGAAAGGTAGAGTAAACCTTTGCAATTGTCCCTCTCCTTATGTTATGTATCCCACCACCACATTTCGATTTTTGAGGAATTAGGGTTTCGTCTGTCGTAAGGTAGATGTTGATGGTTAGTCTGCAGCGGCGATAGTCATGACTAGTCAGGGAGCTCGGTTTTCATACGCTGAGCAACATGGCTACTTTTACCAGCTTTTGGTTTCCGATAAAATGATCTCAAATTGTTTGCTCTTTTGGAGTTGCAGCAAATTTTTCTTGAGGCGCTTCAAAATGGAACCATGGAAGGTTTCTATAAGTTGATATCGTCCTTCCAGACGCAGTCCGAGCCTGCCTACTGCGGTCTGGCAAGCCTTTCTATGGTCTTGAATGCACTTGCAATTGATCCTGGGAGGAAATGGAAAGGTAACAGCAGCTCTGTGTGAGTTTGGTCTCAAGTATGAATTGCATCAGGCTAGAGTCTTGGTTCAGGTAGATATGTGATCTTAACATGAATTGCTCAACCTGTGTATACTTGTAGCCCTTATTTAGGCTTGAATTGTATTTTTACTTAACCTGTCTCTTAAAAATAGCTGCTATATAGCAGAGAGTTGCTTCTTCCTGCGTTCAAAATTGATTCACGTGTTCTATCACATTGGATAGAATAGGGAACATTGAGAACCGTCATGACCTTGATGCAGGACCGTGGAGGTGGTTCGACGAGTCCATGCTGGATTGCTGTGAGCCTTTGGAAAAGGTTAAAGCAGAGGGCATTTCGTTTGGAAAAGTCGTTTGTTTGGGACGATGTGCCGGTGCAAAAGTTGAAGCTTTCCGGACCACTCAAAGCACCATTGATGACTTTCGTAAACATGTCATTAGATGTTCCACTTCTGATGATTGCCATGTGATTTCATCATATCATAGAGGGGTTTTTAAACAGGTATTTCTCTTTAGCTGCGGATCCCTATCTTAGCGACTCTTCATCACTGGTACTGATCTGAGGTCTGCCAGTATTCTAGGGCTTGAATATTTTGCTAAAGCAATTAAAACTTTTACTATGGATCCTTTTTCTTATCCAATCCCAGATTGGTGCTTGTCAATGTAATGTGGTAAAACTTATAATTGCAAATGAATTATTCAGTTGTTCTTGGTTATATATTAACAGAAGTTAGACGTGAGCTTTTCTGTCTGTGGGAAGAAAATAATGCTATCAGAAAGCTTGGCTTGCAAGATTACTTATCTAAATATGGATAACTACAATTTTCGTTATTACTGGATTGCAGACCTAGTCATGAAACTTGCCTATTTTCAGTTCAGGAGCTTAACGGGGCTTGTTTATTTCTCTATCTTCACCCCTTAATTTCAGACAGGGACTGGTCATTTTTCACCTATTGGTGGCTATCATGCTGGAAGGGACATGGCTTTGATTTTGGATGTTGCACGATTTAAGTATCCTCCACACTGGGTTCCACTAAGTCTTCTCTGGGAAGCCATGGATGCAATTGACGTGACAACTGGACATCATAGAGGGTAGGATCTTATATTCTTTTTAATAGCTTGAGCCTCTTCAAAATTACTGAGTGGAGAGTCTAATAAAAGTGCATAAAAGGTTCATCTTTTGCATTAGCATGTAAAATAATTATTAGATGGAAACTAAGCCAGAAAGTACTGATGCAGTGAACTAATGTTCATTGCAAAACAACCTTGTCTTTTGGTAAACCTGCATATCAATTTTTCATGTGATATGTTTTTGTCTCATCATAGTGCTTTACCATTGACATAATTCTCCTTTACCTAGCAGAATATTGGTCGTGTATCTCACACACACTAGGCTAGGTTCTATCATCTTAACTTAGCCTGCATTATTCTGTATGATCATGAAAGATATTCTAAAGCTGCTCATTTCAGTTATGTCCAGTGCTCTACATCTCTTTGGAGACTACAGCACAGAGCAGATCGATGATTGGTTACAGGGCCATCACTTTTTTTAACGTCCCTTTCTCCCTTTCTACTTATGTAACTGTTGGATCTTACAGGTTCATACTCTTATCACGGCCTCGTACAGAGCCAGGACTGCTTTATACCCTTGTAAGTTTACAGTTGGCACCACTTCCTCGTTAGTTATTGGTCTCTGAAGTTTCAGTTTGAACCACTAGTTTCTGATATAATATAGTTTGGCAACACTGTTTCTCCTCATTAGTATTTTGGGAGTGAAAATGCAGCAAATTTTAAATTTTTGGTGCTCTTGTATTATATATTTTCTTACTTTTTTTTTATTTCACAGAGCTGTAAGCAAGAGAGTTGGAGTGGCTTCGCCAAGTATCTAATTGATGAAGTTCCTGTGCTCTTGAAGTCTGAAGACTTGGAAGATATTGACAAGCTACTACAAGTCGTCTTAGTGTCCTTACCATCACATTTTGGCGATTTCATCAAGTGGATTGCTGAAGTTCGAAGACAAGAGGATGGTGGTGAAAACATAAGCCAAGAGGAGAAAGGACGACTAGCCATGAAGGTGTTTTACAAACTCAAACCCTCTACTATAGGCATTTTCTTCTTTTGACATTTCCTTAACTAAGGGGGGTCAAAATGCAAGTAACTGATTGTTATGTTGGATTTTTTTGACAGGAGGAGGTACTGCAACAAGTGAGAGACACTGGCCTTTTCAAACACGTTGCCACACTTTTGTCTTCTGCAACATCTTGTAGAAGCATGGCAACTAAGAGACAAGGTGATGACGATCTTCTCTCTGATATTGCCGCAAAGCTCTGCTGCCAAGGGGCCGAGATTTTGGCCGGGAAGTCTTTCGAAGGATGCTGTTGCATGGAAACATGCATAAGATGCTTGAAAGAAAACGGTGACAATTCCATCACTGTAGTCTCTGCAACAGTTGTCAATGGTGGGAGTCAGCAGGGACTTGAGGTCCTGGTTCCTTCATCTGAAAAGAAACAGAAGTCTTGTGATTGTTGCTCTAGTAACCTGATGTTCCCAGCTAGCAGTGATGTCCTGACAGCACTTTTATTGGCTCTGCCTCCTGAAACGTGGTCTGGTATCAAATATGACAAACTTCTCAAAGAGGTGTTTACTCTCGTCTCCGTCGAAAGTCTCCCTGTTTTGCTCCAAGAAGAGGTAACCAATTTGCCCTCTCCTCTTGCAGCATTGTTTATCTGGTTGCCTTCCTTCCATTTACTCATTTGTCCAAGGTTGTGTTGTTTTTATTCAACTAGAATCCAATTGGTGTCTATCCCTTTCATGAAGAAAGGTTTTCCTACCATATTAATCTAGTATAAAAAAACACTTCAATATATATTACTGGAGGAGTGACCATTGATCTCTAGCCGAGTTAAACGTATACTTAACTGAATGACCTGTTGCTGAATTACTGCATGCTACTTATATGCAACTTATCCTTACCCTTATTCCACTCTGGTCTCATATTTAAGTTTTAACTATTGAGCTGCAGGTTTTGCATCTGCGGCACCAGCTCCGCCTTCTAAAGATATGTTTGAGGAATAAGGAAGAAGATTTAGCTGCACCCCTTCCGTAGTCACCGGAGCAGAATCTTTTATTTAGTGAACCATTTTGTGCAGATAATCTGAGATTGCTGTGGATTTGTTAAGATACGGGAGGGAGCAGAGGCCAGAAGGTTATTCATTCTTATGCATGAGAAATGAAGCATACTATTACACGGTGATCTTATTCCTTACATATGTTATTTATGTGTATGACCACTTCCAGATGATCGATCGATCCTTTGTGCGGTTCTGCTTTTGCATCTCCTCCGATCATAGTTCGGAAAGAGATAACAGCTGATGATGTACTGGAATGAGCCAGATAGAATCTCAATTCATCACATTATTGATAAGTTTCATAGCTCAAGTGACTTGAGCTAGATGCTTCTTGAGAAAATAAATCGAGTATTATTGGTGCAAGTATTTTTTTTTTTTTTTTTTTTGGGTCGAGTTGCACGTTGCCTATCCTTTCTATTGGTTGCTCAATAGTCAATACTCAGTTGTGCGGAGATAACTTGAGAAGAAATTTCTTTCATATGAACGCGACTTTCTGTGTTCTAGCTTTCACATCCTTGTAAAGAAATTTTACTACAACTAGGAAAGAAGCCTGCGGCTGCCTAGAACGCTATAACAATATTCTTCATGATTCATGCTTGGAAAGATACAGACAAAACAACGTTGAATAACATGTTTTTATTTGATTTATTTATTTGAAGCAGAATTGATTTCCAGAACATATGATTGTTCTATATGGCCGTTGTGCGACTAGTCGAGTAATCTTTGACTCATCGTCATTGAGCTCTATGCTCTTGGTGATACTCTTTGTTGTTCTGATGATTTCCTACACTAACATTTTATTTTGTGGTGATGCACATGTAGGGCTGCAAACGAGCCGAGTCGAGTCGAGTTTTTGCTTAGCTTGAGCTCGGCTCGTTTATTAATTTTTCAGCTCGAGCTCGGCTCGAACTCGAATTTTGATAATCCAGCTCGAGCTCGAGCTCGGCTTGAATAAAAATAATCTAGCTCGAGCTCGACTCGGTAGAGCTCGATAAATGCTCATTAACATAGCTTGTTAAGCTGAGTACAAGCTCGGCTCAAGATGAGCTCGATTTAAAATCATTTTTGCTGGAAAAATGTATAAACATAAGAATTTAAATGATAGAAAGAACACTAGAAACTAGAAATAACATCTAAATTTCATACACATTTGTATTATAAGACAATGTTCATGTTTAAAAGAGTAATTCATCCTTCCACAAGCTCAAAACAAGGCAGCTCGCGAGCTTAGCTCGACAAGCCACCGAATCAAGCTAGCTCGCGAGCTTATCAAGCTGAGCATGGTCTAGCTCAGGCTTGGCTCGTTAACTAACGAGTTGGCTCGCGAGCCGGCTTGTTAAATAACGAGTCGAGTGTCGAACGAGTTTTTTCCGATTCGAACGCCGAGTTGCTCGCGAGCGGCTTGGCTCATTTGCAGCCCTATGCACATGTTGTCATATGATTGGTTAATGCGAGGGACTCGTCGCACGCAATGAGCGGAGCTATCATGAAGTAAATCCATGTGGTGCGTACATCTTTTCAGCGCAACGTTTCATTTCGCGCAATGAAAGTATAACAGGACCACCCATTCCGTGGCACAAAAGACCCTTGTCGACCAACATTTTTTTCTTCTTAGTTCCATTTGGTGGCCTGACCTGCAAAGGTCTTGTATATAGGGATGACAACAAAACCCGAACCCACGTGTACCCACCCGACCCAACCCGGTCAATGCAGGTAAAACTCGTGTTGACGGGTTTTGGGCCGGGTTCGGGTTTAAACCCGCAACACTATTCACCGGGTCGGATTGGGTTTGGGTTTAGGTAAACCCGCCCCATGGGTATCCGCCCACACACATATAATTATTTTCCCGGTATATTTAATATTCTAAATAATATATCTTCCTTAAATAACTAATATTCTTTATGTTTATGGAGACATGTATAATTTGTTTTTTCTAATTGTTTAGAATGAAGTTGATATTATGAAGTGGAGATTGAAGAAACTTAGTTGACGAGGAAGAAGCTTTCAATTAATCTTATTGTTTATAGATGTTTATCTTTAATTTTGAACAATTTGTATTGATCATTTGCGGTTTGCTTGTATGCTCTAGATTGGTGTTTTTTGTATGATTAATTTGTATGAGAAAATTGATGTTAAACTTTTATTTTGAAAGAAACTTGTTATTGTAAATTTTTTACCATAAAAACCCACGGGTACCCATGAACCCGCAGATACCCAGCGGGTTGGGTTGGGTTTGAGTTTTCCAAACCCAACGGGTTTTACCCTGGGTTTTTTTGGTGGATAAACTCATGGGTTTGGGTTTGACAAAACCCGCCCCAACCCGACCCATTGCCATCCCTACTTGTAGGGGTGGGCAATGGGCGGGTTGGGTGGATTTTGGTCTATAATTGACCCACCCGCTTACTAGCGGGTTGGAATATATGTGACCCGCAATCCACCCACATACTTATGCGGGTTGGGTTGGGTGGGTGGCGGATGGGTGCGGTTGGGTCGCGGGTTAACCCGCAAAAGCAATTCTCCAACTAACCATTAAGAAAATTGACTAACATTTATAATAAGTTCATAGCACATTAGTAAGATTGTATCAATAATTTGCGATTTTGATACAATTAATAATTTATAGTTTGTATCTCAATATTTAATGGATATAAACAATAATTTGCATGCCACTATCCATTGCAAATGGATATTGCACAACACAATAAACAATAATAGTAGTCAAAATTATTCTTTATTCTCTACCTTTTGCAGTATATGGTCAGACTGTAGTGCATTTTGAAAATATAATGAATATTCGATACTATAAGAAACAACATTTTTTCATATAAAAAATAGAATGCGGGTCATACGCGTGACCCGCAATCCACCCGCCATCCACCCACATAAGTGCGGGTGGGAGATTTAACAATCCGCAATCCACCCACATCAATCACCCATTGCATGCGGATCGGGTTATTTGCGGGTGGATCGATATCAATCCGCGGATTAACCACCCACGTGCCCACCCCTACCTACTTGTATATTGTCGTATCTATGTTATTTCCCCGCGGGGATACCTATGGGAAAAAAGACAACGTTGAATAACAATATTCATTATTGATTTATTGAATAGACAAACAGTTATCATAATGTAAGACATTCGTACAAGAACCATCATATTGATATATTTGTAACAAGGATTATAGGTATAATATGCTCGTTTACAATACATTTTTATTAAATATATTCCTTTATTATTTTTAAACATCAAAAATATCCTTTAGTTCCAAAAATTTATCAATTATGATCTTATGTTAAAATTTTCATATAAAAAATGTCATCCATGATTGAATCACGATTTGTGCGACACAAATGTCTAAAATACTCCTAAAAATTTTACTTTAGAATTTCTTTTGTTCTTTTGTATAACCTAATACGCCTAATAGTTTCACTCTAGCAAGATAAGTGTATAGCCTAATACCCCTAATAATGACTCATCTAAAAACTTTTAAAAAACAATAAATTTGCAAATATCTACATTCCCCAAATATCTACATTTCTCAAATGTCTACATTTGAGCAAATGAATCATTTTGTAAATGACTAATGCAAACGACTCGTAAGTTAAATTATTTGTAGTAGTATTTATTTTGGACAATTTTTAATTTATTCGTAATTCTCGAAATATCTAAGGAAAAATTACTTGTTAATTGGATCTCGATTCAATAATTTCATCTCAAATTACTTGTTAATTGACTAATCATTTTAAATCAGTTTGAGGACCTTGCTCAAGTTACATAATCTGTATAGTCATAAAACTCACTCTGCCAACCGGCCGGGCAAAATGATAGTAATTAAGAAGACATGTGTACCATTTGAAGTGAATGAAAATTTCTGCAAGATGTGTGGTCTTCCTTTCCTCCAAGAGTGCCTTGACGTTGCTATTGTACGACTCCATCCACCAATTAAGTTGGTGTCGTGCCATCTGTGTACCAATATGGGGAAAGTTAATCCGCTGACTTGAAGAATCGTTAGCAGATACTAACTGATATCCAAAATATCTGAATTAATATCCAAGTACTAAAGTATCTAGAGAGCACATACTAGTATTCAAAGTTTGCTAACTGATATCCACCATGAATCAACTATTATCCCAAATTCACAAACTAATATCTAGACAACACATAATAGTATCCAAACAACACATTATTAGTATCCAGATAACCCATAAGAGTATCCATATTGAATACTAGTCGATTGATTGTGGATATTAGTTGGTATCTACTATCTGGATACTAGTTTGTGATGTTTTGAATACTAATCTGTGCTATCTAGATACTTAGTAGACTTAGATATTAGTTCATATATTTTGAATATTAATTAATATATACTAACGAATTTTCAAGTTAGCAGAATAACTAGGCTGACCAATATGTAGCCAAAGGACATGACCACGTACTTGTAACCTTCAATATATTGGTGGACAATTTGGTGCAACTTGGGAAGCACTCAGCCGTAGAAATCCGAGTTAGTGCGGAAGGGATGTTGTTCATTTGGTTGCGGGTCTAGGGTTTGTACCCATAGGAAAGCAAAATGTGACAAGTCGAGTAAGCAAGAAAAAAAATTAGAACGCTATGTTTTTTAATGGGTCAGATCACTTTGATTTAGCGATGACAATTTGAATCCACTTTGTTGAGTTTTACTCAAGCCGATCTATTTGATAAAGCAGACAATCCTCCAACCACAATAATGTGGAAAGAGACATAAATACTACTTTCGTCTTGTTTCGTCCTGGGTCTAGGGTTTGATACCAATAGGAAAGCAAAATGTGACAAGTCGAGAAAGAAAAAAATAGAAGTAGAATGCTCTGTTACCAAATGGGTCAGACCAATTGGATTTAGCTATGACAATTTGAATCGATTTTGTTGGATTTTACTCGATCTAATCCATGATAGAGCGGGTAATATCCCACCCACAATAACGTGAAACGAGACATGAATACTACTTCTACCTTCTTTCGGCTGGTTCCTCCCCACCTCATTGTCATCACCACTACCTGTATTCTTCCTCGATTCAGACCTCTAGAAAACCGTCAACACGGTAGCCAGAGTGAGTGCATGTGTTCCAAACTTGAAACAGACGTCTAATAATGACCTAAGAAATCGGTAAAATGAGCAGAAGTACTGCTCAAATCATATGCCGACAGTTGTTGTTAAGCAATAGCCATTTCACTTGTACTGGGATGAGATGGGAGTTCAGGGAATCTGAAACTGTAGCTGTGGAGCTAGCCATCCTTCTGACCTACCAATAATGCCAACTGCAAAAGCTGAGTGCATCTTTGTGGCCACGTCTATCTCTATTTAATGCTCAACAAACTGATCTGTAAGCTGCAACTGAAAAGAGGCCTAATTTATATCGAACTTGTTCGAACTCATCAGATGGCAGAGCAGAAATGAGCCTTTCATGACTGTCGCTGTGGAGCTAGCTAGCATCATCTTTCTTGCCTGCCCATAATGCCAACTGCAGAAGTTGAATGCAATTTTTTGTGGCCATGTGCATCTATATTTAATGCTCACCGTGATCTGAAAGCTGCATGCAACTGTTAAACAAGGCCTAATTTGTATCGAACTTCTTAGAACTCAGATTACTTTTTAATTGTGTCTTTTTAATAAAAAAAAAGATAGACCCAGTGCGTCTAGGTCACATTAGAAATAAAACATTCGTGGGAAACTCCCATTATATCAAGACAAGTCCATTTGGACAGGTCCATTTGGACAAGGTCATTGTCGTTGACATTGAAAAAATGTATACCAAAATCATAAACGTGAGCCTTGCTAGCCAAGAAATCAGCTGTGAAATTGACTTCCCTATACACATGCGCCACACATACGTCCCAATTGTGTCTTCTTTTGAAGGTTGAAAGTTCCTTGAAACAAATTTTTGGTCGAATACTAACTTCCAACCTAAAATCTTGTCTGGATAAGTCCAATATCTTGATAACTTAGCTTGTGATTTATTGATGAATGATCTGAATTTGTGTTCATTCCACTTCTGTATTCTTCCATCTTTAATTCTATACCTTGGTGCTTTCACAATCTTTCATTTTTATTTATATTTTATTGTGCAGGTGGGATTCCGCGTATACTTAGATGTGCCTAGGTGTTAGGCAGCAACAAAACGTCTCGCATAGATCCTAAACAGACAATTAGGTGTTCATAATACTTAGGCGAAGTTAGGCATGGTTAATCGGTGTGAGGCGGGATTGGCGGGCCAAAGATTGAAAATAATTGCATCTCATCTTTCCAAAATGACGCCATCTCCAGCTCAAGAGGATAAAGGAGAAGAAGAATATTTATATTCTTCCAAGTATCGATGCAACTGAAGTACAAGGCTTCCTACTTGAAGGAGGGGATGATAATTTAATGTATGTGTTCAAGGATTTGCATGACGAAGGAGATGATGCACCATCAAGTGTTGCTACACATGCAATGACGACAACACACGAGCAGTTTGAATTTCATAGGAATGTAAGTGTGAGAGAGCTCCATGATGAAGCATTCGAGTCTAACGAGAGGAAGAAAAGAATGATGAAGTGGTCGTTGGAAGGACCTATTTGGATTATGATGAATGAACTTGTTTTAAGTGTTCGTTGTTTCTATCAACTTGTGTTTCTAACTTTCTATGAAGTTGTGATTTAGGAAATCATAACATATTTTTTTTATCAAGTGTTAACTAAGTTATTAATCATTTGAATCAAAATAAAAAGAGTGCTATAAAAATACAGTTTCTACTATAAGCTGCTATTTTGGGTTAAAACGCCTAGACATCGCTTAGGCATCCTAGGTGATGAGTGGGAACACAATGTATGTCTTATATAATTTTTCACCGAATTCCAAATACTTTATAGGCTTTATTTAAATATTTTCGAATAATTCTGAGTTCGTAACCAAGTATCGAAGTTATAACATTTTGATATAATTGAGCGATTATATGTACAAACTTTTTTTGGGTTGAATATATGTAAAAACTTTATATAAATAAAACAAATGACTTTGAAAATGATACATTATTCTATTTCAGATATAACTTTTCTCAAATAAATCCGGTTAAGCTTAAATAGGTTCCAGTTAAAAAAAACTTTTCCTTTTTGTAATATAAAATTGATCTAATGGTTGTAATTTGGGAAAGAGACATCTAATGGTCCATATCAAGAAGGGGCAAGAGGAAAATAAAAGTTAGAGAGAACTTGCAGGATTTTCTGGGCAGTTGGCCTGATATTTGGGTAGCGCGCGGATTTGTTGTAGAAATATCAAATATTTTGTGCACTACAAGATAATATCCATGTTGAAATTTTTTGACAAAAAATTTCCAGATCATCATATCGCTGTCCTATCATGATATTGCCACTAATAGTGTTATGATATCATAGTAGTATGGTGTTGAATGATAGTGATATAATGTTGGTATGATAGTGATATGTTGTTGCCTTGTTGCCTTGTTGGTATGATGTCTTACGTTTGTCAAAATAATTAGATGACAATATAATTGTTATATCATAATAGCATCATTATACCATAGTGATAATATATGAAATGATAGTAATAGATGTTGGTACGAGGCTTTATGTTTGAAAAAAATAATTTGATGATATCATATCACTGTTATATCACTATATCATGATATGCAGTTAGTATTACCATAGTAGTAAGATCATGATATGATAGATATTATAGCAATAATAATATAACCAATACATGTTTTGAAGAGCTAATATTTTTTTTTCTCAAACATAGCAAAATGAATATCATAGTGTAAATCTTAACTACTAGGTCATATTTATGCAAAAATTTTGAAATTTCGAATTAAAGCAAAGGAGATAAATGACCCGATTAAGAAAAATGAGATATTAGGGGGGGAAAACAGATTTTGACCGGTAAAAAAAAGCTTCATTCTCTCTTCTGAGATTTGTGACAAGCTATAAGCCAAACAAGAAAAAAATAAGGAAATTACCATGTCACTCCTCTTGATTCCCTTCCTTATTAGTGTTGTTTTTTATTTAATTTTATTTTATCATTGGATGAGTTAAATTTAGATGGTCGTATATGAGATTTTGTAAGATTTTATACTGATATGGATTTTGTACTATCTGCTTTCCCAATCAAATGTTTATCAATTGGAATATGATTGGATAAGAGAGTACACAAGACCGAGAACTAGTGGTTCATTGTGTAATGCAACGCATTTTGGTTGGTGAGAAATAGTCAACTTTCTCAGTTTGAAGCCCTACATGGAGCTAACGAAGAACACAATTAATAAGTGACGTCGTTCGATACATACATTTTGGAACTTGAAAACACAACAACAATAATAAGAAATAATAATTTACTCGCTAGCTTATTTACTAATTACTAGAGTAGCTCAATGCTCCATAAACGGTCTTCGCGGATGAGTTTGTCAATAAGATTTAAAATTGTTTACTGCTTCTATACGTGTATTAAATATTTTCCAAAAGTTACTATTATTGTACTAACTCACCAAATTGCTATTGGTCATTGTGGTTGTCACCAAGGTTATTAAATCGGTTTATACAATTGTGCCGGTTTGATAAGTGTAAGTGGTATGATTTGACTAGGGTGTAAACAGTTTATGTCGATTTAATAAAATATGTAGAAATGTGAAAAATCACTAACATCAAATAAATTTCAGTATACATATATAATACATATTTGAAGACAATCTACAATTATATTAAAATAAAAATACAACATTTCAAACAAAATATTTAATAATCATATTCAAATACAACATTTAACTTTAGCAATCAAATATTTATACTTGAATCACAATATGCTCGAAGAAAGTGAGAGGTTATCAAAATGCTCGACTGAAAGGAGAGGGACGTTGAGTGTGATGGGCGGTGAGTACAAGGCCTGAGAACGAATTCATTGTCGTATGGCTGACCGGTGATTAATAGCGATTTCGGCTTCATGCAGGCGAATTGCAGCCTACAATCAGAATTGAGGACGGGTGGGAATGAGCAGAAGCAAGAAGATAGCATTGTGGTCAATCCCCCTATAAGAAGGAATTCTGGAATAATCTGCATCTGTCTTAGTCAGTCTTAAAAAGGCTACAAAAGGCTTGGTTCTACAGAATGGTCGCCATCTCTCTCTTCTCCCTTCGCCCGCTTTTCGAGCTCTGAAAAAGCATGATAGTTGTGCTCTACCTTTCTCCGTCTTTCCCTTCCTTGTCTGTCTTCTCAGAAATATCAGCATTCCATTCCAGAATTATCCGGAGCTTAACCTTAGTTGACTGACAATGACAAAGGCTTGCGAAAAAAAGTAGGTCGAGCTACTTCTTTCCTTCGGTCAATCTCTAACCTCTCCTCTACCGGGAAAAATTCAATTGAAAATGAAACGTCTGGTCTAGCTTCTTCTCCTCCTCTCTGTTACTAGCGAAAAGAGTAAAACTGGTTTGAACTCCGTGCGGTTGCACGCCTCTTCCTTACTTCCTAATTTCTCCTTCCCCTTTCGGTTGAGCGTATTTTAGAACCTCCGCCAAGACTCGAATGAATGAATTAGTTCTTCTTTGCCCGGGGAAAGAGCTTCCTTACACTCCTCGCACTCTACCTTTAAAACAACCCGATTCTTTTGAAAACCAAACCATAACTCAAACCAAAAACTAGTTACTCCGCAAATCACGTTTTAAAGTCAAACCAAAAATCAACCAATGACAATAACCATAAATCTCAAACGAAAAGCCCTAAACATTTGGGCAATCTCAATCTAAAACACTTGAACATAAACATTGAGTTTTCCAGTATACTCATAAAACACGAAATAAAGACAATTATGATAAAGGGGTCCTTTCTCGTTACCCTAAGCCTTCTGACATCTTCAAGCTTGACGCGGCTGGTCTCCACGAGTAACCTCTTCGTGATGGATACTTCCTCTTCCCCTTTCCACCCCTGGTGAGTGAGTTGGGGTTAGTCTCGTCGTTACTTCCGAAGGTATTTGCCTAAGCAAAACCTTACTAACACATTATTAGTATTTCCTTTATTTACATGAAAGTCGTTCTCGCCTTTATCCTTAATACTTTAGTCCTTAATAGCTTATCGAAGCTCTCTACTTCTATCTTAACTTATATACTTATTACTAGGGTCCACCGCGTTACGTATCGCCGTCTGGTGTCCCTATCCATAAGGCAATGGTATTGCGTTACGTATCGCCGTCGAGTCCACCCCGGTCAACCAGTGCGTTACGTATCGCCGTCCAGTAATGACCCAATATCCTCGATCAGCTGCTGCGTTAAGTATCGCCGTCCAGCAGTGATCCAACCATCTACCGCATCAAGTAGTGGCTCAACCGGCTGGGGGTTTATCTTATCATTAACCATACATCAACACACACATTCACATACATAGCACAACCTATCAACATTGCACCGACATGAAAACCAATGATTCTTTCAAAAAAAAGTGATTCAAATATTTAACTCTCTAAACAAGTACAAACATAATAAAAAATCCACCATTTGGAGCTTACAATTATAGTTATTCGATTTTTCGGTCGAAAATTCGATTCGATTGGAAGAACTTTGATTTCCGAAATATTCATATTTTCCTTCCGAATTTCGAACTGAATAGCATTATTTCGGTTTCAATTCGGTAATTTTCTTTCGGTTTGGTGCTATTCGGATTTACCGAACCGTTTGCCCACTCCCATTGGGTCACTCTCTTTTGCTGCTTCAATCAAAGTCCATCTAGTCAAAACGTACTAAACGACAAGTATAAGAAAACATAAATTGATAATTTATTATTATATTTAAAAATCAACATGAATTGATAATTTATTATTATAGTTACTACATTATACTAGTGGCATATAACACGTGGCATAGCCATGCCGCACTTTGTTTTGGGAAGAAAAATAAAATTAAATACTTAAAATTCCTTTTACAATGAAAAAAATATTGCAGTGACAAAATTTCTAAAAGGTTTATAGATATAATTTAGGGTAAATACAATTTAATATCCAAACCTTTCATTTTAAACAATATAATAGCCAAACATTTTCGAAAACAATCTAATATCCAAATCGTCAACTTTCCGTTCGTTTGACCGTTAGTTGACACTTCAAAAAAGTTTTGTTTAGAGGAAATTGTCACAATACAACTTTGTTTTCTTGTTTTGGCATTGCAGATGACTGAATATTTAGATATTCTATACCATCATGATGGAGTCATGGACTTCTCGGGTTTGGAACTACGATATGTTGGTGGTTTTTCAGAGAAGATATCGATGGATATTGATGAAGTGCCGTACGTCGAACTTTTTTGAAGTGTCAACTAACGGTCAAACATACAGAAAGTTGACGATTTGGATATTAAATTGTTTTTGAAAAGGTTTGACTATAATATTGTTTAAAATGAAATGTTTGGATATTAAATTGTATTTATCCTATAATTTATTCTTCTACTATGTATGTTTCTCAAGCATGTCTCTCTATTATTACATCAAATCCAGTATTTTACTTTTTAATAATTCTCAAACGTAACCTTCTATTAACTGTCTTACCACAAAACCATTATCACAAGAAATGAAGAGGGAAAGGAAATTTTTACCCTTTGATGTTTTTAACCCATCATCTTTGCCCATTATCCAAGCTTGTCTAACGGCGAAGAACCTCAGCCCCAAGTCACCCTCCCCTTCCCTCACGACCCTTTCGTCTCCCCTCATTGGTTGATTTCCAGAATCTTAATTTAATCATTCAAATTGAAAATAAGAAATGAAAAGTGAAGTTTAATTAAAGACTAAAACGATGAAGGGGGATTTTCGGAGAAGTCCTAGTGAGAGAGGGTTGTTATGGGACAATCCAAATGCCGCATAAGTAATACAAGGGAAGAAACTCTTGTATATAAGTGTCCACCAAGCTTATTAGTACGAGACCTTTTGAGGAGGACCCCCCAAGAATAAAACCGTGTCGTCTTGGCCAAAAGCGGACAATATCGTACTAATTGAGCTCCCCGGTTATGACAAGTGGTATCAGAGCCTGGTTCGGGGCGGTGGACGTCGGTTTGGTGGACCCTCATTCGATGACCTCGGGATTTGAGATATGCATTTGTCTGGCGGGTCAGTCAAAGGTGATTCGCGTCTAGTTTGGTCGATCCACGAGAGATCCATGTTTGGGCTACATCTGGTTTGGCGGATCAAAGGAGGTCCGCGTCTATCTGGTGGATCTAGGAGAGATTACATTTAGTTTGGCGGATCAAAGGAGGTCCGCGTCTGTCTGGTGGATCTAGGAGAGATCTACGTCTGTTTGGCGGATTAAAGAGAGTTCCACGTTTGAGAAAATTCTTATACCGAGAAACCCATCGATACAAGGTGTCTGGCATATCAAGATAATCGCTGAGAAAAGGACACGAAGTTTGTGATCCTTGGCTTGAGGGGAGGATTGCTATGGGACAATCCAAGTATCACATCGGTAATACAAGGGAAGGAACTCTTGTATATAAGTGTCCACCAAGCTCATTAGTACGAGTACTTTTAGGGAGGACGCCTAAGAGTAAAACCGTGTGGGCTTGGTCAAAAGCGGACAATATCGTACTAAATGAGCTCGACAAGGACAATATAGAAACTCAAAATGACACAGACACCGTAGCAAGAGACTTACTATGAACACAATAAAAAAATATAGATGATCTCTCGACTCTTTGCTTCGGTAGAAAGAACACAATCACCTAACACATCCATGCCATGTGTGAGTAGTTTATCCCTTGTGGCAATCCTAAAGTGTTACCAGGAGGGTAATGATACTATTTCTAGGCAAGACATACTCAAACCATAGCATCATATACCCAGTAACAGCGGATTTACGAGATCTTATCGATTCTCATATTGTCTTAACATGCATAGTATCTGAAAAGTGTTTTGCCTTGTCATGACTCCTAACCTTGGTCATCCAGTCCCATTCAAAACAGATGTCAAGCTCTCAACTTCAAGTTCTTTCTTCATAACCGATCGTGAATCTGTGATCCAGTTTGTGCGGAGTCTATCAAGGCAACTCAATCCCTTTTTTTTCTTATAAGAGCACTCAACCCATTTTTAGTAAAATTCTTGAACAATTTTCACTCTTAATTTAAATAAGAATTTTAAGTTAGCAAGTTAAGTAACACTAAAACCATATCTTAGTCCAATCAGTATCGTTAACTGCGCAATTGAATTCTACGGATTTTGTGAACGAAAAAACCTAGATTTGTTAGTTTTGGGGGAAAACTACATTTATCACAAAAGTCAAAATTTCCACTTTAACAAAGTATTTTGCCAAAAATATATATATATATATATATATATAATTCTTTAGGTTTGTTACCACCAAGGTTGTCAAACCGGTTTACGCCAGTGTGCCGGTTTAGCAAGTGGAATGGTTCAACCAGTGGCACATACCGGTTTGTGCCGGTTCATGCCGGTCAATATTACAAATAAATTATAAATACTCATATTTAAACATGACATTTAACGTCAATACCTAAGCAGCCAACTTTTGTCTTTGCACGATGTTTTTTTCTTTTCTGGCGTTGGAGGTGAGTTAAGACTTAAGAGCAAGGTTGTCAACCCGCGGATTGACCCGGACCCGATTGAGCTAGTGGGTCAAGGGTTAATGGGTCACCCGTTTTAGCCCGGTTTAGCTCGGAAATATGGAAAGCGTCATTATATTGTACTTATCCTGATAAATTATATCAAATCTCATCTAACATATGAGTTATAACATATAATATTACACCAAAATAACATTTCGTACTTAGATTCAACATATAGTAAAAATTCACACACACTTATATAACATTAATATTCAAATGTTCAACTTAGGATTCCAAAGATTGAGTTAGGCGAAAAGAAAAATCGGAAAATAGGCGCATTTCGCAAAACAAAGAAAAAAATGACACAATTTGACCTCCAACCCGGTGCCTTGTAGCGGTCGACCCGACGAGTGCGTACAGGTACAGCCCATTTTTTTCACCGGGTGAGGATTAAACTGGGTTGACAACCTTGCTTAAGAGAGATGCCACAGTTCAGAATCTTCTTATAGCAGATAATTATACAAAACAAAACAAAAATCCCTCCCCCACCACTTCCTGGCTTCCGTCTATATTTCAAGGTAGAAGAGAGAGGGAGCAGAGCAGAGCAGAGAGATTCTCATCCTTAGGGGAGGAGAGATGAAGGAAAGAATGGTGGAGAGAGGCCAGTGCCGTACCTTGTTGAGAGGAGGGAGGAAGAAAATGACTTCTTCTTCTTCTTCTTCCTACAGCCATGGTCTCAGCTCTGGTCAGATCCAATCCCTTTCAGCCCTCTGCGAAGCCTTTATCCCTCCATTGCCACCTCCTGATCAGAAGAATATCACCAACCAGGAAATCCCAGTTGAAAGGCAGCAGGAAGCACTAGCTTCCTTCTATGGTGCTTCTGGGTCTCAATCACCTATCCCTGATGAGGTAGGCAGTCAGTTTTCTCCCCTCTTTGCCTTTTTCAGTCTTCTGTTTTTACTGCATGTTAGTCAGCAGCAGCAGCTTGAAACAATTATACTGTCTGGTTTTCCCCCCTCTTATTCTGAAGGTGGCAGAGCTAATTGTCAGAAGAGGATTGCCAGAAGCTGTGTTGGTAGTGAAACTGGCACTCAAATTACTGTCTTCCAGGTTGGGAGCACTGTTGCTCTGTGGTTTTTGCAGCCTGGACTGGAAATGGCCATTCATGCACAGCTTCTCTGAAATTCCCCTGGAGAGGAGAGAGCAGATTCTTCAAAAATGGAAAGGAGAAAAGCGGAAGATGCTTACACCTCTCAGAGTTGTGTTTGCCGTCATCAAAATCTTCTCCTTGTTTGTCTTCTTCACCAGGGTAAGTTTGAATTTGTCACTTAGGCTCGCTGTTCTTTCTTTCCTTCCTTCTTATCAATGCAATCAACCCCAAATCATGTTTGTCCATTGGGTTGTCGCCGGCAGATTGATGATGAAACTCAGAAGAACCAAGCCTGGGAAGCAATTGGGTATCAAGCGGACACCAGGAAAACAACCCAAATCAAACAGAAAGGAGGGGAGAGACCTCTGGAGAAAGGAATTGTAGAGACGATCCACGAAACCGACGACACCACTTTTGTCCAATCTCTCGTCCAAAAGGGGCTAGAGGTCACCGTAGATGAACAGCACGACACCGTCAAGATCAAATGCGATGCTGTGATCGTCGGCTCCGGTTGCGGCGGCGGAGTCGCCGCCGCAGTCCTCGCAAGCTCCGGAATGAAAGTCGTCGTCCTAGAGAAAGGAAACTACTTCGCCGCAGAGGATTACTCCTCGCTCGAAGGACCCTCACTGGCGGAGCTATACGAGAACGGAGGAATTCTGTCCACCACCAACGGCAAGACGATGATCTTCGCCGGATCCACCGTCGGCGGCGGCTCCGCCGTCAACTGGTCAGCCTGCATCAAGACCCCCGACAATGTACTCAGAGAATGGTCGGTGGACGACAAGCTTCCCCTCTTCGGAAGCTCCGATTACCACAACGCCATGGACGCAGTGTGGAAGAGGCTCGGCGTGACGGACAGCTGCAAGAAGGAAGGGTTTCAGAACAAAATCCTCAGAAAAGGGTGCGCAAATCTCGGGCTGCGAGTCGAGCCTGTGTCGAGGAACTCCTCGGAGGAACACTACTGTGGATCCTGCTGCTATGGCTGCCGAATCGGGGACAAGAAGGGTACGGACACCACCTGGCTCGTCGACGCTGTGGAGAACAACGGCGCTGTGATCATCACAGGATGCAAAGCCGAGCGATTCGTCTTCTCCAGCGACGGCGGAGGGGAGAAGAAGAAGAGATGCTTGGGAGCGATTGCGAGATGTTCGAATCCGAATTTGAAGAAGAAGCTGGAGATCGAAGCTCGAGTGACGGTTTCCGCAGCTGGATCGCTCCTCACCCCGCCTCTGATGATCGCCAGCGGATTGAAGAACCCTAACATTGGGGGAAATCTGCACCTCCACCCTGTCCTGATGGCTTGGGGATACTTCCCGCCATCGTCAGATTCAAATTCAAATCCGGAAGACGAGAAGTCGTACGAAGGAGGAATCATCACTTCGATCCACAAAGTCGTGGACTCCTCTTCCGACGAAGTGATCGCCATCGTTGAATGCCCGTCGGCGGGGCCAGCTTCGTACGCGGCATTGTCTCCGTGGATCTCAGGGCAGGACCTGAAGGACAAAATGGTAAAGTATCCGAGAACGGCGCTGCTTTTCGCGCTGGTGAGGGATCGGGGATCGGGGGAAGTGAAGCGGGAAGGAAGGATCTCTCACCGGCTGGACAAAGTCGACAAGGAGCACCTGAGGACCGGGCTGCGGCAAGCCCTCCGGATTCTTGTAGCCGCCGGAGCCGTGGAAGTGGGGACCTTCCGCAGCGACGGGCAGAAGATCTCTTGTGGTGGTGTGACGGAGGAGAAGGAATTGAAGGCGTTTCTGGATGGAGTTGGGGTGAGCGGCGGAGTGAAGTCGGGCGATGCTCACTGGTCGATCTTCTTCTCTGCTCACCAGATGGGAAGTTGCAGGATGGGAGCCACGCCGGAGGACGGCGGAGTCGATGAGAATGGTGAGAGCTGGGAGGCCGAAGGTTTGTTCGTGTGCGATGGAAGTGTGCTTCCCAGTGCGATTGGTGTCAATCCCATGATCACTATTCAGTCCACTGCCTACTGCATTGCCAGCAGGATAGCTGGATCATACGCAGTTCGTTCAGGAAAGCTGATTTGATTATTCGACCATTCGTTCAATTGTTCTCAGGTTAATCTTATAAATTGGATGATGATAAATATAAATAAATAACATTCGTTTCAAACTAGAAAGATTTCATTCATAAAATATGCTGGTCTAGTTAAGCAGGAGCAATCAATGCCAGGCAAAAAGCACAGGGCAGGAACTCGTTTTAACCAGATGACCTCAAAATAACGAACATCAATGGTTCGCTGTCTCATCTCGCTATATTATTTGTCATTGATTCCAGTCCAGATCATGGTTTCTTAGAAACTTTGCAGTGGAGAAGTGAAAACAAGGTAGGAACTTGGATTCCTTCAACTTGATAGTGCCTTTACTGCTTTCTCGGCAGCATCGTCCAGGTCTTCGGCTGTAATTAGGGCCATTCCGCTTTCCTGCAGAGGTGTAAATTATCAGTTGAGACTGCAGCTATGAGACAAGTTTGTTCATCAAAATCATCAAGACAGCCATTATAGATAGTAAAGATCACCTTGAGGATCCTTTTCCCTTGATCAACATTAGTGCCTTCGAGACGAACCACCACGGGTACTTTTAGAGAAACCTTTGAGCAAGTAGACCAATGATGGATTTAGTTGCTGGGTAAAGTTAAAACTTCAAAGTCCCCTACATAGTTAAGAATCTCAGTAACCCTATGGCCATATTAAAGTTGCCAGAAGTTACTTGAGCTGTTTTAATTGCCACATTTAGATTCTCAACAACTTCATTTCTCAGAGGGGCTCCAAAGGTACAAAGAGGAACACAAAACAAGCATCCAAGTACAATGCAGCAAAGATTGAAAGAATGCCAGCTAAAGAGTCAGGAAGGCCATGTCAACTCTTGTCCCTCAGTTTTGTTGTATTAATAAATTTATGGCAGCCAACTAATCACAGAGCAGATTTTTCGGTGGCCATTGGAGTAGAAGGCTGTTCCATCAGGAATTCAAGTGGGGGGCACTAAATTCGTAGATGTAGCAATATATCAGCTAGAGAAAATAAACGCGGAATTAGGTGCATATTCACCTGTTTGGCAGCATTGACAATTCCGCTGGCTATAACGTCACATTTCATGATCCCTCCAAATATGTTCACCAGGATTGCTTTTACTTTATCGTCAGAAGTCAAAATTTTGAATGCCTCAACCACCTGGTCCAAATGTGCCAAAGGTTAATCTATCATGCACGAAATTAAGCTCACATAGCATGACGCTTTCTGCATGTCCGAGTTCTCGACTATTCCGAATGATAGGTGTTAAGTTCAAAGCACATTATCCTCTAAGAACACATTAGTTTACCAACTTTCATATTGTGACCATTTAACTTGATTTTAAAACAAGGAAATATGGATGCATTGTCATCTTTAAAGTATTTGCATCTGAAAGTGCAGAGCATACAGTCTACACACTAGCAGAAGTGCAGAGTAGGCATGATTTACAGTACTAATATAAAATGGCTAGAAAAGGCGAATCAGCCTAATTCTAAACAATTTTCCATTAAGCAAGAACAATTACCTGGCCTTCAGAAGCATTTCCACCAACATCGAGAAAATTGGCAGGAGTTCCACCATGCAGCTTAATAATATCCATTGTGGCCATTGCCAGCCCTGCACCATTCACCATGCAACCAATCTCACCATCTAGCCCAATGTAATTCAAATCTGCCTTAGCAGCAGCCACCTATAGGAAGAATAACAAACACGAAGATGGTTATCAATAAACAATGATAACAATGAATCAATAATAGTTGCGGAAGTTAACATGGAGACAATTCTGACAGTTCAGTATTTCACAAACTCTGCTATCATGCTTATGACACATGTGTAGGCAACCTCCTCAAAGTTCTTGCCAAAACTCAACAGATAAAATTCCCCACTTCCAGCTTACTATATAGTTAGCAAACCAGGTTCTCAGTGGCATAAGTTCTGGAGCTAAAGTAAATATACCTCTCGAGGGTCCTCCTGAGTTGGATCACGGAGTGCAAATAACTCCTTCTGGCGGAAAGCAGCATTATCATCGAAGTTCAACTTAGCATCAGCTGCGACCAATTTGTTATCAGCCGTTTCTGCAATGGGATTGATCTGTGACAAGAAGAAGTTTCACACTGAGATATATGCAGGAGGCCAAACCTGTTCGTTCGTCGAAGTATGTCAAGGATGGGTAATTAGCAAAAAACTTAACCTTCAACACTTTGTTATGATATGGTCTAACATCCACACTTTAAATATAAGAATTTGACCAATGCATCAAGCAACGGGAAATAAAACAGCATATTGATTCAAAGAAAAGGAATATCAACTGTCAAAAATAGCAAAATTGATAGCAAGGAACGAAAACATGGTTAAGGAATTATGCTCACTTCCAACAATGTGCAGTCACTATCGCAGAAAAGTTTATACAATTTCTTCACTTGCTCTATGCAATCCTTTTTATCGGCAGACTTCGGAGCCAACCCATCGACAACCTTAGCCGCATCTTCATCTGTGATTCCTTCAAAAACGTCGATTGGTACCTGCAAAAGTAGTTAACAGCTGGGTTAAAACTTAAGCACAACAACGCAATAGAAGAATCATAAATGTAAATGACATCAAAATGTGAAGCTAGAAAGAGAGAATCATACCTTAATAATCAAGTCAGGGAATTTCTCAGCTAGATCTTCAATGCTGGTTCCACCTTTCTTACAGGCAATGATAAGCTGATAAAACAAAGGATTTGCATTGTTATCAAACAAATTTGGAGAGAATAAAGAAGACTTGGTGGGTGGGGATTATAACACGGATTAAAACAAAACAGAAGTATTGATCAAATAAAAAAATGCCACGCAAAATGGAAGGCGGGAAAATGAGCAATTTCAGTTGAGAAACATACCGGACCAGCAGTTTGACGATCCAACATGATAGCGAAGTACATTTCATTTGTAAGAGACAATTTTTCACACAAGTAAACCTGCAAACAGAGAAGTAATCATATTAGTAGCTATTCATGTGTGAGATTTATCTTTCAGAAAACAATTTTAAGAGAGACTGGAGGAGACATTGAACCCAAAGGAGAATACCATAGACTCAGAAACTAGAAGATTCTATTTCCTTTTACTAATTGATATTTTTTCCACGAACCCAGATCTGGTTTAAGTATGTGCAAGGGGATGCATTATAAGGAATACAGCTTATTTCTATTACATATATTTTCTAATATCTGAATGGGGTTAATTTCTCGATGCGGGTCCTCTGAGAGTCACGAAGATGATAATGAGGACAGCAGAAGAAGAAACAATAGATAGGAGTGACACGTAATTTCATGATCTAATTGACTAAAGAATGTTAACCTTGCTGACAACTTTTCCTTGAGGGCCAGTTTGCTTTGTGACAAGTACTTGGCCGAGCATTTTTCCTGCAAAGAATAAAAGGACAACGTGAAATAACCGGCATGAAAGCATGCATAATAGAAATCCATCTATAAGAGGTTCAAACTTTTCATATCGATCACATGAAGGGAAGTACTAAGTGCTGAGACAGACAGACACTTCAACTGCTAAAAGAAATCAGCATGACCAGGAAAAGTCCCCAACAGATGATTATAAACACGAACCAAGAATAGAGAGAATGATTATTCAAGGATTCAAATGTTTATATCACTGGCAACAATAATACCTGATTCAGACAGATTCCTACAGAAGAATCGACACAACCAAAGAACTTCTTGACCACAAATAAAACACTAGTTTCACAATGCAATGTCCAGAAACTTCCCAAAATCAATGTGAAACTGCTAGTTCTATTCTTTTATTAATCTGCATACAACTGAATGAACCCACCAAGATTCATTCAGTCTAGATGAGTTACACAAACCACATGAGGAACATACATTATCTATCAACAAAGTCCATCTCAGTTTAGATGTTAACATTAACTACCACATTGTTCATTTTCCAACGCAAGAAAAAGGCAAGTTTTCCAACCAGAGAAAATCAACAGATCAAGATGACAATAGCCTAAGAAAGGAAACACCGTACTGCTTGAACAACAAAAGGAAAGACTGCATTTACCAGCAATGTCTTCAACCTTTTCGCTCTTAACAATGTGAACTCCACCCTGAAGACCACTTTTGAATGTCCCCAAACCTCGCCCACCAGCCAAAATCTGGCTCTTAACAACTATCTGCATTCAAAGTAACAGCACAACGTAATATCACTGGAGCTAGCTTTGATGAAACTATGTTTATGTTCTATACTGGATAGGATACTAGAGGCCTAGTTCTCCGACCTGTCACTTGTATACTGAATGAAAAGCATTGTCAATTACCTCTCTTTGATTCGGAAACACCTCCTGAATTGCCTTCCTGACCTCCTCGATGGAAGAAACAGCTACACCTTTCGGTACGTTTATTCCATGTTTACCCATCAATTCAGCTCCCTGGAAGCAAATAATCCCAAGAATTTAATGACAAGCAGCACACTAACGGCAATAAAAATCTAAACGAAACAAGTAAAAACACGTGAGTTTTAACAAAATCATAATTCATAGTCCACTAGATAACTCCCAACTATCTTGGCAATCCATACTGAGGAACTAAACGCACCCGACAAATCTAATCGCAAATGTACATCCTCCACAGACGCCCCCGCTCATTTTTGTGAGCGCAAACTCGAGGGCAGGAATGTATCGCATAAGTTTTGCCGGTTTTGGCTCGTAACTCGCAATCAGCGACAACGTATAAAACCGCGCGACGCAATAATCTCAACATCTAGTCATGGAAATATAGATGGATGGAGAGGAAGGAACACCTGATACTCGTGGACATTCAGACGACGGAGCTGCTGCTGCTGCCATTTTCCGGCGACGGAGAGCGAACGCGAGACGACCTTGTTGAGTAACCCTCTCATTCTTCCGCTTGGTTCAGAGATCTACTTGTGAGGGTGGCCTGCTCAGCAATAATAATAAGAGACGCCGGAATGGAACGAGAGAAGAGAACACAGCCGGAATCAGAAGGGAGAAGTCGATCGCGTTTGTGACTGTGTTAAGAATGAAGCGGAACCCCTAGACTTTTCAAGTTTCCCCTTATTTCATTTTGACCCTTTATTTTATGTTTTATTGTTTGTCCAACCCTTCCAAGTTTTACGCAGACCATTCTCAAAAGTATTTCCTTCCAAGTTTAAATTGACGGATTTCCCCTCGGGAAATCTTTTCATTTTCCTTTTTTTTTAATTGCATGGAATTATAAAAAACTAATGTTGTCAGAACCGAATCAGAGTATGAGCTGATAATACGATGGCTTGCACTTTAGTGGTCCAACCGGTATTAGACCGTTTAAAAACCGTTAGGGAACCGGTACCTAATAAACGTTATTAGTATAAATAGTGGACATTTCTTTATCAGAACTCGTCTCTTTCCTTCGAAATTGTGAAATGGAAATAAGGATTTAGTTTGAGAACCCGACGTTTTTTGTTTATTTCAATTTCCAATTTTATGCAATTTTTTTAATTAAATTTAACGGGTGAATGGCAAAAACCGCTTCGGCCGCTCGTCAACTGCAACATAAAACCGGAGCGGCTTTTAGACTGTTCTGAGCCGGTTTTGTGACCGGGTGGAGGTTTTACCGGTCGGGCCGAGCAGCTCGGCTTTAATAACACTAAAAAAAACGTTCATGTTTGGTCACTGGAAATTATGTGTCAATCGAGCGGGTTCAGGTTGGGTTCAATCGAGATCGGGTTCAAACGGCTTGAGGGTTAGTCGGGTTGCGAGTTCATCGGGTTCGGGTGCAAACAGGTTGTGGGTTAGTCGGGTTGCGGGTTCATCGGGTTCGGGTTCAATCGGGTTGCGGGCAAATCGGATTTTGGGTCGGGCGGGTTGCGGGCAGATCGGGTTGCGGGTTGTTCGGGTCAGCGCTTCAAGTAACTTACTCATTACTCGTTACCAACTTACACATTTTATTACACTAATTTAAAATATTTTTCTCAACTTTTTAACCAATTTCTTTCTACCTCGTATATATATACTTAATTAAAAAAACTAGTCAAAATGTTGAATCAATTTGTATGACTTGCAAACTTGTTATGTAATTAATCGTAATTGGTATAGTACATTAGCTAACAGTAATGGTGATATCAACATTTGCAACCAAAAGACACCACTAATTGTTTATTTGATATTTTTGTATTATTTCAGTCGTAATTGGATTAAAGTATCTCGTTTAGTACAACCATGCAAATCTGGTATTTAGTGTGTGGTATTTGGCAAAAGCAGCGTGTAAAAGGAGTTATTTCGAAATAACTCATTGTCCAAATAACTTCAGTAAACTGTTCTCAAACAAGTTATTTGTAAAATTGTTCGAATTATCCTAAAAATTGAACCATTAAAGATTAACTATCAAATTTAGTAAAATTGTTGTGACTTCAATCATAACTTACTCAATAACATATATCCTATACACTTAGCCTTACCCTCAATCGACAATATTAAGTTAGTGTATGTTGTTGATCATATACTCTAAACCATCAATACATTATACACTACCAACATACCCTATACCCTGACCATATATCCTTATGAGTTGTGATTTTGCTAGTATAGTTAATTTAAATGTGAAATTCATACTTTGATTTTCAAAACATAGATAAAAAAGTGATATTTGCTAATTGCTATACTCTAACCATATATCCTATACTCTACACCATATACCATGTACTCTAACCACGTACCATAAACATAAATTAAAAAGGGATCTCCTGCCGTTAAAGGCTTCAAATGACTTCAAGTGAACATATGTTAATAAAAAACTTAGAACTGTCAAAATCATCAATACATTATACACTAACCATATACACTCTAAACCATCTCTACCTTATACCCTATACCCTAAGCATATACTTTATACCATAAACAACGAACCGTCAAAGATTACTTATCAAGTTTAGTATAATTGTTGGCTCATATTCACCCGCCCATAAATTTTCCATTCCAAAGTTCCCACCCAAACCTCCCTCTCATTTCTCATTCCAAAGTGACCGCAAGGCCGCAACTCGATTAACCAAAATTCTCAAACCCGCAACCTGACTGAGTTATTGCAATCGTATGACTTAACATGCCAAGTTTAACCCCATTTTGAAATAAAATTTCAACACGAACACAACTTAAATGTGCCAAAATTTTACTAAGTATTGTAAAATAACGATCAAGTAGTGTTGAAGTTACAATAAATGTAGAAGTATAGAAAACAAGTAGACAAATTAAATAATATGTAAAACAAATGATTGTTGTTACTAATGGTTAATTTAGTTATTATTCCATAAACAATTATATTTATATATATATATACACGATTGAATACAACAAAAATTTTCTCTCCTTTTAAAAGCATCAAATTACCAAATAAATTACTTTACTTTATTATATGTAATTAATAATTTTATTGAATAGTTAAATTAACAAAAAAATTAATTTATATATTATATTAATATTATACCGATCTAAATTATTAATTCTTCATTATTCATATTGACATTGTGTTAATTTTATATTTTATATTTATTTTTTAATTATGTTAAAGAGCTTTGTATATCAAGTGACGTTCATGTTTCATTTTTTGTAATTTTCTTAAATACATAATATCACGTGAGTTTCATATTTTTTAAGTTTCCTATACGAAAGGAAAAAATAATTTTACCTAAGTTTAGAATGAAAAACTTTATTTTGAAAAACTATGTATTGAATGATATAATAATTATTCAAGTGGATTAGGTGAAGTTCGGGTTGAGTCGGTCGGGTTACGGGTTAGTCAGGTTCGGATCAATCTGGTTCGGGTTTAATCGGGTTGCGGGTCAATCGGGTTCGGGTTAATCGGAATGCGGGTCAGTGGGGTTGCTGGTCGAGCGGGTTACCGGTCGTTGACTTTCAGTCACTTCGGGTTGCGAGTATGGGTAATCGGGTCGGGTTCTGTTTTGACACCTATACTGGAAATATTTATATCCAATCTTGGTCACTCAAATTAGTTAAATGGTTCAAGTTTGGTCACTCTCCGTACAACTCCGTTAACTTTGTCTGATGTAGCAGTCAACCGTTAAAGTTGACCGTTAACTCAATGACGTGACAATTAAAAAATAATAAATAAAATAAATTTTATTTTTCTATCATTTCCAACTCATTTTAACAATAAATTAAAATAAAAATACAGAAAAATCATTATAGTTACAAATTGAAAGGGTAGCTTCCTCCCTCCCACTACATCCCTTCCCCGCAACCAAATCAGCTCCCAATTTTGCCCCCTGCCGCCTTCGTAGCCGCTCACGGGCAGTGATATTTGTGCTGGCAATTATCTGCAGGCTACAGCGGAAGTAGAAGCAGAAGCAGAGATATAAAGACGAAGAAGATGCTGATGATAATGATGGCCTTACATTTCTTCGTCGTCACCACCACCGCATCTCTTTCATTGTTACCCCTCTGATCCCCTCTCTCATCCTCTTTATTATTAATACCCACCCATTCCATACCCACCCACAAACAGTCTCTTTCTCTACAGAGCCAGAGGCTGCTTGCTTCTTTCTCTCTGCTCTGCTCTTCTGTTCTCTCCATCTTATTTCTTCCATTATTATATACAATTTGTTTTGTTAGTTGTTGGGGTTTCCATGCAGACAAATGCTTACAGTAATAAAAAATATGGATACACCGCACTACCCTCCAAGTGGTTCAAGCTTCGATGGACCCAAAATGCAAAGACACTAAATCGTCATCCTAGAGTTGGAGGTGATGTGGGAGAGAAAGTTGGTCGACTGATAAGACATGGAGGATTGTCTCTAAAGTGTAAGCGTTTGTTTGACATCGCGTGTGGTAGTGAAGCTGTTTTTATTCATGTCTCTAAGTCGTTGGATGACCTTACCCAATGGGCAATTGAGTTCTCGAGGGAGAGAACGGACACCACTGCACCTGCAAACCATCCAGCACCCCTTCAAAGTGTGAAAGATCCAAAAATTGGGAAGACCAAGGGGACATTCAAGTCAGCATGAAGTGCATCGGGAAAAAGCGTAATAAAGTGTTCGAAATGTGGGAAATATGGTCATTTTTGCCTTAAGTGCCCGAAAAAAAGTCCAAAAAAAAATTAAATTTCTTCTACTGTTTTTTAAGAGTTTTTTTTTTGTAACTGTGATTGCATTGTTTTTTACTCGAATTATCTTAATAATTTATGAGTTAGTTGATTGTTGGTTGAAATAAACAAACACATTAAAACAGTCGACCTCATAAAAGACACGGTCGACCTGATCATAGACGGTCGACCTAATTTATTGAGCGGTCGACCGCGTATTTAATTCATCCGACCAAGCTGGTTTGTATAACAACATCCACCCAAACCTATCCTTCAATCCCATATTTAAGAAACCTCCTCCATTTATTCTACACCACAATCATAACCCTATCCCACCACATCCACTCATTCTTCCTCTCCTCTTCCTTCTTCTTGTTCTTCTCCAATTTCAAAAAACTCATAGGAGAAGAACCAAAAGCTCCATTTCATTTCATCCTCATCTACTAAGAAGAAGAACGAGGTGGGTATTTCAATCTTCCTTTCATTTGGTTCGAGTTTTCTATTCTTCATTGGTAGATTAGATTTTTTTAAAAAAATCTAAAGATGGAAAAGAGGGATTTTCTATTCTGTTCGTCAAATTTCGGTCGACCTAATCATGGTCAACCGAAGCTGAGGTCAACCTATGATGTCACTGAGGTCGACCGATTTTATTTTGCATTCCAAATATTAAACGTATGTATTTGATCCGTTCTCGTTTTCATGAACTGAGGTCGACCTGTGATGTTCTTGAGGTTGACCTATGATGTTTTGCTCTCAAAATTGTACGCGTTTTTCGATTTTTAAAAAGATCTAAAGCTCGAAAATGAAGGATCTTATGTTTTGTTCGTCAGATTTGTCGACCTAATCTTAACCATGGTCGACCAGATCTGAGGTCGACCTATGATGTTAATGAGGTCGGCCGATTTCCTTTTGCATTCCAAATGTTAAGCGTATGCTTTGAAGCGTTTGGGCCTGTTCATTCTCGTCTTTGATCTTACCGAGGTCGACCTATGATGTTTCTGAGGTCGATCTATGATGTTTCTGAGGTCGACCTACGATGGTTTTTACCAGTTTTGGCCTTTATCTTCGACTCATTTGTGCAAAACTAACTGAGTTCCACTTAAGGTGATTTTGAGGTCGACCTATGACGTTTTGCACTACACATTTTAAGCGTTTGGGTCTATTCATTCTCGTTTGTTATTCACCGAGGTCGACCTATGATGTATCTGAGTTCGACTTATGACGGCAAAATACGAGTTTTGGCCTTCTTCTTCGACTCATTTGTGCGAAACTAACTGCGGTCGACCTATGGTGATTTTGAGGTCGACCGAATCTGTTTCGCACTCCACATTGTAAGCGTTTGGGTCTATTCATTCTCATTTTTTATTCACCGTGGTCGACCTATGATGTTTCTGAGGTCGACCTATGACGGCAAAAATACGAGTTTTGCCCTTCTTCTTCGACTCATTTGTGTGAAACTAATTAATGTCGACCTATGGTGATTTTAAGGTCGACCGAATCTGTTTCGCACTCCACATTTTAAGCGTTTGGACCTATTCATTCTCGTTTTTTATTCACCGAGGTCGACATATGATGTTTCTGAGGTCAACCTATGACGGAAAAAATACGAGTTTTGGCTTTCTTCTTCGACTCATTTGTGAGAAACTAACTGAGGTCGACCTATGGTGATTTTTAGGTCGACCTATGACGTTTTGCACTACACATTTTAAGAGTTTGGGTCTATTCATTCTCGGTTTTTATTCACCGAGATCGACCTTTGATGTTTCTGAGGTCGACCTATGATGACAAAAATACGAGTTTTGGCCTTCTTCTTCGACTCATTTGTGCGAAACTAACAAAGGTCGACCTATGGTGATTTTGAGATCGACCTAATCTATTTCGCAGTCCACATTTTAAGCATTTGGGCCTATTCATTCTCGTTTTCTATTCACCGAGGTCGACCTATGATATTTCTAAGGCCGACTTATGACGGCAAACATACGAGTTTTGGCTTTCTTCTTCGACACATTTGTGCGAAACTAACTGCGGTCGACCTATGGTGATTTTGAGGTCGACCTATGACGTTTTGCACTCCACATTTTAAGCATTTAGGCCTATTCATTCTCATTTTTTATTCACCGAGGTTGACCTATGATGTTTCTGAGTTCGGCCTATGACTATTTTGACGAGTTTTGGCCTTCTTCTTCGACTCATTTGTGCGAAACTATCGGAGGTTGACCTATGATTCTTTTGAGGTCGACCTATGATGTTGTTTAATCCAATTGTTACGGGTCGGCCGTTTCTGATTATGAGGTCGACCTATGATGTTTGCACTCCAATTTTGGCGTTCTTCGACCCATATTTGTGCTTGATTTTCTGAGTTCGACATATGGTGTGTATTAGGTCGACCTATGATGTTTAAGAGGTCGACCTAACGTTGTTTTGTTTTATCTATACGTGCAGAGTTTAGGTTGACCTGTTTATGGAGAGAACAACCTAGTTTTGTTCTTTTCAAAAATGTAACTAACTGTTATTCTCGCTTGTTGTATCTCATGATGTTTGGCAGCAAAAAGAAAAGAAAGGCAAACAAAGCCGCTGCCTCAAGTTCGGAATGGGAAGAGTTCTGGCCCTCTTTGTTCCAGACCAAAGAGCAAAGTGACAAATTTGAAGAGAGGAGAATGCACAACCGCAAGGTGGCTCCTGGAAGGCCATTGACGACGGATGCGTATTCTCATTTTGAGAATTACGGGTTTCTAGCACCCTTTGTCGAGCAAGAGTGGCTGAAGGTGATATCTCTAAATGCACCATACTACCCAAAAATGGTACAGTACTTATACAACAACATCACCTATCAGCATAATACAATTGGATCCATTCATGCATTTAAAAGCTATGTGAATGGGGTGGAGATGCGCATCAGCAACAATGTGTTGGCGCAAGTACTAGAGGCTCCAAACGAGGGGAAGAGAATCAATTCTTACACTGCTTGGAATGAAACTCATATCTCGAGAGCCAAGCAAATCCAGACGGTATGTGTTCTTGATGAAGAGGAAGATGGTCGCAGTAGGCCAACGAGTAACCACCTGATAGTTCAAGCAAGAGTTCTTCACCACATGTTTTCCTACAACATTCTGCCAAAGGGTGGACATCGGGAGACAGTCACCTACTTCGACATGGAGCTCCTCACCAACCTACTGTCAGACGTGAAGGTGAACTTGCCATTCTTGATCTTTAACCACATGCTTACTGCTGCAGAGAGTTCAAACATGAATCTTCCCCATGGGATGATCCTGACTTTGCTATTTGAGCATTTTAATGTGGATTTAAGTGGTGAGGTTGGCTTAAGAATCTCAAGGCTAGAGTTCTAATCAGTTTCATCTCTCAAAAAGATGGGCTTTGAGCTGCGTAATGGTGAGTATGTCTGAATAAACAATGCTCATGGTGTCCATGGTGTTGATGATGAGGAGGATGATGATGGTGATTCTAATGAAGGAGCTGGAGACGAGCCAATGCCACAGACACAGAGTTCATCTCCACCAGTCACCTTAGAGCGTGTGTGGGAGCGCATGGATGACATGCATGTACGACTACATGGGGCAAATGACCACCCAGATGAGCACACTGCAAGTGACCGTGAATGAGATGCGAGATGAGTTTCGATCTTTCAGTGGAAGATACATGCATCCCACCACATCCGATTACCATCATGCTAGCAACAAAAATGAAGAAAATGTGGATGAGGGAGAGAGGGGACAGGAGTAGGAACTCGATGATTTTAGATTATGTGTTTTTATTGTTAAGTGTTAAAAAACGATTGTTGATTGTTATTCTGTTGTTTTAGTTTTTTTTATGTGTGAACAATTATGATTTGTGTTTTATTGTATTTCTTGTTAGTTTGTTTAGTTGTTATGTTATGAAGTGATGAGTCATTGTTATCATTATTTATGACTAGTTATGATGGTTTGGAACATAATTTGTACGAGCAAAAGAACCACACAAATCGACATACATAAGCAAAAAAGACACGAAGCATGGGTTGACTTTCTTGTATTCGGTCGACATCGTACCGAACTAGGTCGACCTCGAAACCAACACTTTATCTTCATTTTACGTCAAATGATGATTGGACAAATGGATAGAACACTTCTCTTCTATCTGGTCGGCCTCTTTCTGTATCTGGTCGACCATGTTGTTAATGACCGCCATCAAGTGGTCGACCTATATACCTTTACGGTCGACCATGTTGTTTCTAACGCCAACGAAATGGCCGACCGAGGTTTTATTGTGGTCGACCAAAAATAACAACTTAAACTACGTATGGGCGACCAAATGATCTTTGAGGTCGACCGCGATGCTTTCTCGTGGTGCCCAAATTAGTCAATTCGGTCGACCTCCTTCAGGATTAGGTCGACCGAAAAATCCATGTTACGGTGACATGCATGTCAGTTGTCACCGTAGGCATATCCTTTTTATTTTTTACTATGCATTTTTATCAAACATATCTATTTAGCTATTTTTGTATTTGATATATCTCTATATTTTGGAAAAATTATCAAATGTGTTATTCTGTTAAAATTTTCTTCTAAAAATCATGAACCACGATCGAATCTTGGTTTTGGCGACACAATTCTAAAATAGCCCTATTAAATTTTCTTTTATATAACTCAACACCCCTAATAGTTTCACTTTAACAAAGCTTGGAGAAATAAATGAAGGAGCAAAAATGACATTTTCTCTACCATTTTGTTGAGGTTGAAAGTTTTTTATGAAAATATTAACAGAAGAACATGTTTAGTAATTTTTCGGAAGTACAAGGACATGATTGATGTAAAAATAATAGAGAGACATATTTGATAACAACGCATAGTGGAATGACACATTATACCTATAACCCTTCATAATTTTTTCAAAATACAAACACATTTAATGTTAAAAATAATAAATGAACATATTAGTAAAGGGACACATATTATAATTAAATGTATTTGATATTTCTACAATTAAAACTTCAAGAGGAAACAAAAGTGTTTATGCTAAATTTAATTTACGCACAAAAACAATTCAGCTTCTAGAATCTTATTGCGTATAATGCAATTTTATGATATCTTTCGAAAAGAGTATTAGTCCAATGTCAGATAAATTGAAAAATGTAATTTTATCTTACGAAAAGAGTATTAGTCCAATGCCAGACAAGTTTTGAGCTCTAAAATTAAATACGAATGCCAAGCTTAATTATTTGATCTCGAGTTTCGAGTGGTACAGACAAATAGTTTGAAACATCAAGGTGGTCTTCCAACACTCGATACATTTTATCGCCCTGGAAAGACGACGAGCCTTACTTCCATCGAGACCTTTGGGCAGTAGTGAACTGGGATTCCAACAAGTACATGAGCAGACGTGAGCGTGATACGCGATATGAAGCTATGGAATCTGCAGAATCAGGCTCACCAAATACCCTCTGCAAAATTGTCTGCCGTCCCAGTGCACCACAAGCTGCAACATCACAGGTACACGTAGTAGTTATGCTTCCCTGCCTGAGTCCACAAACAATAGCTGCAACAAGGATACAAGAAAAAGGCACCCTGTTTATCGGATTGCAGAACCAAGCTCGTGCTTGGCAACAAATCAACAGTACAACGGTCTCATCCTCTATCTAAACAGCTTCTTTCCGGTTCTAAACATGACCAGCACATCCGTTCCTGAGGGTGAAAAAGCACCACACTGCTGCTCAGCTTGAACCAGATGTGGTGGCTTCAGACCTTCAGTCATGGTAGGTCAATTTGAGGTTCCCTAATTGAAGAAGAGTGCAAAATGGCGCCTCCGAATCATTGAAACAAAAGAACTAATATGTATCTTACTTGACCAACAGCATCGATAGTCAGCCAAAGACATGATACATTGATACTCTCTTATCAGCTTCTTCACCATCAATCTTTGCCTGTGTCTGAAGACCTTACTATGTTATGCAGAGAATGGAGGCAACGGATGCAATCAAGAAACGATCACTATGCTCTTACCATAACTCAAGTAGCTGCCTGCCCCACTAAGCAGTAACAACGTCGTCTTTAACGCATGAAGGCTTTTTCGCATTATAGTAAAAATGTGCAATCATTTGTACCAATTCCTCTGCTGTTCGAAATTCTGCCAAAAGACCTGAGCAGTGAGCAGCAGACAACCAAATAATACTTGTAACTCATGTAGTGGCCACATCCACTAATCTCACCTTTCTCCCTGTAAACAACCTTCTGGCCTCTTAGAAACAGAATCTGAGGGCATTCTCTAGCTTTCAGGGCATATGCCAAATCTTTCTCAATGTTCAGATCAATCTTCACTGTCTGCAACCATAAAATCAGCCAGAACCACTGACCTTCAACAATTTCACACCCCTAAGAAAGTGTCCGGCTGAATAGCTTCGAGAATCTCACATACTTACCCGAGGAGGCAATCGATCCTTCGCACTCCAGTACACCTTGGCTGCCTTCTCCAGCTCCTTCAATGTCTTCCAGTTATCACTAGCCCTGCTCACACCAATCACACCAACAGTGAAGACAAATGATGGAACCATAAACAAGAGCAACTAGTTATCTTGGACAATCCTAAGTTCCTAAAAAATGATGCAGGGGAGCACCACTTACCTGTTGTATCTTTCGAAAACGAGAACGATTAAGGGGCTGGGATGGAAGGCGATGCTCTCCCACTCTAAACAGTTGATCTCCTGAACCCAACCTTCGTCAAGCTCCCCTTCCCAGTCTATCTCGAACCCATCTTCACCTGCGACGTTCTTGATAGGATGCTGCTCGAAATACTCCGACGCTCGGATTCCCCACCCAACGTCGGCATCCAGCGGCCAGTCCGGGTCCTCTTCCTCCACCATCGTCCTCTTCTTACTCTTGTCCTCCTCTCCATCTATTCCTTCCTCTTCTTCTTCGTCGCCGCCGTCGATGTCCGTGAACTGAGAATCTAGGTTTCCCTCACCGTCCTTCATCAAATTCTTCATCTTCTCCAGGAACTCCGGGTCCTGCTCCTGCTGTCGAATCGACGCGAAGGTTCTCTTCAGATGGTCGCGCACGAAATCCTCGACGGCAGCAGCTTCGCTCCGGCGGCCGCGCCTCGGCTTGCGAGGGACGAAAATCTCCTCATCTTCCTCCGCAGAAGCAGCTTCTTTGGAACTGGCCTTGCTTTTGGACTTGGAGCTGCTTCCGGAAGCGGATTCCGAATCAGAGTTCCTCGATACGGCCGAGCAGGAGCAACATCCCCGTCGACGAGGACGAACTGAAGTAAGAGCAGCAGGGATTGACGGACGCTTCACGAAGCCAGCCTCTAATTTCACGATTGATGCCGGAGAACAAAGAGTTGGCAGAGAAATGGTGTGAAGGAGAGGCATTTCGATCGAATAGGGATAGGCCTCCAGTGCTTCAAATTATGTCTGCGAGCCCATGGGAGCGAACGATTGACCTTGAAGAAAGCATCAATCAGGGAGGGGGCAGGGTTCAGTGAAGAAAAGCCGGCTAAGATAGGGGAGAAATTTTAACAAAATGATAATGTAAAGGGTAGTTTGCTTCATGGATTTTAAAATGAGGGTTTTATAATTTAAAAATTCAAGGATTTATCAAGGATTTGAGATATCATGGATTTGTAACAATCCTTTGTTTGTTGGAATGTTTTTATCATGGATTTAAAGGTGTGTGATTTACTACTTAAAGTCAAAAATTACATTACTGTCATTTTCTATATGTTTGACATGTTTATGATATGTACACAAAACAAGGACAATACATACGAATAAGCATAATATTGCAACATGGACAATAATAATAAACGAGAAAATTCCATTTTAACTTTTAACGTAACATACTCAATTACCAATTCTTTGTACTCCTTTTCAAAAGTAACATATAACAACATATATTAGAATCGGGAGAACAAAGAATTACAAGTTCCATGAAAAGGTCAAAGAAAACTAGAACACATGAAATGATATAAAAAATCTAACTCATGTTTGCACATTAAGTGAACGTTTATATTATTCATTTATTGTTAATTATAATGTATAATAGGTAAATTTGAGGGCAACCTTGGAATATTAAAAGTGCATGAGGGTATATGGGTAAAATCTCATCAATGATTTATGCCATATTCCAAATCCCACATCAACATGTGGGATTTATAAGTCCGTGGGCCCCACGGATTTGGTCTCCAAAAAAGGTGCAAGCAAACAACGGATTGTACCTAAATCCTTGATAGTTGGTTTTTTGGTGCCAAATCCATGTACCAAATCCTTGAAGCAAACAACCCCTAAATTTTCATTAACTAATAAATCAGCCTTTTAGTTATGGGGATTGCTATTGGTCGTCCTAATATTACTATCCATCGTCCTAAATTTAATATATATTTACTATTTTGTCCAATTTAAAATTTTAAACCAAATCAGCAAACAAACCCCACCCGTACCACCTTCCTCCCGCGTTGCTAATTCCCATTGGAATCCTTAGCCCGACATTACCTTCCTCCCGCTGGCCCACCTCCACTGACTGTCGCTGATGAACAAAACAATGCGTTGTCCGGCTGCCACAACCCACGACGAACCTACCTCCAGCGAAAAGAAGACACTCGTCGCCCGACCGCGCCGCCAATCACCTTTTCGCCAGCGAAGACAACCGCAAAAGGTAAAACCGGCAAACCCGTGTTCCACGTTCATCTCCCTCCAAACCTTCTGTTTCCCATTAGTTGAAATGCAGAAAAGAACCCTTTTAACCACTTGTCAAAACGCCGCGGCGTGTGCTTTTAACCTCTGGTAGAAACGCAACAAAACACGCGTTTGACCACTGACTGAAACGCAGCAAATCACATTTTTAACCACTGGTCCAAACGCTGCAAAACATGTGTTTGACCACTGGTCGAAACGCGAAACACTATGCAGTTGTCCTTTGTCCTCCAAACGCAGCAAAGTGTGCGGTAGTCCAATGCTTGAATCTCAAAAGGGATCATACGTGAGTCAACCAAGGTTTTGCCCATCGGTCAAACGTTGCTATAGTGATGTTATCGACGGATAAAATGGAATATCAGTACCACCGGTCAAACGCAGCTCAAATTTTGTTTTAACCGGAGGTTAAACGTAGCAACATCAATGTTGTCCAAAGGCATAACGAGGTTGGACCCGTGTTTGACCAATTAGTAAATAGCCGCCACTTACCTCTGCTTTTTATGATTCTCAGGTGATGTCGGCGTGTAGAAACTACGGCAGGTTGGGAGCCGAGCAAGGGGGAGCGATGGGAGCTGAGCAAGGCAGCAGGATAAAAGCAGATTCGTCGAACGTATGACATACAAGCCTGCGTAAGAGGAATGATGGTGTGTCGCTCTGACTCGGTTCGCCGGCGGGATGGCAGAGCAAGCCGGCGGGAGAGGGCGGCAGGTGCGGATTTGCTGCTTTTTTCTGGGCTGGAATTCCGGATTCGTTATTTTCCTCTGCTTGCTGAGCTGCGGCAGAGACTTCAACGGTTGATTAGCTTTGTTCCCATTCGCCGGCGGGAGAGAAGAGATTGTGCGAGGGAGAGAGAAGAGGAGACACCGAAAGAAAGATGTGTGGTGGACAGGGAGGAGTGGTTTTAATAATTTTAAGTTAGGAAGTGTTTGATTCGGTTAAAATTTCAAATTTATATTGGACAAATATGTAAATTACCTTATAATACTAGGACGACAAATAGTAATTGTAGGACGACATTTAGCATTTCAGTTAGTTATTTTCCATCTATTTTTCATTCAAATTTGCACATATTCTCAAAATTCAAATTAAAAAAATGTTTGCATCGTCTAGCTTAGGGCACATAGAATGATTAATGTTTAGTTGCTTTGCGATCCGCTCATCGATTTCGTCGGGGAGAAGAGAACCTGTGGAAAGACGGGGATGCCCACGAATTATACTCTCACGATCAAGTTAGTATATTGTAGAGAGATATGAGAGAGAATATTTAGAGAGATAAAGTCTAGTGAGAGAACCAAAGTGTAAAGTGAGGGGGGAGAAGTTTAGACATCTCCTTGGAGAGCTTGGAAGCTCTTATATAACCATAGTGAGCGCGAGAGTATTCCGTTTAAAGTCGATCAACAAACAGGTTAAAGTAATAAATCGAAGATCTCGCGTAGATGAATAAAAAATAGCTTCTTGACTTTGTCCGTGTCAACAAACAATTCGAAGGCGTCGCAGTTGGGCATCGCCAGTTAGGCATCATTGTTGGGTGTCGCATGTTGGACGTCGCTAATGGGTAAACTGCAGGGGATCTTGGCGAACTGCAGGGGATCTTGGCGAACAGTTCGAAGGAAGAAGAAGGTTAGCTTACGGCAAAACGACAGAGTCATTTAAGTCCTTCTGACTATTTTCAAGCCTTCACGTAATCACAATTAATTGGTTTGGGCCGTTCGTGGAGAAATCAAACACTAAGCCCAAACGAAGAATAAACTAAAGCCTAGTCTTAAAACTCGGGTTTCATTTTGCCTTGTCCCTCTATCACTTATGTATAGTGTATGTGTATGTGCCTGCTTCCAAAGTTTGCCTAAAGAGAGTCATCTTTCAGCCATCAAATGCATCTTTAGATATCTCAGTGGAACTCCTATTCTAGGATTATGGTACTCTTGTCACTCCAGCCTAAAACCAATAGGGTACTTTGATTCTGACTATGCTGGTTGCATAGTGGATCGCAAAAGCACGTCAGGAACGTGTCATTTCCTAGGAGCCTTTCTGGTCTCCTGGTTCAGCAAGAAACAAAAATGTGTTGCTCTTTCAACCGCTGAGGCTGAATACATTGCGGTTGGCTGCTGTTGTACTCAACTTCTATGGATGAAGCACCATTTGCTGGACTATGGTTTGGAATTAGGGTATGTTCCAGTTCTTTGCGACAACACTAGCACCATTGATATGTCAAAAAATCATGTTCAACATTCTCGCACCAAACACATAGATATTCGTTACCATTTCCTTAGGGATTTAGTAGATGAAGGAAAAATTACTCTTGAGTTTGTTCCAACTTCGTGTTAATGGGCAGATATATTCACTAAAACTCTATGACCTGATTCGTTCTTAATGATTCAACAAGAATTAGGGTTGTTTGATTGGTCTGACCTCCGGTAAAGGAAAGATTGTCTGTAGGTTCCCTACTCTTTAGTCTCACGTTCTCTCCTTTCCCCTAACTCTTCTGAACTTCCTCATTTAGGCGACTAGGATATCCCAACCTTTCTATCTTCATTCACCCTCGATTCCCCTATCATAAATTTCTCCTAACCTTCCTTCCTTCGCACAACTTGGCCCTTACGCATTCTCTTCTGTAAATATCAACTCACATTGTAATGTCCCATCATTTTCTCTCAAAAACAAATTCTACGTTTGTCTAGCTCCTCACAAATGGCGACAGCCAATCTCCATGTGGCCCTCCAGCTTGCTCAAGCAACTATCTTCAATGGAAAATGCTTTGAGAACGCTGAGAACTATGCTCGATACCTCCTCAAGTATCGGGATCGTGATCTCTGTCCTTTGATCTGGATCCATCATGCTTCAATAGGTATGACATGAACATCCTTTCCCTAATCAAATATCTTGGCTGGAACGATGTACTCCTCGATCAACATTTTAGCTTTCGTCCTAAAGGTGTTCGCATATTCTATGCGAATATGAAGCCATGTTTCAACACCATTCCGCCTTCCTTCACGTGTTCAACTATCTGATCACCATCAATGTGAACATGTTATCTCTCCTGCTTGGAATCCCTATCACTAGGGCTTGAGGTAATGGATGCTTCAGACTTTCAAGTTGTCGCTTTCGATGAGATCAAGGCTATTCACAAGTATACTCGTGACACTGGTCGAGTTGATCCAAATGTCCTCCCATTTGGTCGGCTTCCTTATGATCTCAAAGTTCTCCACTTCTATTTAACTCGAGTGTTCCTCCCTTGCTCCTATGGTCACGCCACCATTCATCCAACTGACCTGTGGATTCTTGCTAGTGCCAAAGAAAATCATGCTATAAGTTATCCTCGCCTCATGTTTGGTCACATGGTAACCTACTATGATGACAATTACAAGGGAGACCTTCCATTTTCTCCTCAAATAACTCTCTTGCTGCAAGCTCTCGGCGGTGATCTGCGCTACAAAGTCTATCGTGTGGACTTAATTGATCGTTTGCTCTCTCAGTTCGTGCTTCGCAAGGTTGATGCATCCGTGGGCCGCCGTCGTCCTCGGGTTAATGCTCCCAGGGGAGAAAGGGTTGCCAATGTAGTTCCTCCACTTGAGGATGGACTAAGTCTTACTTATCTGGTTGATGATGATACAACAAGCTCAAGTGGGGTTAGGAAGGTTCCAGCTGATGACAAGGAGGCTGATGACAACGATGAGGAAGATGTCGGCCATCTCAGACTATATGCCCTCCCCAACCTATCCGTTTTAAAATCATGTTACTAGACTGAGGGGGAGTCATTCCGAGGAGGATTTCAGTCAGTAGTTCTCGTGTCAAGGTCGAATAAAGTTCTGCCTCGGCAGAATGTTGATTGGTCTAGTCAATTGTTTCTCTTTTTGTGTTCGAGTCAGTTGTATTTTTTGGTTGAGTTTGGGTTCCTTGGAGTTCGATGGTTGCACCTGGTTTCTATTGAAATAAAATTATGATTGTGACAGTCATACCATATTATTGTGGGAGTTATATTAACAACTATGTGTATGGAACACTCTGCACGTAATGGTTTGCTAAGTGTGTGTAGGAACCACATATGCAGCAAGAAGGGATCATTAACTGGCTTAGGGGGAGATTGTTGAAGGGAAGCCAGTCAATGTTATAATGGGCTGAAGCAAACAAAGAAAGAAAGATCAAATATTTTGGATCACAGTCAGACAAGGAAAAACTGAAAAGTTTTCAAATTGGAGAAGAAGCTTCCATGCTTGTGGCTAATGGCCATATGAAGAATTGGAATGCTGCTCAATCTGATGGAGTTTCCATAATCATGGCTAACGACTATCTCTAATTCATTATAAGAGAAGCAACTCGAGGTAGAAGGAGGCAACTTTTCAGGCGATCAATATACAGAGAGCTAAGGAATTTGCTAGTAGTATTTTCTGAAAAGGGTCTCTAAAATGTATTTCAGGGAGAAGTAGTATTAGCGAGTGAGCGTTGGATTATGCTGTAGTTGGATAACGGGGAAAGTTTATATTGGGTAGCTATCAATCTCTGGAAAGAGGGTTGATCAAAGTGTTGACAATCCAATCTTGTTCAAAGCTGAAACAGACAACATTATAGTGAATCGCCGGACACAACACCACCATGGTTACCCGGCCGTGGACTAGTCGGTAGCACAATTTGCCTACCAGAAACCACGTAAAAATATCGCATCTCGTTTTGCTTTCAGTCTTTTACTTTATTTAGTTTATGCACTCTGTTTTTCTGGGTAAACTGCAGGGGATCTTGACGAACAGGTCAAAGGAAGAAGAAGGCTAGCTTACGGCAAAATGGCGGAGTCGTTTAAGCCCTTCCGACTATTATCAAGCCTTCACGTAATCAGAATTGCTTGGTTTGGGCCGTTCGTGGAGAAATCAAACACTACGCCCAAGTGAAGAATAAACTAAAGCCTGGGTTTCATTTCGCCTCATCCCTCTACCACTTAACATTTTCGGATCTAAACAGTTTTTTCACATTCCTCTGTTTCATCGTCACATTTACATTTCGAATTAGGGTGCTAGCAAAAGCGTTGTATTTCCGGTCGAGAAAAGGGAAGCGTGTGAAGGAATCTCACGCTCGATTCCACTAACAGTAACATCCCAAAAAAAATTCAATCAAAACATTGTTCGGCTTCGGGGTGCACATCATGCTCGGTAAGTTACCTATCCTTACACTGCTCCATGGGACATTTAACTTCGGATTTCTTACAATAACTCTTTAATTTCACCCCCAAAACCGCCTTGTCAATTTAGATTGATTTTTTACTTATGAATCATGGATATATCTCGTACTTTGTTGATATGAGATTTTCTTTTAGTGTTACAATCACCACTTTTATTACTCTTGTGTTGGTTATTACAGCTTTTATTAGGAGAAATTAGGGGGGGGGGGGGGGGGGGGGGGGGGGGGGGAGAGAACTGCCATTATTATGCATCATGTATGGCAGGTATTAGGGACAGTCTCCAACCAAGGACTGGGCTAGAAATTTTTCTTTTACAATTGAACATCATTCACTCACTTTTTATTGGGTTCGAAACGAGTTTAAAACACTATCCGTAAAAAAAATTCAATCATAGTAAGAAACCAGGGACAAAATTAGTTACTCCTATTTTTCGTTTACTCATCGTTTGGCTGTTTGAAGGAATTTTTCCTCATAAATAATAATTTGATGCTGAAAATAAAAAATAAATTATACGAGATTTCATAAAAAATTATTTGCATTATACACATGAGAAGGAATATCAAATCATTCCCCAACTGTTACATTCTTACCATATTTATGATGGTGAGTGCATCCATGGAGTAGTTCTGCCTATAAAAGACCGATTCATAGAGGAGGATAGGACACACCAAACAAGTGATCATTTTTTCCTCTTATGGGTTGACATAGAAATCCGCCAAATCTATATGTGTGAAGTCAAATAGACCATGTTCAAGAGCATTTTCTTGCAAACCATATTTGTCTCAATATTTTCCCTTTTTCTTTGATTGACTCTTGGTAAAGGTCAATGAGATGTTTTAACGCACGACGGATCAGTGACCCTTCCCTCTACAACGATAACAAGTATTCTCATAATGTTTATTGCCACCTTGCCTCTTCACAACTTTATTATCATTTTTCCACTTCTAGTGGAGTGTACTTTTGGAACTACCACCATGTTCATATGTGCCATTGGAAATATTATCATGTGCAAATCCACACATGGGATAAGGATTACCGTTGCGTGCATATCCACGACGTTGACTAGTTTGACCACGACCACGAGGTCGATACATGTTAAATGCGTTGTAGTCACTTCTGGGAATGCAGTAGCACCAGTTGGCCAAGATCCATGATTCCTCATTAGGAGTTCATTATTCTGTTACGCTACTAAAATAAATGAAATTAGTTCGGAGTACATTTTAAAACCTCTTTCACGATATTGCTGCTGCAGGAGCCCATTCGATGCATGAAATGTGGAATATTTCTTTTCTAGTATATATGCATAGTGTAGTTCTCGCCACACAATTTCAGTTGGGAAGTAACCCTGAAGAGTGCATAATTATATTCATTTACAGCCTTAAACTCTTGTAACCGTAAGTGCATCAAATCACATCGAACTTTCAGAAGAATCACAATCCTTTGGTGGTTTTATCTTTATTTCGAATTGTTCCAAAGATCAATTGGATTTCACCGTAAGGTATTCAACCTTCAATCCCTCATGGACCTGGTGGTGTGGAAAGATCATTGCTTTTGTCTTATCTTGACTTGAGACTTATTTTCCTTTTTTGATAGTATCACCGAGACCCTTTGCATCTTGATAGATTTCACATCCAATATCCAAGATAGATAATTCTTCCCGATGATGTCAAGTGCCACAAACTCAAGTTTTTTTATAAATGTGACATTTTCAACTACATCATAACAATAACATTTGATTAGAAAGAACATGGGGAACTTGATTTTGTCTGGGTAGTTAACACAAACATCAACAAAAGGGCAATGGTCAGTTTACAATAAAATATGAGGGTTACAGTTGGAAGAAAAAGTTACTAAACATGAAAATGTGAAATGCAGGGGGTGTCGTTTTTCAATTCTAACATATGTGGGAATGTGGCCCAAATTCCATGCCTCAATTACCATACTCCTTTGACCCATCCAAACATAGGAATTTAGTCCAATTGTTACATTGTGGGGGAATTTATCCTAGTTCCCTCATTAATTTACTGCATCCAAATGAATCTTTAAATATGATAAACATAACTTTTGAAAAAACAATAAGGAGAGTCAAATGAATACATATCAATTACGCACTGATATTATTGGTTGTTGCTCCTTCCTGATTGCCTCCATAGAAAATAGAGGACGACAGAGATTTGTTTACAATTCTATTGGCCTGCTGTGGACTTAGGGGTCGTTTGGAAGTTGCGATTGTTTATTTGAAATTGTTACTATATTTGTATTGTTTAGAATGCATCATTTTTCTGTTTTTTTAGCTGACAGAATACATGGATTGTTTATGTGATGTGACAGAAACTATCACTCAAAATGAGTGTTTGTTATATCTCAGATTCTAGCTGAGATTGTCGAGATAGCTGAGTTGAAATTGTTTTATCTCACCTTTTAGATGATGTGGCATACACAATCACACATACCAAATTTGATTGTTATAAAGCATCAAATTCATCAATACAAGTATAATATTATACATGCATTCACAACAATAAATGTATTTATGACCCCGTTACTATGTTAATTTTGAGTTATGATGCCAATTGTCCTTCAATAATTTTTCTTGTGCGTCCATCACCCTCGAAGATTAGTGGATGACTCAAGATGTTAAATTCGCAAGAACCTCGCATCACATATGTCCAAACTCTCCACTTCTCCAAAGGAAGCAGAGCTTAGAAGCAGGTCGTCCATAGATCGTTGATGTTTTTTTGGCTTGTTACCTGCGAGAGTGAGGTGGGAAAGTTTTGGAGCTCCGGCGGGAGTTTGGTTTTAGTTTTGCGGAGGGTAGTTGGAAAGTTTAAAAAATTAATATTATTTTTTTGTTTGACATGTGAGTCATTTAGCGGGTAAAGGATACATTGTATAACATATGGTGCATAACTTGCATTACAAAATATGGACACTTCATTTTAAGTTGATCCGAGATCTAAGTGACAAAGTCTAAATTCAGATTGCAGAAGGACTCGAGAAGAAGAAGAACGAAGAAGAAGAAACAAGACAGAAACGTATGAAGTGCATAAATGTTTCCTTAGATGCAAGAGCTATTTTACTTATACTGTATCATTTTATTATTAGTCATTAGTGAGATTGGTTAGCTGTTATAAACACTATTTAGACTTAAATAGTAGAATGGAAAGCAACCAATTGGCATTGCTCTGTAATCCATTCTCCTTTTCATTTCCGCTGAGCTATATATACAAATGGATGATCTCAGAATCAGCTGAGTATCAATCCTACCACAAACCCTTGCAAACGTTTCTCTTATGGTATCAGAGCGGTCGTTCTAAAGGGACACCACAATGTCAGGCAACACCAATCCGCAATCGTCGAGCAGCGAAGCATGAATCAAAGATCCACAAAATATGCAGTTTGGATAGTTTGGAGGAGAAGGAAACGCGACACAGTCCAACAATGAGGTCGTCATGTTTGGTAACCCCTTATACCAGAACCCAAACGAGAATCTGAGCTAACCCATCATTTCTGAGCTGATGGATGGGAGTAATTATAGTATGTGAAGTAGATATGTGATGAATGTGCTGAAAACAAAACATAAAATGGGATTTGTGGATGGAACTCTACCCAGACCAGTAGTTACATATCCACAATTTCGTTTGTGGGATGGATGCAACACAGTTGTACTTACATGGATTTTGAATTCAGTAAACAAGGATATTAGACGTTCAGTTATAAGACATGATAATGCTAAGGTGTTGTGGGATGAGCTCAAACGATGATTTGGGCTACTGAATGCTAATAGGCTTATCAACTTGGAAGATGAGATTCACAAGTGTAAACAGGGAACCCTCAGTATCACTCAATATTACACTCAGATCAAAGGTTTATGGGATGAATATACTGAGTACAATCCTATTGTAGCATGTAATTGTCTTCCGGGAAACACAAACCCTTGCACAGCAGTAGAGGCTTTTGAAAGGAAGCAAGAAACGAATTACTTGATTCGTTTTCTCAAAGGGTTGAACCCAGACTTTGAGATTATCAAGAACAGATGCTGATGTTGAAACCACTGCCAACAGTTACTATTGTAGTTGACGATCTGTTACAGTATGAATAGGAGCTCAAAGCTTATGGAGGAACCAAAAAGGGGCAGTTAGTAGCCTTGGCAGTTGGAGGAGAAGGAACACGAGACAATGAGGCATCATATCAGGGACAAGGAAAGAAGTTTTATCGATTCTGTAAGCGAACCAATCATTATATTGAAGAATGCTGGAGATGCAAAAAGAAGAAGGAAGCTGCAGAAAAGGAAGGCAAAGGACAGCATGGACAACAAAGGTTTGTTGGTACTGTCTCTCAGGGAAGTTCAAGTGGGAGTGAGAATCAAACTGAAGCAAGCTATAACAGTGATGCTAGCACTGTAAGTCGATCTACTCTTGGCTTTACACCTGAGAAAATTACCAGATTAAGGTATATGTTGCAGGCTGGTACTAATATATCACTGTTGGGGGTGTTACTAAATACTTCACGCGCGGACTAAATAAGGGGCGCTCAATCGGTAACGTGCTCCGGACGAACACCACTACGAAGTATTTAAAAGCATGAAACTCCCCATTGAAGGGGACCTTTTCTCTCTCTTCTGACTTTCCTCTTTCTATTATCTCCCTACACTTTATCTCTCTATCGATTCTCTCGACTCTCTCCACAGATGGACACTGACTTGCTCGTCGGAGCTTAATCCGGGGGGCAACCCCGGCTCTTTCACAGGTTCTCTCCCTCCCGACGAGATCGGACGAACGGATCGTGAGTCAACCCCGCACCAACAAATATCATAGTTCGTGTCCTGAGCTAGTTGGTACAAACAATCACCTTCCATGCCAAATTCCTCACCTTCACCTCCCAATTCCCCTTCTATCTGACACCAACCTGTCTCTATGTCTCAATATTTACCACCCTTTCCCAACTTTGCAGGTAAATATGTTCTTTCCTCTCTATCAAACATAGACAGTAACCACTTAGTCAATTTCTGGATCCTAGATACAGGTGCATTTGATCATATAACTTTCTCTCTAGCTTTATTCATTCACTAGCTATAAGCGAGTCCAAGACACGTTTGTGCACTTACACTACAAAAAGGCAGACAATTGTGACGAAAACTTACTGACGACTCAGAAATTGCGTCGAAAAAGATGCATAATTCTGACGACCAATAGTTTTCGTCAGTACTAAATGCATCATTACTGCTGCCAGAGTTGATTTTTCGTCATTAATATGTATTTTGTGCCAATTTCAATTTCCCACATTCATTATTTTTTACGATTTCGCTTTCCGCGTTAGAAATACTCAATATTACTGACCAATTATAAATTTTCATCAGAAAAATGATTATTATTGACGACCTAGAAACGATTGTGAAAAAAATATTACTTTTGACGCCATAAATTGTTCGTCAACACTAATTGGTCAGGAAAAATTATTTTTGACACTATTAAAAGTTCGTAAGTACTATTTGGCCAGGAAGAAAATATTTTTTAATGCCAAAACTCGTTCGTCAGTACTGTTTGGTAAAAAAAAATCATTTTTGACACCATAGAAAGTTTGACAGCGCTAATTGGTCAGAAAAGATTATTTTTTTACACAATTAAAAGTTCGCAAGTACTATTTGGTTAGTGAAAAAACATTTTTTATGCCAAAACCAGTTCGTCGATACTGTTTGCTCAGGAAAAAATAATTTTTTACGCCATAAACAGTTCGTCAGTATTGTTTGTGATGGATCAAAAAGGTATCGAAAATATAGGTCAATACGGACTATATAACATAGTCATCAGTAAATTGTTGTCAGAAAAAATTTAAATGATTGGGAGGCAGTTACCAAAATCGGATATTTATAAATATATCCCAATCCAAAAGCATGGTTATTGCATCGATAAAAAAACACATATTATTTAAGTAATTATAATAAACATTGCTTTATAAAAAATAGAAATTAGGTAAACTATATCGCGATCTATAAACAAGACCAAATTAGTGCTAATCTTCAAATCCTGCTCTGGTCCAGTTTATGAGATCATCTCCCTCATTTTGGAGAGTCACATGATCATCAATTAAAATATTGTCTTCTTGATAGGCTTCTTCTAATGCCCCTTCTCCAGAAGACATCGGGAGCAGATTAGGTCAGTAAACTTATGGTGAGTAATCATGAGTGACCCGTCTACATTAGCATGACATCAACATCCCTCTCTCATGGAAAACTTTTTAAGTCGAATTTTAAATTTTTTTTGCACAGATAAATCAGATTAATTGTGCTCTTTAAAATGATATCCACTTTGATATATTTTAGAACAAAAAAATTTGAGTCATTTTTTACCAGTCAATACCATATGGTATGCTCCTATTTAATACCATATGGTAAGAAAGCGTACCATGATGGTATGAACATACCAATACTATAGGAAGGTTGAATACATGATAATAGAAGTATACTAACTGTCATTTACGACTTTCGTCATTGTTTACCACAAGTTACCACCCACATACCAGAGTGGTAAAGTATGGTAATTTTACGTCCTGTATTTTTTTCACCCAGAAATTTGTAAATCCAATAGATCTTGATGAACTCGTTCCTTCTTAGCAAACGTTTTCAAAAACGACTTGAAACAAAGAAGTTACCATATGATATGTAGTTGGTAACGGGATGTATAATAAAAAAACTTTCTCGAAATATATTGAAAATTGATTTCATTTTGTAGAGCACAATGAACTCGTTCCATCTGTGCAAAAAATTGAAATCCGAGTTAGAACGAAGAAGATAAGAGTCGATTAAGAAAACTAGGGAAACTAAAATATCTTTAATTCACAACCCTTAGATCCGGATTTTCTAGGCTCACTTAGACCTAAAGGTCCATATTTATTTACTCATAGATAAGTAACCAATTCCCAAGCAGAAGGAATCTAAAACAAATTTTTTGGTCGTGTTTCAACCACAATTTCCCGATTTGGATCTCTCAAAGACAACACATAACAAACTTGAATTGCTTGACTAGCTATAATAAATGGCTCATATGTTCTAAGCCTTCGCGTTGTGTTGATGACAATAGTGTCGTGTCCATCCTTCTTGTAACCAACGCCTTCGCAAGCGGTGTGATACAACTCATATTGAAATAGTACAACTAAAAGCCCTTCAGTATATAACGAATCTCGATGATATCGGTAAGAACGCCATAGTAAGGAATTCCACCATCGTTCTCCACTCTCACCATCACCTCACTGTTCTGACTGCTTTTGGTCAACTCGCGAGTACGATTGTGGAATCTGAATCCATTGATACAATAGCTTGTGTAGTGCAGGACTCGTTTATCTGGCTCTCGAGCTAAGGATAACATAGAAGGATTGAAACCTGGCACTTTATAATTGTGCATTTGTGTAATCTGCAATAATTGCAAGGATAATATTAAAATTAGCTTTCAATAAATTTTTTAATATCAAAATTATTAATTATATATGACATATACATACCTCTAATAAGAACCACTTAGCAAATTTTTGCTTATGCACTGCTTCTACCATAGGAACACCTCGAGTACTTAGTTGTTCCTTGTGAGTTCTGTAATTTACGTTGCATAATATATGTTATTAATTAAAATAAATTATATTCTAGCATACACTAAAAAAAAAAAATTGGTATGTATATTCACCTTATAAAATCAATGTATTCAAAAGCGAGTTTCTACGTAGAAACGTTTTGGTGATCTAGAAGCGTAAAATCGTAACTATTTAAGTTTTAAAGCGGAGTTTTTAACTACATAAGTTATAAAAACTGAGATTTTGTGTAGAAGCGTTTTAGAGACCTAGAAACGTAAAATCATAAGTTTTTAAGTTTTAAAGCGCGATTTTGACTACATTGTATAAAATCTTGCACTAAATCCTAGTTTTGTAGAACATAAGAAGCCGATGCCTTCCACAAATCAGTATTGAAGTCTCTCATGTCATCCTTTACACCAATGGCACGACCGACACCCCCGGAACAACTGTTATTTTATGAGGTTGCGAAGATGATGCATGTTTATCTACATTTCTCTTTGGCCAATTAAATATAGTATCCATTCCAGTCAAATATTGCAAGCAAAATGTGACACATTAGTCGACAATATAAGCTTCGGAGATTGATCTCTCTGGACGTGTCTTGTTACGAACGCAACCTTTTAACTTCTTCATATACCTAAATTGTTTAAAAAATTGTCAAATTAACTTCATAAAGTTACTAAAATGTTTGTATATATAAGCAATTTAGTTTAATTATATATGATACCTTTCAATAGGATACATCCATCGATACTGAACTAGACCAGCAACTTTGGCCTCCCAAGAGAGATGGATGGGCAAGTGGATCATTATATCGAATAAGACAGGAGGAAAAATACGTTCCAACTTACATAGTATTATGACAATTTAAGACTCCAAAATATTCAAATCTTCCACATCTAGCTCCTTGGAACATATGTCCTTGAAAAATTTGCTAAACTCAATCAATGTATCCGAATGACCTTCATAATCACCATTCGGTGATTCAGTCCACTGCCTACATTGCCAGCAAGATAGCTGGATCATACGCAGTTCGTTCAGGAAAGGAGATTTGATAGTTCACCCATTGGTCAATTGTTCTCAGGTTAACATTATAAATTGGATGTTGATAAATATAAATAAACAACATTCGCTTCAAACTAGAAAAATTTCATTCATAAAATTTACTGGTCTATTAAGCACGAGCAATCAGTGCCAGGAAAAAAAGAACAGGGCAGGTACTCGTTTTAACCAGATGTGCCTCAAAATAACGAACATCAATGATTCGCTGTCTCGTCTCGCTATATTATTTGTCATTGGTTCCAGTCCAGATCAAGGTATCTCGGAAACTTTGCAGTGGAGAAACGAAAACAGGGCATAAACTTGGATTCCTTCAACTTGATAGCGCCTTTACTGCTTTCTCGGCAGCATCGTCCAAGTCTTCGGCAGTAATTAGAGCCATTCCACTTTCCTGCACAGGTGTAAGTTACCAGTTAAGATTTGCAACTACGAGACAGTTTGTTCATCAAAATCATCAAGACAACCAATATAGATATAGTAAAGATCACCTTCAGGATCCTTTTCCCTTGGTCGACATTAGTGCCTTCGAGACGAACCACCACAGGTACTTTTAGTGAAACCTTTAAGCAAGTAGATAGATTTAGTTGCTTGATAAAGTTAAAACTTAAAAGTCCCCTGAGTTAAGAATCTCAGTAACCCTATGGCCATATTAAAGTTAGCAGAAGGTACTTGAGCTGTTTTAATGGCCACATTTAGATTCTCAACAACTTCATTTCTAAGAGGGGCTCCAAAGGTACAAAGGGGAACACAAAACAAGCATCCAAGTACAATGCAGCAATGTCATACACAAAGGCATTTGCTGCTTTTTCAACTACTAAGGGGGGAAAATAATACTTCAGTGAAGATTGAAGGAATGCCAGCTACAGGGTCAGGAAGGCCCTGTCAACTCTTGGAGTATAAGGCTGTTCAATCAGGAATTCGAGTGGGGTGCACTAAATTGGTAGATGTAGCAATATATCAATTAGAGAAAATAAAAGCGGAAGTAGGTGCATGTTCACCTGTTTGGCAGCATTGACAATTCCGCTGGCTATAACGTCACATTTCATGATTCCTCCAAATATGTTCACCAGGATTGCTTTTACTTTATCGTCAGAAGTCAAAATTTTGAATGCCTCAACCACCTTGTCCAAATATGCCAAAGGTTAATCTATCATGCATGAAATTAAGCTCACATAGCATGACGCTTTCTGCATCTGAAAGTGCAGAGCATACAGTCTACACACTAACAGAAGTGCAGAGTAGGCATGATTTGCAGTACTCATATAAAATGGCTAGAAAAGGCGAATCAGCCAAATTCTAAACAATTTTCCATTAAGCAAGAGAAATTACCTGGCCTTCAGAAGCATTCCCACCAACATCGAGAAAATTGGCAGGAGTTCCACCATGCAGCTTAATAATATCCATTGTGGCCATTGCCAGCCCTGCACCATTCACCATGCAGCCAATCTCACCATCTAGCCCAATGTAATTCAAATCTGCCTTAGCAGCAGCCACCTATCAGAAGAATAACACACACGAAGATGGTTATCAATAAACAATGACACCAATAAATCAATAATAGTTGCGGAAGTTAACATGGTGATAATTCTGATAGTTCAGTATTTCACAAACTCTGCTATCATGCTTATGACACATATGTAGGCAACCTCCTCAAAGTTCTTGCCAAACTCAACAGATAAAATTCAGAAAACTAATTCCCCACTTCCAGCTTACTATATAGTTAGCAGACCAAGTTCTCAGTGGCATAAGTTCTGGAGCTAAAGTAAACATACCTCTCGAGGGTCCTCCTGAGTTGGATCACGGAGTGCAAATAACTCCTTCTGGCGGAAAGCAGCATTATCATCGAAATTCAACTTAGCATCAGCTGCGACCAATTTGTTATCAGCAGTTTCTGCAATGGGATTGATCTGTGACAAGAAGAAGTTTCACACTGAGATATATGCAGGAGGCCGAACCTGTTCGTTCGTTGAAGTATGCCATGGATGGGTAATTTAGCGACAAACGTAACCTTTAACACTTTGTTATGATGTGGTCTAAGCATCAAGCAACGGGAAACAAAACAGCATATTGATTCGAAGAAAAAGAATATCAACTGTCAAAAATAGCAAAATTGATAGTAAGGAACGAATGGTTAAGGAATTATGCTTACTTCCAGCAATGTGCAGTCACTATCGCAGAAAAGTTTATACAATTTCTTCACTTGCTCTATGCAATCCTTTTTATCGGCAGACTTTGGAGCCAACCCATCGACAACCTTAGCCGCATCTTCATCTGTGATTCCTTCAAAAACGTCGATTGGTACCTGCAAAGAGTAGTTAGCAGCTGGGTTAAAACTTAAGCACAACAAAGCAATAGAGGAATCATAAATGTAATTGACATCAAAATGTGAAGCTAGGAAAGAGAGAATCCTACCTTAATAATCAAGTCAGGGAATTTCTCAGCTAGATCTTCAATGCTGGTTCCACCTTTCTTACAGGCAATGATAAGCTGATAAAACAAAGGATTTGCATTGTTATCAAACAAATTTGGAGAGAATAAAGAAGACTTGGTGGGTGGGGATTATAACAGGGATCAAAACAAAACAGAAGTATTGATCAAATAAAAAAATGCCACGCAAAATGGAAGTCAGGAAAATGGGCAATTTCAGTTGAGAAACATACCGGAC